CCACACTCTCCTCCTTCAGGTTCAATCTCTGTGAGAGAATTGGCAGGATATCCTCATCTTCAGACAGCTGAGGCGCCCAGATTTCAGTCATACGATTGCGAAGAGCAGCCGAAAGCTCACGTTTTCCGTAATCACCACCGGGGTTCATAGTGGATAAGAATTGGAATCCACCATCTGCCACAACCATTGAATCAATGGGGCCCTTCTCGGCGAGGAGAATCGACCTAGCGGGTTCGAGAACACTGTTAAGTCTTTCAAGAACGGAGTCGTCTGCAAGAGAAATTTCGTCAAGAAGGAAGAATTGACCGGTCTTCATGGCGGTGATCAGGCTTCCGTCGGACCATTCAAACAGGGCATTGCAACGAATAGCGTTCTTCTCAATCTTCTGCAAAAGAAGTTGATCCTTGGCTTGACGCTGCTCCGCAGTCAATGCTGTGAATTCCTGCTTCAAGTCATCGAAAGATGCGTCGCTTAGCTGCCCGTGAAGGAGCATCTGAAGATCATCTACAAGCTGCTTCTCAATTGCAGCCCGGTTTCGGATGGGCCGTTGAGCACCAATGATGTCACCGGTCTCCAAATTCACATGAGCGTTGACAATGAACAACTCACGTCGGAAAGCTTCAGCGACGGCCTGGCACAGTTGGGTTTTACCACAGCCAGTTTCTCCGACAAGAAGGACCGGCTCGTTGTTCTTGAGGGCCTTCGAAACGAGAACAAATAGACGTCTCATGGCTTTGGTCCACACAATACCGGCCGGAAGCTCGCCCATCCCGGGGGCATTCTTTTCCAGCTCTGCAGAGCTATACAAAGTATCCTCGTCCAGCTTTACCTTCATCACCTCCTCGATCACAGCCTTAACCGCGGCTTTCTCTTGGGGATTGCGAACACGTTCGCCGAGAAGCATATAACCGTTGACTGCTAGCTGCTCGCGATCATCGGCATCACGAAGAGCCCATCGGAAAAGATCACGCAAAGTGGCGAAACTGTTCTTTTGCTCGAAGAGTCGATTAGACTGGCGCAACAAGGACAATTTCCGGTAGACAGCAACAATCCGTGTGCAGAATGAGGGGGCGATTTGAGAACGTTCCTTCAGGATAAATTCCAGCTCGCTTTCTGGAATATCATCGAAGTGCAGCTCGAGGAAGCGGTTCCTGAAGGCACGGGACAGTACCTTTCGGCCACCGTACAGACCAGCGGGATTTTGCGTAGCGAAGAGCATGAAGTTAGGGTGCGGGTGAACGACTTCTTGAGTTTCGGGAATGAAAAGCTCGCGGTTATCGTCGAGGAGTCGGTTAAGGGCTTCGAGAACATCAGAAGGCGCCAGATTCAGCTCATCCAGTACAATCCAATAACCGTTCCGCAGCGCCTCCACCAACACACCCTCTTGATAACGCAGGCTTCCATCGTCCGAGGAGATGTAAGAACCCAAGTACTCTTGCAGATCTGTATGCTCGTGGTTGTTGATTCGTACGAATTTGTTTCCAGACACCTTTGCCAGATACTCAATCATACTCGTCTTTCCGACTGATGTTGGACCTTGAAGCAAAACGGGGAATCGCCGGGTTGAACTGGCCCGGACCAAGTTCTTGAGATTCTTCTCGATGAATGGGGTGATAATGTAGTGGGGTTGCTCCTCCGGAATCATAGGACCGCGGCGCATCCAATAATGCTTGAATTGCACATAAGCGTTGCCATCCGTTGGTGGGCGAGGGGTCTGTCCGAGAAGAGACTTGGCGTTCTTCGCGTTTCCGAATATATGAAGCTCAAGCAGAGGAATCAAAGCTTGTTCGGAAACCAAGCTCAGCACAGTCAAGAAACTCATACTGAAACCCTCAAACATTGCCCTGCGTAGCCCATAGACGTGTGCGTGGTCGATAACATAGATCAAAGCACGCACAAGAGTACGGATACTGAAATGGGGTCGCTGTCCAGCTCCGTCGGTAAGCTTGTTCTCGTTGCTGAGCTTCTTGGTCACCATGTAAAGCTGTGCGAGGTCTGGCACAGCACGCTGGTCACTGATTGTCAAATCACCCAGGTATTTCTGAATCAAGGCCAACAAATCATCCAAATCACTATCAGGCGAGTGCACGTAGAATTCGGTGAACCGGGAACGCAGACCTGGGGGTAGATCTCTCTTTCCGGCATCTGTTGCAGGGTTCATAGCACCGAAGATACGGAATTCCGGGTGGCCGAAGACTCTCTCAACATCGCCAGCCTCGGAGAGAAGAACAGATGGTGTCCCCTCACTGCCATGGTGCAGAAGACTGGCAATATTCTCAAGTGTATCAGGGGAAGCCAAGTTTACTTCATCCAGGAGAACCCATTCGCCGTTTCGCAGAGCTCTCACAATCTTACCTTGGACAAAGGCAAAGGCAAATTTGGCATCACCTTGTGAGACCTGAGCCTCGAAATCTCCGAGCTGGGTCGCGAAGCTCTCCCATCTTTGCCGCAAGTGCTGATATTTGGGAGAATCCAACTTCCGTTTTTTGGCTGGCTGCTCATCGCCATTTTCGGCTGCGGCATTGGGGGGGTTGAACACGCCGTTTGCAAGACGAACGGCTTCATGCCACAAGGTCACCAATCGTACCCAATTAGAAGATGCGGCACTCTTCGATATCGAGGACAAGAACTTCTGGTTCTTTTTGGCGGAGAATGTCAGTTCAAAGAGCTGGGTGAATTCATCCAGCATTGGAACTGCCATTGTACGGATGTTGACGGGTTTGAACCCACCCAGCAGATCAGTGCTTTCACTCTGTTGTGACAAATTCACTACTGTGAGTTTCTGACGCATTAAAGATGCAAGATGCTGGATGACTGTGGTCTTTCCGATACCAGTTTCTCCCACAAGTAAAACAGGCTCTGCCATCTGGATTGATGCAGCTACCTGTTCCATGAGGGTCAATGCCGCTCGGGTGGGAGCAAATCGTGAAGCTGCTGCGGCAAGCTTCAATGCAGATCCACTTGGTACCTTGATCTTGTTGCAGGTTTCTCTGCCAAGGACAAGGCTGTTGTTCTTATCAGTATAAGAGGGAGTACGTTCATTGAGACAGTATTGCGCTCGCTGGGGAGATATCTGAAGCGCTTCGGCCACAACGGCGGCGAGAGTGTTCTGCATCGACTTCTCGGGCAGATATTTGAGGAACACGTCAACAATGTCGAGGAATATTTCATCCTCGGTACCTTCTGACGTGGGCTCATAGCCAGTCTTCGCACCCATGCGGTGTAGACGATTGTGCAGACGGCTGCACAACTTGATCAAATCGCGGAAGCCTGGGGTACGACCTTGAGAGCCCTTGATTGCAAGACTTCCATGGAATGCAGAGCATACTCGTCCATATACGTTCATAAGAGTTGGCACACGAGACTCAAGCAGGGGGAACTTTTCCAGGATGACATCACGCATCTCATCCACAGGGAGAGACTTGACTTGCACTCTCTCCCAGAGTCTGCTTCCAAGCATCGAAGTGCCCGGTGCGATCTCCTCTCCGGCAATGTTGTACGATGACTTCATGGTTGCGATGATTTTGAAGCCCTCAGCACACTTGATTCGCTCCCTCCGGCTTGGGATGGTGAGTTCCCCCTCTCAATGATCGGCAAAATGAGACCCATTACTTCAGATGGGGCACGGTCAAGGTCTTCAATCAACACCCAGCGACCTTCGCGTGCAGCCTTGGTCAATACACCAGGCTGCCAAGAGAAGGATCCGGAGGCAGATGAAGTGGCATACATTCCAAGCAGACTCTTCGCATCTGTCTGCTCATTCAGGTGAAGCGTAACCATAGTTTCGGCTTGCCCCATCGTGGCAGCAATGTCGTTAATCAAAGAGGTCTTCCCGGAGTTGGGCAAACCAACCAGCTGGATGGGTTTGTACCCGAGTAATGACCCTGCAATCCGGCGCAGGTTCTCAACTGTGGTCGAGGTCTTGACGACAGACGAAGGAGTCGGGGGCGTATCTTTCAGTCTGGGAATCAAAACTCCGCAAATCTCTGCGGTCTTGGTTGTGAAAGATTCCCGTGTCCTCTCGATCAACGCCAGAGTGTTTATTTCCGTCCTGGCAGACCTCTCGGTCTGGAGAATTCTTCCAAGAGTCTCCCATCGTCGCTCTTCCCACAATCCCAGCACACGGTAATCGATCAGAGTGCCTTCCCACTCTCCCTCTATAGGTTCAGTCCCAGTATTGACGCGGACCATCTTTTCGGTTGCCGCATCTGCTGCGTGCATATATAAGGCAAAGCATCGTACAGCAAGGTATCGTGTTACTCGGTCTTGAGATTGGAAGAGGGACTGAAGTTGAAGCGGCGAAACGATGGGAGAGAAGGTTTCAAGATCAAACGAAAGAAGTCGGAAGAGGGCGAGGAGTAGAAGTCTAATGCTAGGTTGGTCCAACTGTAGCAGTGTTAATTCCTTCGAAACGGCCAAAGCCGCCAAAGGTCCAGTCTGTGATGAGGCATATTGACTGGCAAGCGACCGCAGATGCGGCGCAAATGGTAGAATCTGCGCGAATGCCGCTAATACATGAATATAGTCGGCATGTAAATCCGATTGAAGCCATCGGGCTGCAAGATCGACAAAAATCGGTTCGTAGAGTCTAAAAATGCTCTCTGTAAATTCGTTGTTTAATGCGCCAAGAGCAAGCGCGTGGAGGTGTTGAGTCCCCGATGCAGTCCGAATGAAAGTCGAGATTCCACTCGGAAGCTGCTCGAGCAGTTCAGACTCAGTAAGAGTCCTCTCATAGACCGGCCTCCGATCCATGTTTAATCCGGTCGTAAGAGAAACTGTGAAGTTTGAAACAAGAGAAGAAATCCCGCTTCATCGGCTTTCGCTCCAACTTTTTTTCTTTCTGCCGTCTGTGGCGCAGCCCCGCCTAGACTTAGATCATACCGCCTTTGATCGCGGAGCTTGCGCCACACCTGCGCGTCCGACAAAGTTGTCCTTGAAACTAGATCGTTTTTACGAGGAGATGCTAATATTGGGATATCGTGGTTCATTTATGTTGCACGATGCCAATGAGCGGTCAGGGCTCGGGTGGTGAGGGCCAATCTGGGACGCAACTAAGAGCTGATCAGATTGTCCCTCAGCCTCAAGAAGTGAATCGGGAAGCCGAGGGGTTAGATGAACCGTATGCCTTGGAGACTCCACCTTTCGTTATGGTTCTGACTAGGTCATTAATCTAGTATCTCCTTCAAGCGAAAACAAAAACAGCGATCACGGTTCAGTTTATCTAACCTCCTCTCCTCTCCCGCCGGCGGATTGGATACTAGCTTTGGCTCTCCGGCGCCGCAGGGTGGTCAGAACGGCGATGCGTCGCCCCTCGATCCTTATGCGCCGATAGGATTCGATAGCGGTGCTGAAGCATCAAAAGATGGTGCGCCGTTAGACTGGTATGTGGAAGGCCCGGGACGACGTGTGGGTTACGACGACTTTACCGCTATCGATTGGATCTACGAGTATACCAAAGAACGGCAAAGGAAACGGCTTCTTTATTCGAGTGGACAGGGCCTATTGGGCCATGCTCGCAGACTCCTTGACGCAAGCAATGTCTGGTTGGTGTTGATTGCGACAGGCATTGCTGTAGGAATAATCGCAGCTTCTATCGACATTACAACGGATTGGCTGGGTGATCTGAAGTCCGGCTATTGCAAAAATGGAAGTGGAGGTGGCAAATTCTATCTAAACAAGAGCTTTTGCTGCTGGGGTCTCGATGGTAAGCCGATATTGTCAAGTCTCCATGAGTCTCACTGCTGAATTTGGATTTGCTATAGATCACTCCAAGTGTCTGGACTGGACACCTTGGGGAAATGCATTAGGAGCAAACTCCAGTGGAGGAACATATGCGATTGGGTACATCTTCTACGTTGTATTTTCGGTAATGATATCTCTGGCTCTTACCTTTAGGGCTCTATTGACAATATCTAGGTTTTCTTTGCTGCATGTGCTTGCTTCCTGGTGCGAAATTATGCCGTTTATGCTCGACACAGTGGAATCCCTGAGATCAAAACGATCCTCGGTGGAACTGTTATCCGACATTTCATGGGGCCATGGACGCTTGCCATTAAATCACTGGGCCTAGTGAGTCAAGCTTCTTCTTGTTAGAAGGCATATTTGCTAACAACGATCAGTGTCTCTCTGTTGCATCCGGTCTATGGCTAGGTAAAGAAGGCCCACTTGTGCATGTTGCATGCTGCTGCGCGAATATTTTAATGAAACCTTTCGAAAGCCTGAGAGGTAATGAAGGTATGTTATTAAATTCTCTATCTCTCTCCGCGCGTTTACTGATCTCACAGCTCGTAAACGAGAGGTCCTTTCTGCGGCCGCCGCGGCAGGTATCTCAGTCGCATTCGGGGCACCCATCGGGGGTGTTCTGTTTAGTTTGGAGGTATGAGCTATCGTCGATCTCGTTCTGTCTACTTTGCTGATTTTTCCAAGCAACTGTCATATTATTTCCCCGACAAGACAATGTGGCAAAGCTTTGTCTGTGCTATGGTCGCAGCTGTTACTTTGCAGGCCTTGAATCCATTCCGGACAGGTAAAATTGTGTTGTATCAAGTCACCTACACTCGAGGCTGGCACCGCTTCGAAATTATCCCATTCATTATTCTTGGTATCATTGGCGGTCTCTATGGTGCATTCCTCATCCGCCTGAATACGAGAATCACCAAGTGGAGGCGAGCTCGAACTTCCTCTCGACCAATCATCGAAGTGGTCGTCGTGGCTCTCATTACAGCTTTGGTCAACTATCCAAATCACTTCATGCGAGCTCAGAACTCGGAGCTTGTTCAGTCGCTGTTCGCCGAGTGCAACAGTGTGACATATGATCGATTTGGCCTTTGCGCAACGGGATCTGCCTCAATCGGCGTGGCAATCTACCTGGTCATAGCTGCTTTATTTGCCTTTTTCTTGGCTTCATTGACATTTGGGCTCGAGATTCCTGCGGGTATTATCCTTCCTTCGGTCGCTATCGGTGCTCTCTACGGCCGTGCTCTAGGCATTATAGTCCGCTTGTGGCAAGAATCTTATCCGCAAGCATTCCTATTTGTCAAATGCGAGCCAGACATTCCATGTGTCACACCTGGCTTATATGCAATTATTGGGGCTGCTGCTGCTCTTGGTGGTGCTACTCGAATGACTTTGTCGATTGTCGTTATCATGTTTGAATTGACTGGCGCGTTGACCTATGTGATCCCGATCATGATTGCGGTCATGTTGTCCAAGTGGTGTGGTGACATCTTTGGAAAGCGAGGTATCTACGAGTCATGGATTCGACTAAACGAGTATCCTTTCCTCGACCATCGCGATGACACTACTCCGCCAGATGTATCTGCCCACCGGGTCATGACAACCGTGGATGATATCAGCATCATTACTGCCACCGGCCATACTATTGCCTCGATCCGCAGCCTTCTAGCTAACACTACATATCGCGGGTTTCCCGTAGTCTCAGACACCTCGAGTCCCATCCTGCTAGGCTACATCACTCGCAATGAGCTTTCTTTTGCTCTGAAATACTCAACTTCTCCTACGGCCCGCAACCTCTCCGACGAGACACAGGTTTTCTTTTCGCATCAACCTTTTGCGGACCCTATCGATACCCTTGATCTACGACCTTGGATGGACCAGACACCCATGACCTTGAACAGTAACATCACTTTCTTGATTGTTTTACGCATGTTCCAACGCCTTGGCTTGCGTTATGTGCTGTTTGCCAATAAGGGCATTCTACAAGGACTACTGACCAAGAAAGATGTCTGGTCGGTGCTGAATGGCGTGGAATTTCGCCGAGAAGAAGCGCTTCGAGGCGATGAATTCCAGGATTTTGGAAATCATAATGAGGCTGAAGAGGTTGGTCTGCTTGATGGGAATGATACATCCAGTCTTGGTAGTTCGTTGAGGCGGGATTCTCTTTGATGATATTTGCAACCATCTTACTCTGTATATCCCCATTCTGTTACTATCTTCACGAATATTCACTCCCAAGTAAATGCCAGAGAAGTTCTTACAAATAAAATTGTGGCTTTGCCCCACCGCCTCCAACCCCACATCTTTCTGTCAATTTTTAACCCTGACCGCCCTCACGTTTACAGCTACCGATCTTCCTACCCTCAAGAAAGCCAAAAAGTCAGAAGATAAAATGATGATCGATCCTTTTGAGGTGCGCATGCGCTTCACTACACAGCTGCAACACCTCAGTGCTGCTGTTACATCGTCGCAGAAGGCCGCCCATTATGCATTGAAGTATCGTGACCTCGATGAGGATCTTCACTCATGCATCCTAGAGCAGCTTGAACGGGTAAGAGCTCCAATTTCCCTTGTGTTGATTTACTCTCACCTTGTGTACGGTAGAACAACATGAACAATCGCGCGAATATTATGTATTTTATTGAACACCTCTGCGAAATGGCCCTCAAGGAAAATTACCTCCCATATGTGCGCATGATGCAGCGAGACATCCTGCGCGTAGTGGACTCAGTTGTTCCCCCGATGGCACCGGTGCAGCCAATGTCAAGCATGTTCGCCACGTTTTGAAAGGTCTCCAGGCGAAGGAAGTTCTCAGCGCCGAAACCGTGGCCGACATCGACGCCGCCCTAAAAGACCGCGATTCCCACCCCTCCCACCTGGATCTTGAACAGGATGAAGGCACCCAGGGAGGCAGCAGGTCCAAGTCGGAGAAACCCCAACTGCGCCTTGACAAGAAGCAGATCGAGCAGCGCATTGAGGAGGACCGTGAGCGCAACAAGCGTCAGCGCGAGAGCATGTGGGCCATGACTGGCAATGATCGCGACGAATATAATCAGATGTGGGAAGAGCTCAGCCCCACTGGGGAGGATGACTTTATCAGATCTCGTGAGGAAGCCCTGGAACGCGCCGAGTGTGTCCGCAAACACGAGGAGTTCTATAAAAACCAATACGGTATCAAGGAGTAATGATTTGGTGGGCATATTGTTTGCTATGCTTTACATTATGATTTCCGGTATTTGTTTATGGTCTAGGCGTTTAACTCGGGACTCTGCAGCGTTCTGGTCTTTTAGGAGTTTTATACAGCGTGGTATCACTTGCATCTGGTTGCACAATATTCAAAGGTCATGCCGTATGACTGAATTTTCAACTTTTTCAACTTTGAACTTCCAAGCTTGCCATATTTATTTTGACTCACCGTACTCCCTTTGAAGGGGCTGAAGGATTATTGTTTATCTCAACAGGCTTGCCGTACAAACAGTATATAGAGGTTATACTTCATTGCATATGTATTGTTCGCCCCACAGCTAAGGACTAGTGGATCTATCAATTCAATTTGAGCAGGGAAATACCAAAAGAATTGAGTCTTATACTATAATATACTGAGGTTTGGCTTCGATGCTTGTGTCGGAGATTGACATGGCCTATATATATTTTGGACCTAGTAGTATAAATTTGTCGTTTGCGCAGATATTTGGGTCTAGAAGATGCTCAGATATTCCTCACAAAGCATAAATTTGATTTTAAATACCAGACGGAGAGGATTTTATTAATTTAAAAGAAGATAGACACTACTTGCTCTCCAAGTGAAGGTGAAGTAGACGTAAATGAAGTGAAGTGATAAGCCCTGGAGCGGAGAGTTGCTTATCGTCTCCGCTCTCGGGAAATCCTGATCGCCGAGAGATTTTTTATTTTTGCTTCACCTCTTGACCAACACGAGGAATCGTTTCCCCCATTCGGGTTTATTACTTTATTTCTCAACTTCCTTTTCACTCTATGTTTGCTCACCTGGTCACTGCTGCCAAGGGTCTATTTACGCGACAGCCCGAAGAAGAAGAGTCCCAACCCGCAGGCACCTCTGCCACCAATTCTAAGATGGTGGCAGCTACCCGACGAGGGGATGTTACGCCCGAAATTGCGGGTGGGAAGCGCAAGGCACACTCAGCCGGTGCTAGCAAGACCGAAAACAAGCAGACCAAGCGGAGAAGAAGAAGCGATCCGAAGGCTACTGGAACCGATCAAGATGCTACGAAACCTACCCCAGCAGAGAAATCTACCGTAATTGGCGATAAAGCACCTGCAGGGAAGAAGATTCGATTCGGTAGCGAAGAACCCGAACCAGTCGAAACACAACCAGAAGAAATCTCGGAAACACCAACCCAGGATGACGACGACGAAGACGATAGTGACGATGATGCGCCAGAGACCATTGATAACTCTGCCCAGCTATTGAAAATGAAGGAGCAGGCCAAGAAGCAAGAAGCAGCCAAGCAATTGTACGTGTGATTTCTTACGTTTGGCGAAGAATTTTGACTAATGATTTCTGTAGAGAAGAGCAACTGAAGAGAGAGAAGCGACGGAAACTCGATGAGCGTCGCAAGTTGCAAGCCAAATCGATTGTTAAGCCCAGCGAGGCTCCAACTGATGACATGCTTTCCGAAAGCACGGCTACTCTCCAAGGCACAACTACCCAAGATGCACGACGAGCCGCTCTTCCTGCTTTGCTTCCTGATGACATTTTGAACGCCGAGTTCGCCATTCGCCCTCCCACGCCCCCAGCCGAAGATCAATTCGTCATCCCGAAGAAGTCAAATAAGCTGCGATTCTTGGATAAGCAGGACAAGCTTCCCAAGGATATCAACATGGGCGATGTCTCTATCCGGGTGCTCGATGCGCCGTCCTCCAAGAAGTCCTCCAAGCCCGTGCTCGCCCCTAAGATTTCCAAGGCCGGACGGAACCTCAAGGGTAGCATGCTTCAGAAAACCCGTGTCGCAGCTCAAAACAATGGGCTCCGACAGAAGGCAGGCGGTCCTTCTGGATTTGTTCGCCGGTGAAATGGAAAACTTTGTACGGCCATTAAAAGCGATTTTTGTTCAGTGACACACATCTTCAAATATAGCTGGAAGTTACATCTACGACCTGCCAGTTGTCAACGGGGGACATGCTCGCTTGCATCGACTGATGTTCCTCTCCTTTCCTCTCCGGGGGGGTTCGATGCCCCATTGGCGCAAATCGAAAGTCGGTGTCAACTGGACATGCAACCCACCCCGCATCCACCTGGGCACTGCAGCCATTTTGTGATCAGTCATTATTGAAAGTAGGATTTTTGTCCAAGTGTTACTCGGGTTGCATGGTGTTCGGCGGGAGTAGAACCTGGTCTGTATTCAACTTTGGGGGGAGTTATGTATATAGGATTCAGTCAATTATGCCCAATAATGTCTGGCAATAAATTCATTCAAAAAGAAGATATAAACATAGAAATCCCCGATATCTTTGAAATATAAAAATGAATTGATACAAAGCGCCAAGGACTGGACCCGGACCGATTCTCGGATTATTAAGGCGGAAACATCGAAAGCTTGGAAGCTTGCCAGAGTCCTCTTTGACCTTTTTTTTTTTTACATCACTCTTTGCTTTTCTTCTACCTCCAATCCCATTAGCCAATGGCACTTGTTATCTAACTATACACCTTTCATTCCCTTTACCATGGCGCCTGACGCAGAGAATTCTCCTCTGCTGCCGCAACATCAGAACTCGGCCTCCAATACGTCACCACGTGCAAACCGGACGCCGCGGTCGGTATCCTTCAATCCGCTCACACAAATCAGCACCTATGGCAGCACAGCCTCTACTTCCGATCCTACATTCCGACCCTTACAAACAGGCTCACCTCCTGTGCAGAATGTCAACGCCCAAGGAGGCCAGCCCCGTCCCGGCAACCAGCCCATGCTCTCAGCATTGAACAGCAAGCTTCGTCGTCGCAATAGCCATGGGGCTCCCTTCAACCCATTATCGAATCCACCACATGTCGCATCTAAGATTGGACCACAGCGAACAACGAAAAAGGCGCAAAAACTAAAACTGCTGCCGGACCCTGTGACGGAAGAGGGAGAGGGGGGTCTGATGGAGATTTCCCTCGGGATGTCTACTCACAAATCACTCGCATAAAGGACCCCGCTGCACGAAGCCATGCTGCACGACTGGGTAAAGCCGACCGCGATCGCATACCCCGAGTGACAGCTTACTGCACGGCCAATTCGTATCGACTCGAAGGCGTCATCAAATTTCTTAAGTCGCGGAGCAAGACTCGCGGAGCCAACCCCAAGTTGTATGATGAATGCGTCTACTCCCCTTTTGATTACCAGTACGAAGAAAAGCAGAACGCACGATTATTTCAGGATCAAAATGGCAATGGACACCATGACAGACGACCTAGTGAAAGAAGATATTCGGATAGTGCGGTGGAGGTTGAAGACAATAAGAAGACCAGAAGGGAGGATTTGATTGATCTGCACGAGGAGCGCAGTCACTCAAATGATAACGAACAAGTAGTCGTCAAGGACACTCCTGATATTGACACCACAATCCATACACCCGAGATATTCCTCTTCGACTACGGAACGGTCGTAATATGGGGAATGACGCCTGCGCAAGAATCAAGATTCTTGTCCGATATCTCCAAATTTGCGACCTCCATATTGAGTCCTGATGACACTCAGATTGAGAACTTCAATTTCTACTATGCGCGCGAGTATCAGGCTAGGATCTACAACGACTTCATCTCTCTTCGCGACCCGCGCAACAATATGGTCAAGTTAGCGATCTCTCATGCTCTGGCCCAGTCGGTCAAGACTTCGCTTTTCGAAGATCTTGTGTCAGAAACAATCACCGACACTGCACCGCTACCTGCCCAGATTGCGCAAACCGGAAGCGTCAATCTCACCCGTCGGCAAATCAACATGCAGATTGGAGAGCTCTTCATTCTCCGCATCAATATTCACTTGCAAGGATCTGTCCTCGATAGCCCGGAACTCTTCTGGGCAGAGCCGCAGTTGGAACCTGTCTACCAGGCAGTGCGAAGCTACCTGGAGATGGACCAGCGTGTCAGTCTTCTGACGGAACGGTTGGATGTTATTGCGGATCTTCTTGCAGTTTTAAAGGATCAATTGACACATCGCCACGGCGAGTATCTCGAATGGATTGGTAAGTCTCCCTCCAGTTATGATTTCCAACACCGACCCATCTAACAAATATCAGTTATTGTCTTGATCGCCGCAGAGATTCTCGTGGCTGGAATCAACATTGTTGTCGATCTCTACGCTGGAGTAGACTAGAGTGACTATCTACGCTCGTCTCGACCAATCAGTTATGCTGCGAATATTAGTTTTTAATGCTATGTATTACCAGCATATTGCTTATGTGCTTTGGCATACAATCCATTCGCGGTTCTACATTGACAATCGCTCAGCCCAGTATGCCAGAGGCAAACATCCGAAAACTCATGGAACTCGCCCGACATAGGATTCGAATTCACCCGCCGTGTCTAATCTTCCTATGCTACCACCACCTCCTGCTATCTGTATCATCTTTCCAGGCTCGTTGTGTCTTCACATGTACATGACAGAAGACATTCATACCCAAATAATCATATCCCATTCTTGTTCCTAATAATGTGCTTTCTTTTTTTCTTTCCCGGTGGTATTGGAGTTGACGTGGGTTCTTTCGCGGAGAAACGGCGTTGGAAAACGGCGTTGGAAATCTGCACAGATGGTGTCAATCGATTCAAAATGCTATTGATCTTACTTTGCCGAATTACTCTGCAAGCTCTTTCTTTCAAATGGAACCAAGTTATTCGTAGTCCGTACATTTTACCAACCGTAGATAGCATTGGAACTATTGAGGCCTCCCAAATCTCAAACAGCGGCAGCTGAGCTGTACTCCAAAGCCCATAGATCCCCTTGAACATACATTGTCATTAGCATTCTCTCTTTTCCCCTTGCTCTGTCTCTATCCACAGCATTAACTAATAACAACTAAACAGAGTCTAGATGAGCGTTGTCAAAAAAGCCGCAAGGAGGAGCCAGTAGCTTCAACCATACTTTCAGCGTGAGATTTCTCAGACGAAATTCGTATCAGACATAGACGCCAGAAGACCGTAGAATCAAGGCCGACCAGAAGTAAAAACAAATAAAAACCTTGAAAATAGACCAGCACCGCATCCGAACCCGATGCATAAAAAAGAAACCCCCAAAGAAAAAGAAAGCAAACAGAACAGCGAAGAGTCACCGTCACAACTCTGCAAAGCCCTAAAAGCAAAGAAAAAGAAACACGCATAAACCACAACCCATCCACTAAGACTGCTCAACCTTAGCCTCCTTAACCTCCTCCTTATCCACATCCATGGGCGTAGTCCCAGACTCAGGCCCAGCCTCAGCAGCAGCAGCAGGAGTCTGATCAGCAGAGCCACCACTACCGGTCTGCACACGGAAGGAATGAGTAAGAGACTCCTGTGTCGGAGCCGGCGCAAGACGAGGCAGGGGCGCCCCAGCGGGATCTACAGATTCAGGCTGTCCATCTTGAGCGGGGAGATCATCGTCCTGCGCATCGACGCCGGTAGCGTTAGACTTGCGGGAACGCTTAACGCGTAGCGGACGTTCCTCGGGCTATACAATATAAAAAACAAAACACGTTAGCTTGGATGTAGCAGAAAATGCATATGGAAGGGACGTATATAGTAAAAGTTGAACAGAGTGTTCCGGAGAAGAGGGCGAATTGTAAAATGTAAATTGTAAGATACGTACTGTGCGCGGCTGTTCATCGGAGCTACCCTCAGTATCATCTTCTAGCAGTACACCGGCAGCATCCTGGGCGGGATTCATCATGGCTGCGGCGCGGGCACGTAGTTCTGGGTTTACGGAGCCGGTCTTTGCCTCGTCGGCCATGCCGGTGACTTTCGTCAGACGCTCGAGAAGCATGCAGGTTTCCAGGCGCATTTTCTGGATGTATTGGGAGCCGCGGCGGTTGCGGGTGCGCATGATTTCATTTTCGGCTTCGACTTCTGCGAGGCGTTTCTTTAGTGCTATGCACTTGCGTTTGTAGGCGATCTCCACGCTGGGGGGATTGGCTGGTGGGATGGAGGAGGGTTGGCGGGAGGCTTCCATTTTGGTGAAGGGGAGGAGGTCTGTATTTTTGGTTTAATTGGTGATGACCGGACTGGATTGTGAACACTGCGGTATTTCGTATTTCGTTGGGATGCTTGGTCGGAGCTGACACAAAGCACGATGCGAAGGGGGGCGATGTGAAATATAAAGAGGGAGAAGAAGAAGAAGGAGTAAAAGACCGGACGACAGGCGGTTGGATATAGTATATATAGCTTTGATTAGTCGTGAATTAGTCGTTGGTAATGGGGGCGAGTCATCGACTGGAATGGTGACCCTATTGAGAAGTACCAAACGTCGTCGGCAACAATGCGACGACCTCCAACATTATTCTGCCCCGATATCAAAGGCGGTCTACACAATATTGTTTAAACAAATATTTATCTTTATCCATTTAACTCCTAGCTATGTACAATTGCTCTAGAAAAGATGAGAACCCCCAATAATCATGACTATCTAATGACCTCCAGTAGTCGGAAGACCAAGGAACACCTTGAAAGAGTCATAACTGAAGAACGTTAGTGTCGCTGTACACGCAAATCAGGACGGAACAAACACTTACATGAGCCATTGGAAACCGGTCAAAGTGCCCAGCATCACAATACGAACAGGGAGACCATTCCATAGGCCAGAGAAGCCAATCTTCCCGTAGATCCGGGACACAGCCGTCATGGCACCTTCACCGGCTACAAACGGGCTGTTAGCATGCATCAAGGACTTCAGCCGAAAAAAGGAAAAAGCTTACCTTTACGATCAGCATTCAATTTGCTGACCATGACATCTGCCGGGTGGCTAACAATAGCACAGAAGATTCCAGCAATGTAACCACCCAAGAAGCTAACCCCAGTCTGGGTCAATTGGCCATACTCCTCCTTGGGTTTGCCCATAGTGCGGTAGATGACCTTGACCGTCTCCTCAAAGGTGGCAAACTTGGTCATGGTATAAGGGATCTGTCTGGCCCACAGAGGGTACAATCCCTTATACAAACCACCAAAACCCTCCTTGGCAACGATCTTACCCCAGCCCTCGCGCATAGTGGAAGCGTATGGCGGCAGGGTGGTCTGCATGCGGACCTTGATAGCCTCCATGGGACACAGGGCCATATCAGCAAAGAACTCAGCAGAGGCACTAGCACCGAGGAAGACCAGAGTACGGTTGGACTCCGGGAACAGCTGGTTTCCATACAAGTGCTTGAAGTACTCGTACAGCCCGTACTTTCCAGCACCCTGGAAGGAGTAGCCCAGGAAGGTGGGGGACCAGCCGAAGAAGACACCGCGCAGACCTTCTTTGGAGAAAATTGTTCGCCATGCTTGTATGTTGGAGGTGTAGATCTTTGGGTCAACCTGGCGACGACATTTCACAAGATCGAGGGGTGTTACGGCTGTATGGGTTGGTCCTATGTGGGATTGGGTGTCAATTGAGCATGTTAGTTGTATTATGGAGAAATTTTACTTACCACAAGCTGGATAATAATATTGTTAGTACGTGCCTTATGAGATGGGGAAGCTTGGACATACCGATGATTCCACCGAAGCCACAGCTGAGGAAGTACTTGAGTGAGTTAGGCTCAATCTTCCCAAGGGGAAGTTTGCGTTCCTGTATAGCCATGGTGTATATATATTTGTAAAATATTTGGAATTGGAAGAGGGGAGAGTTGCAAGATCAATAAAAAGCAAAGTACCTATGTTGTATGTACGTACCTTGGAAGATCTATGTCGTCAGTGGCCGAACTAGCCCTGAAGGCTTATCTCTCCGCACTTCCCGACGGTTCAACATAACTTATCTACTCCCTACACTCTCTTACACTCTTATTGATTTAGATTCTTTAGTTTACTACTCATTCTCTAGATAGTTTCGTATTCTTGCGAATCAATTAATATTTTAAATATTCACTATAATCTTATATGACGTCAATGATATCCAGCGATACTACATAAGTACGTTGTATAAACTTATACTACAGCAGCCGACTTAGCCGGACTTCCTGCATAATTACTTAAGAGAGCTTTAATGCAATCAAACTTCTTAATAAAATTATGAATTCTTATCAAAGAGTTAGTTTCTAGCCTAAGGCATAACATCACCTGATACTGACCTTGCAAAGACACTATAAGGTCAAGCATGACCATGACTATCAGGTATTCAACACCTCCATTGGACAGATCGGACATGACTAACACAAAGCCTGTACGTCCTGGCTCAGTATGCCCAACTAGACAAGGAGAATGTCAGATCAAGGGAAGAGGGAGATGAAGCTAGTTCTTAAGGAAATAGACACAAGAATCGAAAACTACGCTCTTTTGAAAGAAAAAGATATATCGTACCTAGAGCTAGAGAGTCTTTTGCAATGTCTAGTCTACTTATAAGAAAGAGGTAAGAAAAAGTGAGGAGAGAAGTGAAAGAATAGTGAAGGAGAATGCTTTCACTTTCAAATGTTGATATTGATATAAAGCCCTTTATGGCTAGAGAATGTAGTATATCTGTTGACTATGTCTGAATCAATAGATCGACATATTGTCAGGATAGATGTCTTGTTTGTTAGGCTTTTATAGGCTATTTAGCCTCAGTTTGTAGAGAGAGTACATATTCCTTCCTTCTCTCTCCTCCCTTGCAAGTTATATAAATCCAAGCACTACATATATAAAACATTTAAATCTAAACCCTGGAGATGATCCTCTAGTTTCTCCTTTTGTGCCATGATCCTGGGGAACTGAGAAGTATTGGACGCTTTTGATAGTTTCCCTCCTCGACGAAGTGTTGACCGAAACGATGGCTTCAGGGAGTCCGCGTCTTAGATGCTTACCCAAACAACGATATCAATTTCTAACAAAGAAAAACCGACACATTCCGACACATCACTTTCACCTCACTCCCCCAACAGTGGATCAGAAATATGAAAGACCCTGGCCCATCCGTGAGGGCTCGCACAGCGGCCGAGCTTACAGCTCTCATCAAAGACCAGGTCGAGGATGGTCTGTAAACACATAGATTCATTGAGTTGATACATGTGTTAGAAAGTCGTCAGTTAGGACAATGTGATGTAATCATGTCTTATTGTGAAAGGAATGTCAGAATACAGAATAGCAGAGATACCTATAAAGTGACAATGTCACATACATAAACAGATGTCCCTGATTCGCGAACAAGGATAGGACACCGGCCACACGAAGGCCACACGAAGGCCACACGACACCAAGAAGAGAAGATTTAGTTTCTTCTCGCCCACAAAAGAACTCAAACCCCTTTAACACCCTTCTAGAGTCTCGTTCTACCATAGTATTAGCCATGCCTCGCTTGACTCGCTTGACTCGCTCCATTCCTCACAGTGCTTCGACCGAGCCATCTACTCCTGAGCAAGACATCTTTACACATGGCCTTGCCGAGGCAATCTCACGGGACTCCGATAATCCTCGTTTAAGACAAGATAGACTAGAGAGATCGCCTAGTCCCAACTACCCCTATTTTCTACAACACACAGACTCTGACAGCAGCGACGACGATGCAGTCGATATCCCATACCGAAATGACGAAGATAGGACTGGTGTTCGTGTCGGCGTTACTACGAGGCGCACGAAACCTTCCGCTGATGAACAAGACCCCGGCCCGTCCGTTCGGGACCGTACGACCGCCGAACTCAACGCTGCCATGGAAGCGCAAGTCGAAGACCGTGAGTGTTATATATTCATCATTCTCTGCAATCGTATGCATTCGCTAATGGGAGGGTTACAAAGCTTCCTTTCCGGGTCTCGACACCACCGGGTTACCACTTCTACGAAATTTCATGACCGCATGCGAACGGAATCTCGTTGGTATGCACCCCAAGCGGACCGAACTCGATTGGAGAAGGGGAGTACGCAGGCCAGTGAGGTCTGGGAGGCCTCGGTGTGCAGCGCAGGGACAGTTGTGTGGTGTCGAAGCCCCGGCGGATCAGGAATGTATCTCCTGCGCTAAAGGCCAACGGACGTTCGAGCATTGTCGAATTATTTTCGTGAAGAACGAGGCTCAGTGGGGGTGGGCGTGTGCTAATTGCGCCTTTGTGTCATCGGGAAGCAAATGTTCCTTTCGTACGTCTTCCTCTTGACTAGAATTATACGATAAAGCTGACGTACGGCACAGGTCCTGATCTAGTATCTCCGAATGTGCCTTCGTGGGTTATCGCGGCTGTGACTGAACGGCAGCCGTCGAGTCTATTGCTTCACACATACTGTGGCGCAAAGGATACAGATGCCGCCCGGAAGTCTACGAAGCCGACTGTCGGTCGGAAGCGTCCTGGGACTACCCCAGACGATGCAGGCGAAGAGAACCCTCCTAAGAGTCGCAAGTTCAAGGTTGGTCCCGTCAACCCCAGTGAGGGTGCCGCGAAGAACGCACCCCCCAAGCTCAAGAACGGAGGGCTGCCGTTCAATGCAACCTGGTACAACTCGCCCCTTGAAGACCCCGAAGTGTACCGTATGAAGGATAAAGCATATGCACTTGGTACCTACCGTGACCTCGGAGACATCATCGCGCGCGCCGCGGAGGATCAAGCTCGTACGAAGGCAGCAATGATCAAGAAAGGATTCCCGCTTGAATCAGACGACGAGGAATCAGAAGAGGAGAACGTCTTTGCCGACGAGTGAACGCAGTCGGCGGCCATAGTGCTTTTAATTGATTTGAGATATCCATTGACTGACTTGAAGTCTACCTAGCCATATTGTAGATGGTCTTGGTGCTGGTCTGGCGCCATTATGCCATCGTAGTCTCTAATGACCGAAATTGTCCAAAAGCGCCTTGTTTCTTTTACCATAAGTCCTGCCAGTAGCCTATTGAGGAGCTCATCGACGCCAAGTGAGATTGGCACACCTCTCTCACACATCGTAGTCCTCTGGTCCCACGCAACGGGCACTCCAAAGCCCATACATCGAATTTGGTTACCAAAATCACACGAGACCCGTGGTAAGTTTCGACCAAGAGTTTTGCCCTGCGTATCATCCGGTTCTCTGCTCCACCTCACCGGCAAGTACTAACGCTAGTTTAATACCCAGCGTAGACCCAAGACGCGACAGCACAGTACGGATCAGATCTGCCTGCGCCGAACTCGGCATACCGGAGGAAAGGATATACCAGAGGGGCCAGAGCAATCCGTAACCCTGCGCAGCGCGCATTTTCCACGGGCTGTCTGAATTATTCGGACGACCGAGGGAGTCGACGTCAGCCAGCGCGAAGGGGATACTGCGACAGACGTCTGTGGTCATTTCGCGGATGGTAGCTTTCAGAGCTGGCTCGTCGAGAACGGTCTCGGACTCTGGTTCAGAACTGCTGGTATGTCGGGAACTGGAGAATTGCTTGTTGGCCGCTTTGATGGAGGTAAGTGTAGCATTTAGGCCGAGGAGAAGTTGTTGCACCATCACGCGCACTGCGCGGTAGTAATTCCAGATCACGGCGTTGGTGATGCGGTTGTAAGTTAGGAGGGTCTCGCCCTGTGCTGAGTAGACTTCTAGTGGGAGCCAGCGGTCTGGAAGGGTCTCTGTCCACTGGGAGAGTTCGATGTCGTACTCGCAGCCGGCTGTGATCCATGATTCGACGGTAGCTTGGTCTGGGGGTTTTGATGAGGTGCTCATGCATAGGAATAATTGGCAGAGCTTTGATGCAGTGAGCAATAGGCGCTCGGTTGGTTTGCTGATGTCTAGCATGCTGAGGACCCAATCGATGTCGAAGTGAGACCTGTCTCCAAGTGCGAGGATTTCAACGTACTATACAATGGTCAGTCTCGGACCGATATTCAGTCATATATGCCAGGTCCCGATGTCTGAACCTTACGACAAACCTACCGTGTGGGCATAAGCAAAAGTAAGCATATCCCGACCATGCGGATGACCAACCAGCGTGTTTCCACGAAGCTTCGTCAAGAACTCAAAACCAGCCGTATGCGAGCTGAACAGCCCGTTCCGCTCACCCGAGATATCCTCATACAGCGAAAGCAAAACGACCGAAGCAAACGTCTCATCTTTAACCGCCGTAGTCGGCGACGCCAACGCCTCCTGCAAACCTCGCAAGGCCCGCCCATAGCCCTGCCGCGCCTTGTTCATGAGAGGTGGCGCATTCTTAGCATTAGCGAGAGTCATCAGCGCCGTAGCCTCAACCGCCCAGCGCAAACAAGAAGACGGCGACTCGCTGCTCTGGCGACTGAGCTCGCGCGCGTACAGCGGGGGCACATATTCGAGATGTCCGCCATCATCGGGATCTGCCTTTATGGTATACTGGTCAAAGAAGTAGCACAGGGCTTGCTGTTCCCAGCTAAAGCCAGCGGGCGAGTATAGCGTCAGAGCAGTCTTGTCATGGTGTTTCGCATGTGAGCCTGCGCGTCGGCGGTGCGAGACGGCTGATAGAGAGTCCGAGGTCGAGGTGCTGTCTTGGCTGTCGGTATTGCTGTGTGAATTTACGCTGGAACTGCTCTTCATTAGCTCCTCGACTTTCCTGGTCTCGTTGCGGAAGACGGCATCCGGCCGGTATCCTGGACATGGTCGGCCATAGATAATGCAGTTCCGGCACTCTGGGTGTGCTTCATCGCACTTGAAGGGAGCATATTTAGCATTTGGCCTTTTAACGAATGCAAATAAGACTACATATTATAGGCACAATATAGGTTCATTGGCGGGGTAAATCGAAAAACCAAGATTGAAGCTCGGGACATACCTTTATCTTCCGCTTGCGACAGAGGTAACATCCGGTACTTGGTTTTCCCCCATAGACCATTGTTCACCCTCGGGCAGTCGCCTGAGGAACCTCTAGGACTTGCGGGTACTTCGACGGAAACCGCAAAAGGAATTGCGAGTTAGAAGGAGGTTGGACTCGATCTGAGTTCCACAAAGGTCAAGGACGGCCGTGTCTCATTTGTAACTGGATCAACTCGACTGCCTAGTCCAAACGAAGCACATGCACATCTTAAAGGATGTGCGGATGGGTTTTCTAAAGCAAAGATCTCGTATATTTCAGCGATCAATGTTCGCGCTAAAGTCTTTCGCTTGAACGTTTACCTACAAACTAAGAGACGTCAAGTTCTGTTCGGGACATTGCGCAACGTGCCGAGAAACCCGCTTAGTCATTCTACAGTAGTGAGGTCCTGCCCAGGTGAGGTCTGAGACAATTGGGAATGTAAATGATATAGATTTCATCAAACTAGATGGTATATAAATCACATTCCAAGTGTTCCCAAAAAAAGGTATCATGTACTCAACCACAAAACACTCCGAAATGGCCGATTGGAAATAAAAACAAGGTAAAGAAAAAAAGAAAAAGATCACCCAACTCCAGGATGGCAACTTCACCAAGTCTGGATAGAGAATCAAGACACAGTAACCAAACATATTTGCAACACCAAATATGCAACCGCTTGGTGCTCTAGAAACACCTAGGGAGGAACGCCGGCAGCTCATTCTGAAGGCAAAGCACCCACTAATGACAAAAAACAAACCGCGCTCAAAAGGATGGGGAGATAAATACGACAAAAATAAATGGATATGCGTAATCGTTAGATGGCAGGATATCAAAACACGTTTGGATCAGTTCAGACCACTAGATGCTAAGAGATTAGGAGGAGGGCGCGTCTGGCATAAGTGCATCACTATCATTGCCTAACGGGATCTGTGGTGGGGGAACGGAGCAGAGGGTTCGACGTCGAGTTGGAACGGCCAGCTCGCGGTCATCAACAGAGCTTATGCCTGGAGTGCTTGAAGCACTCCCAATGGCTGTGTCATCGTAATCTTCTGGTGGTGGAGAGAAAGACCAGACCTGCGAGATATATATTAGAAAACATATTTTCCATCAAACGGAAACATGGCACGTACCTCCATAACCGTGCGGTTAGACCGGCTCGCCATAATTACTGCCTTTTCATCCTCAAAAGCAACCCTCCAAACCGCCTCGGCTGGAGTAGAAAGCTCCCGCAACAGCTGACCGGTCTGTAGGTTCCAAACCTTGACACGGCCATCGCTGCCACCACTAACAATCCGGGTCTTGTCAAACTGAAGACTGGTAACACTGTTATCGTGCGCCGCAAGACGGTGAATCGGCGCCATCTTGGTTAATGACCAAACACGGACAGAGCCGTCGGAGCCACCTGTGACTAGCGTGTCGTCCCGCATCTGTAGCTGACCAACCAAAGATGTATGACCCTGTAAAATTGCATGGCACTGCCCAGAGTGCGGGTCCCAGATCCGGACGCTAGTATCCAAACTTCCCGTCGCGATCCGCCGGCCATCAAAGGCTATAGCGTAGATCTGACTAAAATGTCCTGAAAGGGTGCGAAGACAGCGTCCTTGGGATATGCTCCATATCCGCGCAGTTGTATCATAGCTGCCCGACACGACTAGATCACCATGAATGGCTAGACACCGCACGCTAGCTTGGTGTCCGACGAGGACGTTGCGACATGTCCCTGTAGCCAGATCCCATATCCGAAGGGTGGTGTCTCTGGATCCTGAGATGGCTGTATTCCGATCCGACATCTTCAGACAACGGACGGTTGATGTGTGGCCCCGAAGGAGATGGATCCCCGCTCTATCATACGTTAGTTTTTGTTTGTGCAAGTCGTGGGGGGGTTCTGTCCTACCCAGTAGCCATGTTCCATACTCGAACTTCGCGGTCGCAGCCTCCACTGACCAAAATGTCATCCCACGGGACCATCGCCCACACTCCCATCACATGGCCTTGAAGCGTCTTTTGGTTGTCGCCATTAGTATCGTAGACGTGGATCTTCGCATTATCCAGGGCAACGACAATATATTTCGGAGTGAGATGAAGACTTGTCACGACACCCTGGTCAGGGGTGATATGGCGCTGGGTGCAGCGACCACCTTTGGTCCACGCCGACTCAACCATGTACTTTTGCTTGAACTGTGAACGGTATGAGACGGGCCGGGTCCGACGTCTTCGGGAGAAGCTTGTCGGAGGCAACCATTCTCCAGAAAGCGTGCGGGGAAGGCCCGGTGCGCTCTCGGTGGCGTGGCCATTCGATGCGGTCAAGCGCCGCTGCAACCCGCCGAAGGTGCGTGCGCCAGAAGCCGAGTCTACGGGATGGGCGGTAAACGGGTCGACGAGGTCTGCTTCATCTTCCAGCACCCGCCGCACCGAATATGCATGTTTCTCGCATAGGTTTTTCCAAGTGATGTCATCGTTTAGTAGTTCTCGCCAACGCCGTGATACTTGTGAAGCTCGGGCGAGTGTCTTGGGGTCGTCGATGAAGGAGAGGACCTAAGCAGACTCAACATTAGTACATAAGTGAATAGAGACTCGACCAAATGGCTCACTCTTAAGCATAGTTCATTAGGAAAAACCTGAAATGGATCTTTCCTCAGTCGAGGACCGACGTAACTCGACACAAAGCTCAGCTGCTGACTGTCGCATACGTCCAGAAGACCCTCCAGGAGTTTCTGTTTTCGGGCGTTGGATAGAGTACTGAAGTGAATGCGAAGGTTTAACAAAAAGCTGGTTTCTTCATCGTCGGTCGAGTGCCAAGTTGGTGGTCGTTGATGGGGGGGTAGGGCTAGGCGCGGGTGTCGGGGGTGATGCGGGCGCTGAAGGAAGTAGGTTGGCGGGTAAAGGAGTGACAGCTGTCTTATTGCTGAGTGGTCTGGATGGGGTGCTGGAAAAAGTGGTGACTGGGTCGTGCGATGGTTTATGACTGTCTAACTGGTCTGATGTGTGCGCATTCGACCCATCTCCCACATCGCTGAATGATGCCCGATGGGAGTCCATGGCGACAGAACAGGGGGGAGACCGCCACAGTCGAGTATGATCCTCCCACTTGTCCGGGTTGTATTTATTGATGTGACGTAGTGAACCTCCAATAGTTCACAGCATATAGTTATGAGCGAGTTGGGAGACGGGAGTATTGAAGTTCGGGGGTATGAGGAGATGCTGGCGAACGGCCGAGGGAGGGAAGTGAGACCAATAATCCTCCGAAGGTATCGAGGCCGCCCGTTTTTTTTCTTTTTCTTCGAATATATCACTTTTTTTGGGGTTCTTTTCATTCAATCAGTGTTCGAAATCAACTTCCAATGAAAAAAAAAGGCGATGAGGAAAAGGGACATTTGAGGCGGAGGTGTCGTGATTCCTGACAAAGCATGGTCTCCCCGGGACTAATCAGATGAGAATTATATGGATCTTATGCATTCGGCACAGATCATCTCTTTTTCTCTGCATCTTTTTTTTTTTTTTTTTTCTTGTCTGGATTTGCCTGATATTTCCTTTTGGGCGGTTCATGGCAAAGGAGGCAACGGGGAGGCGTCGAGAACGTAAACCTAAAGGTGGTTTGGCCTGAGACCAAGTCATTGATCTCTAGAGCTGAATATCGTGAGCTATAAAAGGCAACCAGGTATTCACGATGCTCAAGATCCCCGCGAACCCCACGATCCCCACGATACTCACGATCATATAGACCCAAGGCTTTGGATTGGCATGCGGCTAGCGGGGTTGGACCATGGAACTTATGAACAACGGGATGATTCAGACTGACGAAACTGACGAAACTTGTCATCACCAACATTCTGAAAAAAGATGAAACTGCCCCTGGGGAAGTCGAACATAAGGGGGACCTGTCAGGCTTTAAATAGGGTACAGTGACGCTACGTCGATGTGATCGTGAGATAGGTAAAAATACCATGCAATTATGACCAATATAACACTCAACAGTTATACAAGGAAATCTATTCAAACATATCCTCCCTTTCTCAATTTATCTCAGCTACAGCATCCCATCTCCAAACCGTATCTTGCTATGGGTACAAAGCCCTCCAAAATATAGTTGAAAAGCGAAAATGTAAAAGCACTATGGAGTAACCCCAAGGAATACACTCAAAGTACTTGGTCAGTGAGCATGTCCAATCTGCAAGAATAGCGGCAAGATCATGCCCAAAACAGATGCAATCAAGTCTCTCATGGACTTGTCCGATCCATCCTGGTCTCGGTCACCATATCCGTTGATAGGAAGTTCGCGCGGGGACGAGCCCGGACCGTTTTCTTGCATGGTGTGCATCGCAACATACCTACATAGATTAATAAGAAAATGTCAATATGCTCCGCAAAAAGAAGACTCACAAGAAGGTACCACCAGAGAAAAGCAGTAGCATTCCAGTGCGCCAGTGAGTGCCTGCCTCATCGGCACTGGAAGATCCCATCATCTGTACAAAGAGGAAAGTGGCCAAGGCGCCAAAAGGAGCTGCCAGACTGAAGATTAGCAAATGCGCTCTCGCGGTGCGACTTGACAGCCCTTGCTTGAGCAGGATGGATGTCAATCCGAAAGATGCAGGAGCCTTGTGCACCATGATCGCCAAGAAGATAATAAAACTGAGCCCGGCATCCGAGCTGGAAGCGCCTAGAGCAATACCATCCGCCGCAGCATGGATCACGAGGCCGGTCGTGGTCGCAAAACTGTGGCCACGCCTGGACGCGTGGTTCGCATCAAGGAGTCCACCCTCACGCGACGGGGAGGAACCCCGTCGCAACCCGGACCCAAGGTTATCCAAAGAGATATGGTAAGGCGTCCGGTCGTTCTTAGTGGGTGCAGCAAATTCGGGCAGTTTATCGATGAGATACATCAAAATGAAACCACTGATGAGGGCGATTCCGACCCACGCATGCGGCGAACTCTCCTCCTCTCCGTGAATTGTTTCCTTCCCCGTTGTCTCACCCGCCGAATCCTCGCTTCGGACATAAAGTGTTTGTGACTCGGAGAGTTGGTCTCTTTCCGAGAGGAGACCCGGGACAGGGGCATCGGATAGTAGGTCTGAAGCGCTGTTCCCGTTGGGGCCAAAAGTGGCTGCAACAGCCGGGGCTTGATGTTGCCATTCAATCGCGGTAGACCGTGTACTGTGTTGCTTGCGAGTGAGGGAGCTTGCGCTGTAGAGGGTTTCAATGCCCTCGGGGATAATGACGATCAACGACGTCCCCACCAGTACGCCCATACCAATGGACGATATTAAGCGGAGCTGAGAGGGGGACAGTGTAAAAGCTAAAGGTAATGAGCCGACGACAAAGGATCTGCCAATAGTCCGGAGCATTAGCTTGAATCCGATTGAACCTTAGGTTTCCAAACACAGGTAGCTCACGTAATTGCCATCACAATGCTCAGGGCGAGCAGAGTGAATAGTCCCTCCATGATGATCTCGCAGTTCACTCTATAGACTTTCTATCATGGTGAGAGGAATTGGAGAGAGGGTCCAGAGGGAGTCTGGAGAGAGAGAGAGAGGTGTGGTTGCGTAAAGAGGCCAAGGTGGTGGGAGGATCCAGGTTCGCGGGACCCACGTAGCTCAGGTACCGCTTTCGAACAATTCTAGGGGGGAAGTATGCAGGACAACTATATGGGTACATATGTATTTTAAAGACATTCTATTTGATAAGGTCCTCTAAAGGTATGCATATAGGGCTTAAGGCTGATTCTAGAACGTCTTGTCAAACATTATGTCTGTTCTCTAACTATCTGGCCTTACCGGACTATACAGGGCCGAGTGCAACTATCATTGCTTGAATCGATATCTTTGTATTTGTCCTTATTTTTGGTCTATATTACTTGAATTTATTTATATCTATAGTCAACAATCATCGGGTTATGATTTTAACTGCTTCCGTATATTATAGAATGAAAAGCCCGCTATTCTTTCTTCTATAGCCAACGAGTTATCTTTCTAGCTAACTATAACACGGAGAAAAGAATTTCTTTATAGAAAATATCAAAAATCTGAAAAATATACCTGGAAAGAACATCCAAAGAAGACACCGGGGTATACTATCTTACAAGAAACAATTGATCACCTAGATATCATATCATCTTGAGTCAGATAATCAAAGTGTTAAAACTCCAACCTTGTTCAGGAGCCGATCCAGAATGATCGACTATTTAATCAACAGGCACCTGAGCTCATACCCCCAAACATATACAGAGAGAACATGTAGTGATTCATTTTCCCTAGCAAGACAAGCTGTTCGGAAATCCAGTTATCCAAGCTAGGGCATAACTGAAACACAAGTTGTTTTAACTAGATTAAGAACGGAGAACTACACCCGTGGACATTGATATTAGTTGGCTTCAGTTTCGTTCTTGTTCATTCCTTTCTCTTACCATATTTGTGTTCACATATGTTGCCCTTCTCCTTGCAATGGTCGCCTTCCTTTCTTTCGTTATCCCTTTTCTTCCCCTTGTAGCAAGTTTTGTGCACCCTGGCCTCCTCGTCTCCGATAGCGATATCTCTCGCACCCAGAAAAAGATCAAGGCCAACCAGGATCCATGGACTGCATCTTGGAATACCCTGACCAGTCTCACATTCTCTGACGCCAGCTACACTCCTTCCCCAGTCAGCGTTGTCTATCGGGGTACCTGGGATGGCCATGCCGCGAACGCAGAGCTCCTCTGGCATGATGTCGCGGCAGCATTCAATCTAGGCCTACGCTGGAAAATATCCCGAAACAAAAGCTTTGCCGATGCTGCTAGCAATATCCTACACTCATGGGCAACCACTCTCACTGAAATTGGCGGTGGCGACGACAAGTACCTCACAGCCGGCCTGCAGGGGTACGAACTCGCCAACGCAGCCGAACTCCTTCGCGACTATCAGCCCTTCGTGGACGATGTTCTCCCTGCTATTGTGGAAATGGCCAATAATATCTTTATCCCCATGCACTACAGATGGCTGAAACATGAAGAGCCGTCCGAGCATAATGTTCTTCATTTCTTCGCGAACTGGGAATTGTGCAATGTCGCTTCGGCGATGGCTATGGGTGTCCTAACCGAAAACCAAACAGTGTGGGATTTTGCCGTGGATTACTTCAAGTCTGGGGATGGAACGGGCGCGATCAACAATGCTATCGTCAACATCGTTGAAGAGCCTGGCACTGGGGCTTTACTTGGCCAAGGCCAAGAGTCCGGTCGTGATCAGGGTCATTCAGCATTAGACATACAACTTCTCGGTGTTATCGGGCAGCAGGCCTGGAATCAAGGAGAGGATTTGTTTGCCTATAATGATAGCCGGATTCTCCGTGGGTATGTACTATTCAATCGTTTCTACCTTGCCACTTACTCACGTATCGCCCTAGGACGGAGTACTTCGCAAGATACAACCTTGGAAATGACGTTCCCTTTGTCGACTACACGAACGGCATAGTCAGTCACACAGAGATCAGTAGTGCCTCCCGTGGGGCCATTAGACCTACCTGGGAGTTGCTCTACAACCATTATGTTATGATGAAGCGAGTAGACGCACCTTGGACGACTCTCTACCTCAACAACTCTCTTGAGTATTACGGTGGTGCGGAGGGCGGTGCGGGTTCCTGGGGAGAAGGGTCTGGCCATTACGATGGCTTGGGCTGGGGATCATTGCTCTACCACATGGATGAGTCTGATGTGGTAGCTGCAGTCTCCTCCAAATCTGCTTCACCTACGACAAGTTCCACAACAAGGGTGTCTACTACATTGCACTGGGCTTCTACCGCAACGACCACAGCTTCTAGCGTATCTAGCCAAAGTGCGCTTGTTTCGCAATCAACCACCACCGATTTTGCTGCTGTCTCCACTGCTTCGGGTACCGAAACATTTGCATCATCAAGTATTACTCCTCCATCATCTATGAGCAGTACAACTTCAGCCAGTACATCGGAAACTTCGCCTCCTACACCACTTGATATGCCACAGGAAGCTCCTCGCCATATTCATCATACTCATCACCATCACCATCACGTGGAGGGTCAGGCACTTGGTGCTTGCCATGTATAATACGTCTGCGTTTCGATGCCCAAAAGCCGCTGACTCTGCCCGAGTTCTTTTTCCGATGTGCATTTCCTGGTTTAGCCAGTCGATCCTTCAATTTATGTATTTAATTTTCCATATATTTGTCAACACATGTCATGTTGTACATAGTCCCTTAGCATTGTGTTTTTTGATCTAACTTTTCCCACAATTCCGAGGGTCGAAGTCCCGTCTGGAGAAGGAGAGCTCGTCTCACGAATCACGCTCAACCAGCCGAGTGTGCATATATAACATATAATCCTAAAATCCTAAATGATTAAAATCTCATGTGTATGCATGTGTCGAACTAAATGATGAAACAGATACCCCATTAGGAAAGGTCGATGCCAAGCATATACCAAAGTGGAGCATCTAGGCCCCCAGTCATCGACTCACCTCCGATCCTCACGAATTCTTTGCCTATTTAGAATCGAACATGGCACACCCCGCATCTACTCAGAGACGATGCCTTTCTACGGTCGCCCCAGTAAAGCTTGCTGCAGTTGTCGGGAAAGACGGATAAAGGCAAGTGGCGTGGCCCAACACCAGACTAATTATAGCCTGACATGGTTTAGTGTGATCGGCTTGAGCCCGTGTGTTCCCAATGCAGGAGAGCGGGCAAGCCATGTGGCGGTTATCGGGACGTGCCGTCTTTTATGTTCCGTGACGAGAATGGCAGGGCAGCTCGACGAAGTGCAGAAGCAAAAGCGAAGACTGAGGCCCGTCGAAAATTGGAGGATAGTGCAACTCTAGAATCTGATATATCCACCCCCGGCTCGGGAGCAGATCATTCACCGTCAGATGCACTAGTGTGCAGGAGCAGGGGCCAACAGATCATGACTCCGAGAATTATTGCCCCGCTATCTATCCCATTGGAGGATCAGGGGTTGAGGTTCTTTGTTAACAGTTTTGTGACACGGATGGCCAGCAGAACAGGTCGCTCTCTACATGCAGATACTATGCAGCCGTCTCCTCATCTTGGAGCAGTTGCTCTCGATCAGTCGAGTCGAGATGCTCTCGTCTCGGTTGGCCTTGCTGCCTTGTCCAATGTCAATAATGACAGAGAACTGCGGATATTGTCTCGAGAGAAGCATGCCATGGTCATAAAGGCCGTACGAGAAATAGTGGAGAACCCCACCCAGGCCAATCCCGACAGAACGTTTCACTTGATCATAATGCTGAGTTTATACGAGGTACGCTCTTCGGGTTTAAGGTTTTTAATAGTTACAATAACTGACCCGCGTAGATGGTCAGCTGTACCCCAAGCCAGCTTGATTCTTGGATAGTACATCTGGATGGTGCGGCTGCCTTACTTAAACAATCCACCTTTCGTCTATCGCTCAAGAACTTGGACCACCGAGCCCACTTACAATTCTACTTTGTTTCAATTGCCAGATATTTCTCCAAGAGGGTTGTCTCCCCAGATCTACTGAACTGGTCTCCTGATCTCGTACCATCTGCGCCACCGGAGATCTTACCGGGCATCGATCTGGTTGACATACTCGTAAGATTTACGAAGTTCGATGCATATGTGCATCACCGAAAGCCGGACGCCAGAGCAGTAGTGGACTCAGCACTACTATTTGAAGATGAACTCCGCGGGTGGGAAGCCCACCTTCCAGTTGACTGGCAATTTACTGTGAAAGAATCCATATCATGCGAGTACACCTTCCATGGCCAGTATCATGTCTACAAGGACATGTGGGTTGCAAGGATTTTCAACCACTACCGCTGGGCACGACTGCTGGTCAACGAGACCATCGTATCCCAAATTTCGAAAATGACACGGCCCACAGCAAACGATGCGATTCAACGGCAGCGAGCATTGCACACGATTACTTGCATGGCAATTGAGATATGCACCGGAGCTGCAAGTCATGAAGCTATCTCCGGGCAGGGAGTTGCCGAAGACCCATCACATATACCCCTGTTGAATGGTACCTTCATGTTGCTTTTCCAATTAGGAATTGCCGGAGGCGCGGCAGGGACCCCTGATGAGGTTCATGATTGGGTTGTTGGAGCCTTTGAGCGAATAGGATGTACGATGGGGATCCGGCGAGCTTTCGAAATGATACCCCAACTGAAGAAATCAGTCGGGAAATGGAAACTAGATCAGAAGCTGTGGAATAGCGTACATGGGTATAAATAGGGGTTGACCGTATAGACAGCCTACAAATACCATTCCAAATATCATCGTTTCGTAGGCGGCGCACCAAGAAGTGTTCCAGGATGTTTTGGCAAGTTATATGGATGGGGTATTGAACCCTTGTTTAAACGAAAGAAGAAGACATCGCAAACCTGGAAATCAATTCCAATTGTGCAAAGATCACATTGTTATACTAGCTCTATTGGGTGAAACGATAATACCATCTATCAACGCATGAAGAAAATGCTCAAGCTTCACTCTCTAGGCCGACTATCTTAAGGGAATCCTTCCAGAGACGATCCTCTTCCTCGGGGTTATATGTTTGTTTCACCCATCCAGCAACAAAAATATGGTCATCGCCTTGACCACGATCCGCTTCCTTACAGTCTTCTGCCACCCTTTGCCTTAATTCTATCTTCGTTAAGTGTGTGGGTTTAGACGCCTATGACACCCGCGCCGTTGATAAGAATGTTGACCTAGCCCTTAGACGTGGTAAGGATCTCTTTAGCTCCGGCACGGATACTCGTAAAGGAGTCTAGATCCAAGTTGATCAGCGAGATGCGGCCGGGTTCTAGAATCCTGGTGAGGTTCTTCTCGGCCTTGGATCGGTTGCGGGCTAGAAGGAACAGAGTGGCCCCGGTGGCCGATAAGGCACGAGCTGTCTCGACACTAATGCCTGATATAGCTCTAGTGATAATAATAACCTTACCGGCTAGCTTGCCTTCGGCACCTTCATCTTGGATAATTTGAAGGGCGGTTGGTCGTGCATCTCCGGCGCCTTGAGGGTCGAGATGCGCGGCAGCGTAGGAGCTTAATGAGCTCATATTAGGAAGAAGTGGTGGAGACTTTCAAATAATTATCAAGGTATAATATCTTGAATGTATCGATAATAATGGCTACTTGTATATGTTGTATATTCGGCCTACGGTATCTCTGTGACTCAGTCCATGGCCCTCGAGGCCATCATTTGCGGCTGTTGAAGCCCGCCAGAAACCGAACTCCGTCCACCTTCCATCCCCACCATGCAGACCCCTAGTCATGAATCTAGCCTCGACCTAGCCCCGCAGTCCTGCCAATCCTGCAGGTCGTGCAAGAGGAAATGCGATAAAGTACTCCCTAGATGCTCCCGAATCTACTCCTCTCGGTCACTCATTCGGTCCGTATAGGATGGGTGGATTGGGGGGCTATTACTATTAGCACGACTAGGGTCATCTGGGTAAATGTACATAGCCAAAGCGTGTGCGATAATTCATATAGCCAGGTACTACAAGGCCTCCCTTTGATCGAAGTGACATTAAGGTGAGACTAAACCGAACTGCCTCACTCTCCCAGTCCTGGGTCTTAGGCTGTATGGAGCGCATTGATCATTATATGTAAATGGTCCTGGATCAGAGCCGTTCAAAATATGTGCGCAAAACCGGGAGCCATATAAGTTTTTTCTTTGGGAACTCTGTCATTGAGATATAAAAAGAGTTAGTAAATTGAATCTTTGATGGCTTGTAGTAGCGGGCCATAGATCCAGATTAGGTAATACTGATGCGCGCCTGGACCGGGGCGCGTATTCGCGTCTCTCTTGAGACTTTATTGTCTAATTTGACATTCAAACTACACATATCCTATCAAAATGGCGAGTGAAGCTGGATGTAAGTTCATAGTCTCCCGATATTCAACGCTGCCCAGCTATAGGCTAATTAATATTCGCTTTAGGGTCTTGCGACGCCAACGATGCGGTCCATGTTACTGTCATTCAACCAGGCGAGAAGAAGCCGAAAACACTTTCGACGTTTCACCCCCAATTTACCTATCCTATCTTTGGCGACGATGAGCAAATCTTCGGTTACAGAGGCTTGATTATCCGTTTGCGCTTTGCGGCTCATGATTTGCGCCCTCATGTTCACATTTCCTACGATGAGAAGTTCAAGCCAGTCGGTGACACAGCCGCTGTCGATCTCCTCGATACTTTGAAACCTTTTGTCCAGCAAGGTGAGTTTAAGCTTGCGACAATACGTGTGGTATAAGCTAACCACGATTTTGCACAGAGGCATTTGCCGATCTCCAAGATTACGAGAAAGCTGTTCAAAACGACCCAGACGCGAATGATTTCAAGCCCCCGGGCGACTTTGTCATTGGCTACGAAGTTGATGACAGAAAATATGAGGTATGGGCTGGATCGCTTGCAGACCCGGAAGTGCGAAAAATCCTGGATCGCATGCAGGTTCTCGTCTCTCTCTTCATAGAAGCTGGAACTCCCCTCGAGACAGATGACCCAGAGTGGACGCTCGACCGTTGGAGAGTATATTTCGTGTATGTTATTTTTTCCTTGCTGTGTTGGTACTCGTGACCTGAGACTAACCCAATCTACAGATATGAGAAGGTCACTCCTCCAACACCAACAGGATCATCATATTCGATTGTCGGATATGCCACAACGTACCGCTATTGGTATTACCAGCGGGATCAATCACAAATTCCCACAGTCAAGAACGACGAGTTCCCGTCACCAGAAGCCAAAATCTCCGAGCTTCCTGCACGGATCCGCATTGCTCAGTTCCTTATTCTTCCTTCACACCACCGCGCCGGCCACGGCACACATCTATATACCACAATCCACGCGGCATGTATCGCAGACCCAACCATTTTAGAATTGACCATCGAAGACCCCAATGAACAATTCGACGCGCTGCGGGACACGGCCGATTATTGTCTGCTGCGGTCGGAGTTCCTAAAGCACAACGTGAATCTCAACCCCGACCCCCTCGGAGCGTATTCTCAAAAGAAACGTCCTCGCAATGTGCCCACTTCCGCCCTCATCCCCACCAAGCTTCTCCACGACATCCGCAAATCGTTCAAGATTGAACCTACGCAGTTCGCGCATGTTCTGGAGATGTACCTTCTCGGCCAGATTCCTCAAAGCCACCGCCTGGCCGGCGGCACAAACCTCGCTCGGCTGTTGATCAAGAAGTTCAAGGCCGAAAATGAGGATGACCGACGCTACTACTGGTGGCGTATGCTAACCAAGCAACGTCTCTATAAAAAACACAAAGAACTTTTGAACGAACTGGAGCTTTTAGACCGTGTGGAGAAACTTGATGCCACGGTCCAAAATGTGGAGGAAGGCTACGAGATCACATTGGATGCGCTCGAGGGCCGCTTGCCAGAAGATGAATCAGATGAAGAGGCAGGGGCAAACGAACAGGCCAGTAAGGCTCCTACCGGTAGCAGAGACCGGCGTGTCAAACGCAAGCTCACGGTCATGGAGGATGATGATGACGAGGAGGAGGATGAGACAGAGCTAGCTAAGCGACCAAGGGTTTAAAGCCCTGCAGTGGTCAGCTCTTTTATGTACTATGTAATGCACGCTAGCATGTTATATTCGAAGCATTCGACAGGATTATTCTTATACACCTTTCTCCAAGATGTGTGCAAACTTAAGAAAGCTCAATTCTAGTCGATACCCACTAATTTAGGTCACCCAAGGCTCTTATACTGGTAGTACCTAGAACCTAGAACCTAGAACCATTTGATATGTTGAATAGTAGATGTAAATGAAGAATACAAAAAACTTTTGAGAGTTCCTTGTATATATGGCACCGAAGCCACATTTGGGCTCGGCACTTACCTTTTTCCGGGCTTCCTCGTCGCATCTCTTGGAGCTTGAATCCATTGCTACACTCAACATCCCCAGATAAATCAACAGCTCCCTTCGTCAGGGTTTAATTCCGCTATCCAATCCATAGGTCACAGATTTTGGATCTACACAGCAACCCGCGCTCTTTCAACTCTGTGCGCTAACTGACTCTCCCACCTTCACCCACCTCGTCGATCGCATTCCAAAATGGTAAGCTCCAGCTTTACCCAGACGCCCTTTCCGGAACCTCTACTAATTCAATTTCTGATCAGCTGCCTCTCGGTCTCCTCACGGCCGCACAGGGCCACCCCATGTTGGTGGAACTCAAGAACGGCGAAACTCTGAACGGCCACTTGGTTACGTGCGATAACTTCATGAACCTGATTCTGCGCGAGGTAGTGCAGACGAGCCCCGAGGGCGACCGCTTCTTCAGATTACCCGAAGTTTACATCCGGGGCAACAACGTAAGCCCTCTGACGAGCAATCAGCTCAGAGCCCCGCTCTTTGTGCTATATGCTAACAACCCACCAGATCAAGTACCTACGAGTTCCCGAAGAGATTGTCGAAATTGTCAAAGAGCAGCAACAGAACCAACCACAAGGTCGTCGCGGAGGGCGAGACGGTGATCGTGGCCGCGGCCGTGGTCGGGGTGGTGGTGGCGGCCGGGGTGGACGTGGTCGGGGACGAGGCGGTCCCAATTAGACATAAGCTTATTCTGCATCAATGATTTTAAGAAGACGGCAAACGAGATACCCCCGGAGGAGACGGTGGTAAGGTCGCTCGGGAGGTCCGGTGGAACGGTTTGATCGAGCATGGCCGTGGCGTATCTGGCTCTGTATTTTCACGGCATCTGGGTCACTTGGTCGATTTACAACTACCTCTAAATGTTATATTCCAAAAACCCAACCCAGATCTACATATTTCTCTGTAAACCCGATGCAATTCAAGCAGCGAATATTCGGGGACGTCACGTGATATCAAACTCCAGATCAAATCCGCGGAGGCTAAGCTTCCGATCAGTTAGCCACAAGCGGATATGTCGCGGCGGGCATTGGTCCTCGATGGGCTATGGTACTCTCTGTGTCCATCATTTACAGCTCTGAACCTCAGTCGATCAACAGCCTTCCCCAAATCCAAGGTATATCCACCACCTTCGCTTTCTAGCCCGAGCTCGGGTTCGCGCCGATGCTACAACACCTCAGGCGGCGATAGTTTCAAGTTCCCATATACTCCAGCACATCATAATGATCGGAGCGAACCACGGGAGCCACGCGATAATGAATACCGTGACGTTCGCCTGTCTGCAGATCCAACATACGCCCGGCCACCCACACGACGAAAAGGCCCGGTATACACACGAACGCATAGGGTGCAAGACGACCTCCTAGGAAAAACGAATGAAGGGCTAGAGTCCCGATTGCAGTATGCAATGGACAACAAGCCGAACATTCGACACATAACGCAGATCCTGCGACTGCTAATTCGGGACCGTCACGTCCAGCCGAATGCTCGCCACTACAAGGCGCTGATCCTTGCAAACACCGATAACGAGAGGGGCTCGCCGCAGCTTGTGCGCGGTCTACTGGAGGAAATGGAGAATAACGGCATCACCGCGGACTCCGGTACGCTCCACGGTGCATTGCAGGTGGGGACTATCCAATTGAAACCAAGCTATATATGCAAAGCGAAGCTAACCATTCAATTTATAATACAGGTCCTCGCTGTACATCCGGACTACCTTCTACGACAGGAAATCCTCAACAAGCTCCGAGACCGGTGGCTCACGCTGAGTCCAGCCGGGTGGCATTTTGTGGCGGCCGGTCTTCTCCGCGAGAATCAAATCGAGCTTGCGCTCGAGCATGTTGCATTGATGGGGCGCAAGGATATATTTGTGGAAAACTGGCTACACAGTATAATTGTCTACACGCTCTGCGACCATGGAGAGTTGGATGAGGTGTACAACGTGATGCGTGCGCGGGTCGACCAGGGCCATGACATGACCCATCGACTTTGGATGCACGTGTTGGCCGAGGCAGGGAAACAGGGCCATTATCCCATGGCACACTTTGTGTGGCGACGGATGGTTGAACTGGGCTACATGCATCCGCTCATTGAAGTCTGCGATGACGTATTGAGAATGGCTGCAAAGGCTGGTGATATAGAGATGGCGAACTCTGTGTTCCGTTACCTCCGTGAGAGCGGGATCCCGCCCGAGCGTACACAGTATGAAGGACTTGTTGAGACGCACGTGGCAGCGGGTGATCTACCTGCTGCGTTTGAGGCGCTGTGCACCATGCACGAAGCTCAGATTCCTCTGGCAGATAGCTCGACGGAGCGTGTCCTTGCACACATGATACAGAGTAAAGTTGATCGTCGAGAGGCGTGGCAGATTCTCAAGCGGTTGAAGAATGCGAAACGCACCATTCCCATCGACGCTGTCCGTGTCATCGCGGATCTCTGTGAACACGATGCCCATGACGATCCATCCGTGGTGGATGACGGCGTTGGGTTCTACAAAGAGCTCTATACGTTATGCCCCGAAGGCGCCGACGTCCGCGTGTACAACGCGCTAATTCGGATGTGCCGTACGGCCCGCAACCGCGAATCGGGCATGTTCCTGGTGAAAGAGATGGCGTCACTTGGGGTGGTACCGAACGGTGTTACCTTCGAATCTATCATCCTGATGTGTCTAGATGCGGGAAATTTCCGGTCCGGTTTCATGTACTTCCAAGACCTGATGAAACGGGACGCTAGACTCAGCCCTGAAACGCAAGGGGAAATTCGTGAGATCTGTGCGAGGTCTGTGGACGAGTTTGCGATGCGACTGCAGTATCACCCCTTCATTCGAGACGATGTGAGGAAGCTAGATGAGGAGCTACAGCAGAAACAGAAGGAAAAGGAAGCAAACGAGAGAGCTGGTCGCCACCCTGTACCCCCCGGCGGTTCGTCGGCTGAACATGTCAGATGAGCAGCGACGTGATTACAACAAAGAGCGTCGAAAGAAGAAACGACGTCGTCTTGCCATTGAGCAAAACATGAGAGAGGAGGGTTGGGATGAATGGGAAGCTGGTGGCAATGACAATGGCTCAACCAAGTCCGAGTGAAAGGGTGAAACTGGTGGAACCCTTCGATTTTTGAAAGCATGTTTCCATCTCGATCGGAATATTCATTTCCTTGACGGCATGTTGCCTGGGATATGCCGCTAATGCAAGCCATGCAATCCAGGAACCGAGCACCAATTCCCTTTTGTGGGCATGTCACACACCTTTTTGACCTCGGTCAGTATGTACAACATATATATCCTGTACTATAAGTCTCATAAGTCTTTTCGCACTTGTATCACCCACATTTTGCTCCTCAGCATCATAGCAATAGCAATTTATTTCCGTATTCTGTCATCACATCATTCTCTTACAAAACAACAAACCCCCTGGGACCATGAACCATAGACCGTCCAGGGCTGTTCCTTGTTGGTGGATCCCTGTGCTATAAATAGTCGGACTGAAAGATCTTGATGACGATCATGGGGTAACTATCGGGCAGTAAGACCTTTATGAATGTCAAACAGTGACTGATTCGATGATTCGAAGGTAATAGAACAATCCATTCGAGTATGATGTTATAGTATTGAATCTTGAAAAGTTCATTCACAACATTTCCCCTGAAAGTGATCGGCGCGTGTTCCCGGATGCCAAGGGCAGCCGTCGGGGTAAGGGTAAAACGCCTGCCGTCTCTTGCCTCTTACCTCTTCAACTATATAATTCCCCTTCCTCTCCCCTCCTTATTATTCTATTTCTACAACATATCTATCTCTACCCAAAAGAACTCCCAATTTCATAACCCAAAATGCAACTCACCACCATCCTCCCAATTATCCTAGCTGGCCTAACCACTGCACGCCCGGCCTCCCTCCAATCCCAGACAATCACCGACGACATCATCTGGAGCGTCTCCAACTTCACAGTGGGCTGTTCCCAAGGTGGCTGCGTATACCAATACGACATTCTCGGCCGCGAGAACTCAATGACCCCCAAGTTCCGCACCCACTGCAACGGCATCACAAGCAAGAAGGCCGTCTGTGATGACAAGAACATCACAACTATTGTCTCCCCTGCTGCAAACCCGGACTGGAATGTCGATGTCACCCACACCTGGAAATCCAGGCTCAGTGGCAGTAGCCTCGCGACTTGGTTCCAGCACGGCGCGAAGAATGTTACCGTTCCGGACCACAACCCGATTCAGTTTGTTATGAAGCCTACTCAGGAGTATGGTGTTGCTTAAATTGCTACCTGTTTTGACCTGTTATTCTTTTGAATGGGGGATTTATTAATGTAATGGATGGTCTCAATTGGTCTGTTTTGATGAGCATGCGAACTGTGGTTCGATTGGAGATTTCTGATATGGAAATATTTTATGTACTTTGGAAGTGTACGATGTACAAATGAATTGGAACTGGCTATATTGATATATATATAACTAGTTTATAGTAGTTTATATACTGCGTATGTTGTAGTTTATATAGTTCATTTTAGAGTAGAGGGCAGTGACATCATCCCTTGCGTGTAAAAATAGCCCGTGCTTTACTTTACTTTACTTTACTTTGCTTGTCTTCTCTTGTCTTCTCTTGTCTTCTCTTGTATATTATCTTTTCCACATAATTCTCGTGGAACAACTTATAAACATATATTCTACAAATGGTACGTCAGCTCCTCAATAATCCTCCAACTGCTAATCCTGGAATAATCACCAGTCATCAATTCTCCGCCAGATAGTCGCTGGTCCAAGACAACAACACCCAGAAGCAGGGCTAGATCTCTGCTATGTCACAGACAATGGTACCACACTCATCAATTCCACACCAAGATCCAGCCCCTTATTAACATAATCTACAGTGATTGCAACCTCCGGCCCATCAGCAACATATCCACAGCGCGCCTACCGCAACCCACTACACGCCCTAGTGAACTTCCTCGACACGAAACATGGCGCAAACTGGTGCATCTGGGAATTTCGCGCCGAAGGCACAGGATACCCCGACTCAGAAGTCTACGGACGCATCCACCACTTCCCCTGGCCAGACCACCACCCACCGCCATTCGCGCATATTCCAAACATAATGGGCAGCATGCGAAACTGGCTACAACGACTAGACGAGGGGAAAGAATCACCAAACACCGACACAGACACGGACACGGACAAAAACCAACGGGTCGCCGTCGTACACTGCAAAGCAGGCAAAGGACGCAGCGGGACGATCGCGTGCGCATACTTGATTAGCCAGGAGGGGTGGAAGAAGGAAGATGCGCTGCAGCGGTTTACGGATCGACGGATGCGGGTCGGCTTCGGGAATGGCGTTAGCATCCCCAGCCAGCTGCGGTATGTCGGGTACATCGATAAGTGGGCGAATGAGATGGGGAAGCAATATGTCGAGCGGCCGGTCGAGATCCTAGAAGTTCACATCTGGGGCTTGAGGGATGGGGTGAAGGTTGCGGTGGAGGGGTATGTGGACGAGGGAAAGAAAATTAAGAGTGTGCATCTCTTCCATCGGAACGAGCGTACCATCGTTGAAGACGAGGGCTCGACGTCTGAGGAACAAAATCCTGGCAAGGGGAACGATGTCACCACGCCAAATCCAACCTCCAACCCCAAGCTCGAGAACACACTCCCTTCATCGGCAACCTGGTCCCCGACCGTATCAGGATCCGACGTCTCTGGCTCGTCGTCCTCGGCGGGCAATAGTATCTCGGCAATGATCTTCAAACCCAACAAGCCGATCATTGTCCCCAGCTCGGATGTGAACATCGACTTCGAGCGCCGCAGCAAAGCATCCTACACGGGCTTCGCGATGGTAACTTCGATCGCGCACGTCTGGTTCAATACCTACTTCGAAGGCGGAGCCGAGCACGACTCGGGCGTCTTCGAGACGGAATGGGACGCGATGGATGGGATCAAGGGAAGCGCAAGGAAAGGGATCCGGGCGTTAGACAAGCTGAAGGTTGTATGGCGATATCCTGCGGCCGAGACCGTGGAAGCTAGTACAGCCACAAAGAGCAAAGACAAGGGGAAAGGAAAGAAGAGCGAGGACAGCATTCCGGCAGCGGGGAGGCCGATCAGCGAGCCCAAACCCGGTGATCCCATCCATGAAAGCGAGCCGCCTGACTGGCGTGGACTGCCACAGGGAGATAAGAAAGAGAACCGGCATCCTTCTGGGAGTATCTCAGACAAAAATAAGGAACTGGGGCATGCGCTGGAGAAAGAACTTGGGCTGCGGAAGCAGACGGGGGATAGTCTTTCTGGGAGTGATGATGAAACCACAACTACTACCGATGATGAGGGCCGGAAGGTCAACGTCACGAAGGTGCATAGTGAAGAGCTTGAGGGGGTGAAGACGCAGTATGTGAAGAATGGGGGGGAATAGCATTAGCCAGGGCTTGTATAAGTGCATAAATAATACATAATGCATAGTGCATTTATGAATATAGAATATACCATTGAATTGATTATTTCGTATGCTTGATTGTTGTCACAGATCGTTTACTCTGTACTATATATAAATGAAGATCATAGCTCGCTAGGAACGTGGATATGCCAGGTTTGTCTAACTCAAACCAGTAAAAAAAGGAAAAAGGAAAAGGAAAGGACAGGGGTATGCGAGGATAAACAGACAAAAAAAAGTGCCGTCTATATTCACGATGGCGTGGTATTGTAAAAGAGCACAGAATCATAGAGGCACAAAGCCTTCCATCTTCTTCCGAAGCTCTGCGGCCTCCTTCTGCAGTCGATCGGATTTCTTGCGCTCATAGACAGCACGGACAACACGGCGAGTCTGTTCTTCACCCTCTGAGAAGTTTGCCTTTGCAAGACCAACGACCGAATCAATCTGTTCAGGCGTATATATGAAGTTCCAAGTAGACAGGAAATCATCAATCGCAGGGTCGATCGAGTTGGGCTGTGGGGCGAGGGGCAATTCCGGGTCTTTGGTTTGAGAATTATCCTGTCGCATGGACTGCGCAGCTGCATGCGGACGCATTTTAGGCTTGGGAGGGATGTCTGGTGCGGAAGGATTGGGGATCAGAGGGAAGTAGATAACTGCGATACCGGCATCTAGACGCATCAGGTGGAACTCGGATTCAGAATGGTCTTCGTGGTGGGAGGAATCAAAGAGACGTTTGGATGGTGGAGGCTCATCTTTTGAGGTTCGCTCTTCTGTGCTGCCCACCCAAACGTTGCAATAACCCAGATCTGTGCCGGACTTGGGCTGTTGACCAGCGGGCTGGTTTCCAGGGTTATTCTTGGCGTCCGCGAGTTTCTCTGTTAATTGTTCCTCGGTGATGTTCTCTGGCTCACGCAGGGCATTCTCGGTTTCCTTGAGGCTCGAACTTTTGGGCCATCCGGCGCCGACGGGCCAACCCTTGATACCACGTTGTTTGGCGTATCCATCGACCACAGAAAGCCAGTTCTCCTGTTTGACGTCTGCAGATGCATCGAATGCGACAATTATGTCAACATCGCGTCCAGGTCGAATGAGTGGGTAGATTGGCAGGTTGTTACTCATTCCCGCATCCATGAGACGCAAATGGTTATTGTGGAAGATCGACTCTGGACAGGAATCGGGCAGCTGATCTTTCATTCCCATGACGTAGTTAGGTATACCCGCAGGGTCGATGGGATGCACCTTGATCAAATCTTGGTTCTTGCCTTGGATGAGAGAATCGATTCCACCAAATCCAGCCAGACCTCTGACCAGAGGCCGAATCTCCTTGTAATAGTGGGATAGAGTCGCACAGAAAGCACTACCCCAAACACCCATGAGCCCGGGGATTCTTACCTCCGGGATGGGGAGGTTTTCAGCGGAAACCTCAGAGCGGCCTGCGTTGAAGTGACGTCCTAAAGCCCAAGTGGGAATACCGGCATTGAGTTCTTCACAAAAGAATTCATAGGGAGTGAATTCAAACCACTGGAACCATGCTTCATTCCGTGACTCTTTCACTACCTGTTCAGGCGTTGGATGCTTCTTGGTCTGGTCGTTTGAGTGCTTGAGGGCCTCGACAGGAATCTCATGTCGCACCGCCGTGTAGATAGGAAGCGGATGAGCCCCATTCATCAAATTGGCTCGCTGGTTCGACAGCTTGAAATCCACATCGGAGATGCCAAGTTCTCCTCGAGGGACCAAGAGTCTCGCTGCAAGCAGCAACCCGTAAATATCCACCAGCCCAAAGTCCGCTCCAGGGTCGCCTTTCAGCTTTTCCACAAAACCACTGAGAAGGTATTTGTTTGTCGGAGCAGTAGTGAGGAGGTCGAGAGCCGCCGGCGGGAATGCAATATGAACACCAAGACGATTCTTCAAATGGTCGACAAGTTTATCGAAGTCTCGCTGCGCAATAGACGAATGATAGAGGGTCTGCAGCCAGCAGCTGCCACTGACACCAGCTGTGTAGGTAATACAGTCCCACAGCCCTGCTTCCTGTGCTGCCAGGTACGATCCGGTGCCTGCAACTAGAGCGCGCAGGCCACCTCCCGAGCCACACATCGCAATGACCGGTACATCTTCGGGTTGGATGTCCTCCTCGGGTATGTTGAGGTAGGATGACAATGCTTTAACAACCTTCCGTTGTCGCTGCTGTCTAAACTCCTGCTCCTCATCGCAGAGATCCCCACTTACCCGTACCTCGGCATCGCGGAGAATCTCAGGGTTGATGTCGGGGTCCTGTGCCTCCTTCCAGATATCGTTTGCCAATGAGCCGGGTGACAAGGAGAGCTCTCGCTGAAGCTTCTGAACGGTAGCTGGTAGAAAACGCGTCCAGTCTGGGATGATGTAGTCTGTGATACTACCCACATCTACCCATTCGCCGGAGCCAACAGTTTGCTTAACCCCATCGAGCTTGTGGCCGATGTTGTTCCAGATGGATCTATCGTCCTTGCAGTCCTCGCTAACCTCACCTGAACCCGCATTGGACTTGCTAGACTCCGAATCATTATTGTGTCGTGTTCGACAAGTAGTGAATTGAGCTCTCGATTGTCTGGGCTGAGACCAATCCCCCGCAGTGTATGCAGCTAGGGCAGCGGGAGGTACCGTCCACAGACGAGTGGCCCTTGCAGCGCCCATTATAGACAGAGGGTGTAGGGTAGAGTAAGGGGCCTTCTGCATCCAGTGGGATCCATTGAGGGACTCCCAAACCCCTGCCTGCTCTTTTCTTGAAAGTCACCCGTTAACAGCCCCCAGTGCATGACGTCGTGTATTCACGTGATTAGTGAACACGTGATAGCGCCGGACTGGGTCGCTGGCTTCTTTCGGACTAGCGTGGCGGAGCTCCTTATCACTTGGATGGAGCTCGGAGGGGACAATCAATACATTCCATTTGCCCTCAAAAGGACATGAGGGGCCCGGATGACATGTGATATGATCTCTCTGGATTGATCTTGCCTGAACTGCATTTTCTAATTAACCATGGTGGCGCCAAGGAATACCGCCTACGCCGAGGAGAGCGCGGAGGTGGAGGTCCTGTATGCCAACCTCGAGAAACTCAACCGACTCACGAAGAGGATACAAGGCTCCATGGTACGCCTGGAGACAGGAGGAAAAGTTGTTAAAGAAGCCATTGGTCCGATCTATAGCAACACCCAATCCCTTCAAATCACCAACAGCAATATCGACAAGGTCAACGACGCCATCGATCGCCTCCGCCAGCCTCTCGATGCAAAAAACCGAGAAGATGGCATCATTCGCGCAGGGTATGTGTCTTTATACTCTATTGGGGCATAGAGCGTCAAGTCCTTTTTGCTGACCATTCTCCAGACCACAGAGCTCCGGCCTCACACAGTACCTGTCGGCAATGAAACGTGTTGAAAAGGCGCTGGTCGACCTCAGTACAACAAACCTACGATCAAATCAGAATGCGATCACCGACTTTAACTCTCTTTTAAACACCGGAAGTGCAAAACTCCAAGAACTGCTACGGGGAGAACTGAGCCAGCTTGCCACTCCGGTTGAGCCCCTACACTACCTGACCAAAGGTACGCGTCAAAAAAACGACCAAACGACGACCCAGATCGAAACTAATGCACGTATTTACTAGATCTCCCCTTTCCATCCATACCCGAAGAAACAATCTCCCATATGACGCCCTTGTGCTCGGCGGTCGGCTCCGCGTCTATTCATGGATCCCAGCGCGGCAAGGGGGATAACCCCGCGTTGAAGGTGTATGCGGAGGTACGAGGACCATACATCTCATCCAGCTTGCAGAATCTCGCCATTGCGTCCCTCAATACCGTCAAACGGCGACCTACCGATGGCCCTTACAAGCAGGGTACCAATGGTATTGGTATCTACTCCAATGCGCTGGAGGCCTTCATAACGACCGAGCACGGTATTATCGTGCAAATGTTTACCGGAGATCAGCAGGGTCTGGCGTTACAGGCTACCTTCTTCCCGGCCATGGGCGAATACTCCAAAACACTGCGCGAGCTCAACCAGTATATAAAGGCCAATCTGATGACGGACTGTTTCTTGGCATTTGAGATCATCGAAATTGTGACTGCGATGTCCTATCGGATTGATTCCAAGGCCGCGGAACTGAAGAGCCTCTTGATGGAAGCTCTTCGGCCTGTGCGCGAAACTGCAAAGTCGTCTCTATCCGAATTGATCGAGGAAACGAAGCGCAAAGCTGCTACCGTACCACTCCCACCGGACGGCGGATCGGTGCCTCTTGTAGAGGAAGTGATGAGCTCATTGGCTACACTAACAGGGTACTCGGGTCCTTTGGCTTCTATCCTGACGTCTTTGGGAGATGGAAACTGGCGTGCCAAGTCCAACGCCGCTGGCTCGGCTCCTCTAGATGTAGGTCCAGACAGCGGCACACTTCTGTCGCATTTTATTCTAGATATGATTGAGTCCTTGATGACCTCTTTGGAAGCTCGAGGTCGGGCTTTCCATCGATCCAAGGCAGCGCTTGGTGTATTCTTGTCGAACGTGTTCTACGTGGTCGACCGGTCGATCCGACAGAGCTCAGAGCTGGCACGTTATTTGGGCACCCCCGACAGTATCGCCCGGATCGACACTTTCCGCAAGCGCGCGACGTCTACCTATCTCGATGCATGGAAGGAGACTTCCCAGTACCTTCTTGATGTGCAGTATACCTCCCGTGGCGCCCAGCGCAATTCTAGCGGCAACGTGGATTCAAGTGCCATCGTCAAGTCGCTGTCGTCCAAGGATAAGGATGCAATCAAGGACAAGTTCAAAGCATTCAACGCAAGCTTCGATGATATGGTGTCTCGGCACAAAACCCTTTACATGGAGCGTGAAGTGCGCACTGCACTGACTCGTGAGCTGCAAACCGTTCTCGAGCCCTTGTATGCGCGCTTTTACGATCGGTATGTGGAGATCGATAAAGGCCGCGGCAAATACATCAAGTACGACAAGGCAAACCTATCAGTACAGCTGGCGCAGTTGGCTTGATTTTCCTAGGGGGAGATTGAAAACACGAAGGGCTGTCATATACACGAGCTAATATCATCATAATGCATGCCATCACTATGGATCGTTGCCCGCCATTAAAACATGTACATAATGTATGGTGTCATGTGACATGTAGATCATCTCCGATAACGTGACTGATAAGCCCCGCTAAAATTGAAGTGCAGCAAAATTCGTTGCTCGCACATTGCCTTGTCACTGTCTTATCCTCCGTCCCGTTGCTCAACTCTTCGTTTGAGCGTCTCAAACAACCACTGACACGATGTCCGGAAGCAACGATGTCTACCAGACCCCCTCAACTCGCGCTATGCGAGTAAGTCGGTCCTGACTGCCCCTCTATAGGAGGGGCATCCCCGGAAATTGTATAGTTCTGAATTAACCATACTCAATTGATTAGGCGATGAGATGAAGTACCTCTTCTCCCCCGGAAGCGCTTCTCCACATGGAGACAGCTTTGGACCTGGCTCGCGGAGGCTCAAAAAGGTACGGGAGAGTTGAGGCTCAACCGAGATCGGAGGTAGTTGAAGCAAGACACCCAAATTGACTGAATCATGGCTACAGAGCTTGGACTTCCTATCACCGCCGAGGCCATCGAACAGATGAAGGCCCACGAGGTTATCCAGGATGCCGAGTTCGCCGTTGCCGCCGAGGAGGAGAAGCGCCGCAGACACGATGTCATGGCCCATGTCCACGCCTTTGGCCTAGTTGCCCCCCGCCGCCGCCGGTATCATCCACTGGGGTGCCACCTCGTGCTACTGCACCGACAACGCCGATCTGATCCTGCTCCGCGACGGTCTCGACATCCTCATCCCTAAGCTGGCTGTTGTTGTCGACAAGCTGTCCCAGTTCGCTCAGAAGTACAAGGACCTCCCTTGTCTGGGCTTCACTCACGGTCAGCCCGCCCAGCTGGTGACCGTTGGCAAGCGTGCTTGTCTCTGGATCCAGGATCTCCTGATGGATCTGCGCAACCTCGAGCGTGCCCGTGATGACCTGCGCTTCCGTGGTGTCAAGGGTACTACCGGTACTCAAGCGTCTTTCCTGCAGATCTTCAACGGTGACCACGCCAAGGTCGAGAACCTGGACGAGCTTGTTACTGAGAAGGCTGGCTTCAGCTCCGCTTTCATTATCTCCAGTCAGACATACTCGCGTAAGATCGACGTTGATGTCGGCAACGCTCTTGGTTCTTTCGGTGCTACCTGCGAGCGCATTGGCATTGACATCCGTCACCTTGCCATGCTCAAGGAGGTTGAGGAGCCTTTCGAGAAGGATCAGATTGGCAGCAGTGCCATGGTGGGTTTGCTTGTCTGTTGTATTAATTGGGACTTTTTGGCTAATCATCCGTAGGCCTACAAGCGCAACCCCATGCGCTCGGAGCGTCTCTGCTCCCTCGGACGTCACCTGCAGAACCTTCCCAAGGACGGCTTGGACACCTACTCTGCTCAGTGGTTCGAGCGCTCTCTCGTAAGTGTAGCCCGAGATTCATCTAGAATCTTTTATTAACTTGTACTAGGATGACAGTGCCATCCGCCGTATCAGCATCCCGGAGCTGTACCTGACTGCTGACGCCTGTCTCATCCTCCTGAGTGAGTTTTTTTTTTTTTTTTTTTTTTTTTTCAGAATCATTAAAAGCTCAGCGTATAGCTAACCAGTACTAGACAACGTCTCCTCTGGCTTTGTTGTCTACCCCGAGGTCATCAAGCGCCACGTCAACGACGAGCTTCCCTTCATGGCCACGTGAGTCTACATCCAACCAATCTAATGGATATCGCTAACAGCAATATCTCAGTGAGAACATCATCATGGCCTGTGTTGCCAAGGGTCTCTCCCGCCAGGACGCCCACGAGGAGATCCGTGTCCTCTCCCACCAAGCTGCCGACAATGTCAAGAAGCAGGGTAAGGACAACGACCTGATCGAGCGCATCCGCCGCACCGCCTTCTTCAACCCCATCATCCCGCAGCTGGACACCCTTCTCGATGCCAGCACCTTCGTCGGCCGCGCCCCCCAGCAGGTGGAGAAGTTCACCAGCACCGAGGTGGCCGCTGCCATCAAGCCCTACGCCAGCACCATTGCTAAGGGCGAGACCTCTGCCCTGTACGTTTAAGGTACATTAGTACAGTCGTATTCTATATATCTGTTAGAATGTGAAAAGTTATAAAAAGACGGAGATGAGATAGACGACAGGGAAGGGAGTCACATGTGTGTACGGAGTATAGAAATTGAAATGCAAGGCATAATGTTCCACTTGTGGATATCTTCCTGAGTGAAATTTCCCACCCCACTTCCCTGCTTCCCCGATGCCCCGCGCAAATCTTCGAGGGGTTTTAGATAGGAGGGGTCAATTTGGAAGTGTGTCATAGACAGAAGACAAGCTTACTAGAAGAGATGAGATAGATAGGATATTCAACGTTTTTCGCTGTATAAAAAAGGAAACTGACAATTGAACCGCCCAAACATGAATAAGAGAGAAGAGAGAAGATAGAAGAAATACTCCTATCAACCTGCATGGTAATCATAACTATATGCAATAGAACGCTGTGGACATGCAATCATAACAGAAATGCAAATAAAACGAATGAAAAAAGAAAAAAGAAAGAAAGAAAAGAAAAGAAAGAAAGCTGTTTGGGTCAATTGAGTGACCGAACAGCAGATATAGTCCGTAGTGCAATTGAAGACCATTGACGAATCCGCACCAACAAGCAGCCCATCATTGACAGCAACATAACCCCCCCATCATCCCGAACTTGAACTGTCCAACAGCATCTCATTGCCCAATATGCCAATCACCCGGAGTATCTCCGGGAATCCAACAAGCGCAATCCCAAACGGCCGTAACGACAAATCAAGCCGAGCGTGTGGATGTATCCCTCGGCGCAATCAGTCGCGGGGCCAAAAAAAAAGACGTGTTCCGCCGAAGCGCAAATGCATCCCTGCCCAAGAACCACTTCTACCCTCTCAGACCCCAAAATATCCACAGAAGCCAAAAGAAAGAAAAAAACAAGACCAACGTTGGCGCGTAAAAGTCCGCAATGGGCAAAACACAAAAAAAAAAAACAACCCCCCCACTCTCCGGGAATCCAAGAACCAAGAACCAAGAACGCAATGCTTTGCCCCTCCCATCATCCCACCCCACACACGAGGCCTTTAATTTTGTTTCGGTTGAGCAGGAGGGGACGATTCGGATTCGGATTCGGAGGGTAAGAAGAGGTCGCGGACTAGCCAGACGATGTAGAGGACGGCCAGGACCCAGAGGGTTGCCATGAGTTTGTATGTGGAGGAGCGCCATGTGACGCGACGGATGAGACGACGGCCATCGGGACCTTCGATGGGACCTCGACTAGGGGGTTGGCCGTTGGATTGACCGTTGGATTGTATGAAGGGGTAGGCGAGGGCCTCGTTCATTTCGCTGTGGGATATTCGACGACGAGACATTTGTGTGGATTGTAGAAATTCCGGAGGGTATATATGATTCGGAGGACGGAGGTTTTTTTTTTCTTTCTTTCGCTATTGTTATATGCCGGGAGAGAGGGTTAAAGTATAAGAGATGTCAGGCGTGCACAGGTCAAGGAATAGAAGAGAGGAAGTTTTGGAGGTTTTTGATCGGTTTTTAGGGCACAATTGATTGATTGATGGGATGGGATGGAATTGATTGTTTTTTTTTTTTTTTTTTTTTTTTTTTTCTTTTTCTTCTTTTTTTCCCCTTCAGGGAGATATTGGTTTATTTTGCCAACGCACACAAAAAAGGATGAGGGGCCGAAGAATAGCCAGTCAAGAGGCAATAATTGTTAGACAACAGCAAGAGCTCGAAAAGGGAATCTTGAGTCTCCAGAAAGCGGATCTGTTGGACGGGTGAATGGGTAGCGGTGGGAACGTGGCCCGTTGCATCATCTTATGGCTTTTTTTTTCTCCTTTTCTTTCTTCTCTATGGGATATAAAGGATATAGAATATAAGGATATAGGATGTTCAAATGAAGATTTTGCTGAGGAATTGTTCAATTAAGGTGAACAAAGAATGCTTGTACCAGGAAATAGCCAGGAAATGGCCAGAAAATGCAAGATAGCCGCGGTGCTCAACAAGTGTCATTTTCTTTAGCGATGGCTATTGAAAGGCTAAAAAGGGGGGTGGATGGGGGAAATTGACAAAAGTACCGAAATGTTAGATTATGCACGGTCCTATCAACTTGAGTCATATGGTAACTAGTTAACTAGTTATATCTGATCTACAATATAGTTACAAGGTATATATGTATATAATCTATGTTGTATATCTATATATAGTTAGATATAGAAGTCATTTAAGAAAGCTAGCATTGTTATATAGACATTATACACTAAGCTATATCAATTATAGATTCGAATATAGTTACTATACTTTACATATTATTAGCCTAATCATACCATTATTCTTATTCTACAACATACAGATCCTTCCAAGGTTGCGTGACGATTACTCATCGGTCCCATACTTACATACAACAATATGTATGTAGGAGTAACTAGGTAACTATACTTCAATTCAACCTATTAATCAAAGGGGAATGCTTGTTACCCATGGCTAAGGTTGTAGGTCAGCTGAACTTGAAACTAAAGACCGGGTAGTTTAAGTATGGTAGTTCACATGTCCCCAACCTTCCATTTGATATCTCACATGTGAGTCATGCCTCAGGCCTGTGATGGCCTGAGGCCACCTAATTATGTCATAGACCAACTTGGGATACGGATGAACGGAGTTGTAGATTTAGTCCTTATAACTTGTTATATCTTATTTATATCCTTTTATATCTTGTTTAAAAGTAAAAAGAAGAAGAAAAAGAAAGAATATAACTATAAGCCATCACTCTAAATCATACGTTGCTTATTTTTCCAAGTCGTGTGATCTTCCAAGGTTCCTCCGGTCCCCGGAGAGCGCAAGCGGAGAAAACCCGGGGACCGCTTGACCTCGGCAGTGAAAACGTTCCGATGACTCGCATTGCTCACACTTCCTCCACACTTCTCTCTCCAGATAAAACAACTCTCTAGAAAAACACCCATCACTTTAGGCCATTCGGCCAATATATACCCACCATGTGGAAGCCTTCAGAAAGGCTGATGGACACCATCAGACACTATGCCAGCTTCCCCGCAACGGGTGTCTCGCTGAGGCAGATGGTCCAATTTGGTGACCGTCCCTCAACAGGTATGAACTATGAACCGATCTGACACTGTCACTAGTCAATATCTAACTCTCATCTAGGTACCCTATTCCGCGCCTCTCAATTTCTCTCCGAGGAGCTCCCGATCCGTCTCGCACATCGCGTGCAGGATCTAGGTGAACTGCCTGATGGACTCAGTGAGATGCCATCGATCAAAAGAGTCCAGGACTGGTATGCGCAGTCATTCGAGGTATGTAACTCACCCATTAGCACTCAATCCCAATTCCATATACTGACCCGAAATACCAGGAAATCATTGCTCTTCCTCGCCCCACTCTGACTCAAGAAGTGAAAGCACGTCTATTGCGACCAGGCCGGATAAATGGCGGCCCTTCGAAAATCCTCTCCGAAACAACTCAAAATCCCAGCGTGCGTGAAGGACAGTATCGGTCATCCGTGACCGCAGCCAATGGAAATGGTGTTGCAAAAGCGCACGCCGCGGCAGGCCGACGGTACTTTTTCCCCGCGGACGACCGCGGAGACTGGCCCCCGGAACTCAACGACTACAACCAACGATTCGCCAAGACCCTCCAACAGATCAAGCGACGCCATGACGGGGTTGTGACCACCGTCGCGCAAGGTATCCTGGAATGGAAACGGGCACGACAGCGCATGCAGATCGACTCCACGATTCAGTCCTTCCTCGACCGGTTTTACATGTCAAGAATTGGTATACGAATGCTCATCGGCCAACACATCGCACTCACAGAACAAACGCACGTCAAACACCCCAACTATGTCGGAATAATTTGCACCAAGACCAACGTTCGGGACATCGCGCTCGAGGCCATTGAAAACGCCCGCTTCGTCTGCGAGGATTACTACGGTCTGTTCGAGTCGCCCAAGGTGCAGCTGGTCTGCAAGGAGGACTTGAACTTCATGTATGTTCCCGGACACCTATCGCACATGCTCTTCGAGACTCTCAAGAACTCGCTTCGGGCGGTCGTCGAACAACATGGTGCCGATAAGGATGAATTCCCTGTGACCAAGGTCATCGTTGCCGAAGGAAAAGAGGATATCACAATCAAGGTCTCCGACGAGGGTGGTGGTATCCCCCGGTCATCGATCCCTCTTGTATGGACCTACATGTACACCACCGTGGAGCAAACGCCCAACCTGGACCCTGATTTCGATAAGAACGACTTCAAAGCGCCAATGGCTGGATTTGGATATGGCCTACCAATAAGCCGACTGTACGCACGGTACTTTGGCGGTGATTTGAAGTTGATCAGTATGGAAGGGTATGTTCAATTCTCTGTTTCTTACTATCTTTCATGACACTCTTTGCTAATTGATCTCACACAGCTACGGGACTGACGTCTACCTCCATCTCAACCGCCTCTCTTCAAGCTCCGAGCCCCTGCAATGACAATCACCTGTCATGAGAGACGGTCGGATCCGGATCACCACTTCGCACCGCCTGCACCACCCAATCTACAATGACCCGGAATACAAACCCACGCCGTCTCGAGGACTGACACTGATGAATGCCCAGGCCCACTACGCTCGCATGCTCAGCCGAGAGGTTTCGGAGCGTAAGCAAGTAGGAGACATGGAGAGTCTGTTTCACTCGGAGAAGCGGAGAAGAGAGGAGGAACAGATGTAAGACGTACCTCGCTTGGCCTAGCCTTGGCTTTGGTCTTGGCTACTCTCCGTCTTCTGATTGGGTTCTCTATATCTCTCTCGTCTTGTTTAATCCGTTTCCTCCGATTTGGATATTTGGATGGCTGCATCTGTGATCAGCTGCTCCGCCAAGAATGCGAAGATGAGTTCGCAAGTTGGACGACAGTGCCACCGCGTCGTCTGAGACTCTCGGGTAATATCCCAGAGATGAAAGGAGGAAGAGAACACAAAAAACAACCCAGTCAAGCTATTCTGTTGTCTGGATCCTCTCGATGATACCCCTTTTCTCTTTCTTTTGTCCTCTTCCTCTTTTTCTCTGGGCTGGTGGTTCTGTCGTCAATTTGGCTTCTCTGTATAGTACATTCCTTTTAATCTGTTTTAGCGAATACAAACATTATAGTATCATATCTGTCTTGAGTAGTGTATAGCCTCGTCAATTATTCCACCACAATAAGATCCAACCATGCAAGAAACCAGCACGCTAAAAAAAAGAAAGAAAAGAAAAGAAAACTCGCATCAATTCATAATTCATAACTCATAAATCATCATCCTCACCTTCATCCTCAACCTGACCCAACCTCCTCCCCAACCCCCTCCCCAACCCCCTCCCAACTAACGAAGTCCCTCCAGCTGTTCCCTCCCCACCAACCCCAGAAACCCCCCTCGGCGAATCCGCCCCAGAAGAAGACCCCGAAACCCCAAGGGAACGCAACCCCCCCACCTCTCCCCTTCTTCGCATCCAACTCCCTCAACTGCGCCGGCTTATGCCAATTATGATCATTAATATCCCCAATAACCTCCCGATACCGACCACGAATCAGCCCCCCTTCGCTGCCCTTCCCATTGGGCGCGATATAGAACCGCGGGTCGTAGAGTTCTTCTGCTTTTTCGGGGTCGTTGGGGGCGAGATATTTTGCCAGGAAGCGGCGGCGGGTTTGGGGGATTGTCTTTTTTCGTGTTAGTTGTCTCGTTTAGTTATGTTCGTAATTATGTAATTATGGCACTGCCCAGGTGCATTCAAGGGAAGGATGTGATGTGAAGGATGTGATGTGAAGGATGTGATGTGAAGGATGTGATGTGAAGGATGTGATGTGAAGGATGTGATGTGAAGGATGTGATGTGAAGGATGTGATGTGTGGTAGGTTAAGTCAGGGTATGGGTGTCAACGTACTTCGCGAGAGGCAAGCGCGTATGTAACCAATAACTCACTGTCCATGAGGACGGCTAGCGCGGCGTGTTTTTCGTCGCGGAGATGTGAGCGTGTGCGGACGTCTTTTTCAAAGGCGGTTTGGGATGCTGATTGGCGGTTTGGGTCGGTGCTGTTGTATGGTGTTGTGAGGGGGTTTTGGGCGTTGGCGTGGTATCTTCCTTTTTGAGGGTGGGAGGTTAGTTTTGTAGACTTGTTTGTGGTAGATGGAGTCGGGATTGAGGTGGGATTTGTGCCGTGTATTTTTGTAATGTAAATGCATAGAAGCAAGGATTCATGCGGTTCAGATGAGAGAGATAGAGAGAGAGAGAGAGAGAGAGATAGATGGTGGATAGTTCGTGGTTGGGCTTGATAACGAGGGAGGGAAGAGGGATGGGATACACACTTTCGTCTGATCCATTTGATGTGTTCAAGCCCCAGAATTCATCTTCTGGTCGAGGGCGGGGCATTAGTGTACCGTCCACGTTTAGAAGTCTGGTGTCGGACATTGGCATTGGTGTACCATCGAGGCTGCCGTACAGGTCCTCGAGTTGCATGCTGTCGAGTTGCATGCCGCCATCAGATTCGGATTCAGATCCCGTGTCTGAGATGATGTGTACGGGTTGGTTGGACATTTTGAAGAGAGTGAAGTGAGATGGGATATGACTCGGTGGTAAGTCCAAAGCAGACTGAGACGGGATCTTTGAGTTGATATGTGGTGGTGTGGAGTCAGATATTGGATGACGAGATGCAACCAAACACTAGTGAGAATGGAAAAAATTGAAAGGTCTCTGTCATAGACTTGTAATTTACTTGTGATTGACGGAGAATTTCATGTATTTCTTATTGTATGGCCCCAGGATTGATCTATAGCCAGCGTTAGTGAATGAGGAACAGATATTGGCGGTAAGTGACGAGAGGCTCGTCATCTCCCGGAGAGGAGTTGACAGGAGAGAATTTTCACCTCAATAAGGAGTTTCAAACATACGTGGTCACAGCACTTCAGATAGAAGTCGAGGTATAGACGATCAGCTTGTTGACGAGATAACCTTTCGCCCTCTTGGGGTCCCCGTACTGCAGCCATATCAAGCAGGCGGTGAGGACTCGGAATGGCAATTCGGGCAAACTGCTAGAGTTGAACTTCCTAATTGGGCTTAGTTGATATCAAGTATACAGATCTGAAGTAGATACTGATCCTTTGATTATCATTGGGACAGGCATAATATAAACTCTACAAGGAAGAAGCAAAAAGAACCAAACGGTTGTATTGAATGAATGATAAATGGCGAGAATAAATATAGTGCGATGCCAAAACCCAATAACGCCAGAAAACAATGCCGCTAAAACGACCAACAGTTTAAGAGATCAAGTGAGAAAAGAGAAGTAATAATCTAATTAGCCGGACAGTCGTGCATATAAGAATTTTTAGGCCAATGGTACCCAGCCTCGTCCCTGAGATTCAACTGTTAGTAAAGCGCAAACAAGAAGACAAAACCACCATGATAAACATACCAAGTCGTAAAGTTGACATTATCGTATGCCTTGCGATGTTTCTCAATATACTTAGTTGTCTCATAACCCGGTGGGTCACAAGTAACGCTCTCATCGTCCGGGTCTTGGTAGATGCGGACATAGTCGAAGCGCAGGATAGCAGGCATGTAATCAATGATGCTTTTATTCTGCGGTGCGAAGTTATCCGCCATACCCATATTCATGATCAGTGCCAAAGGCTCGAGTGGGATGGTGCGTTGTCCGATATTGCCGTTAGGTCCGATGGCGCGAGCGTCCAGTGTCCAGGTCTTTTCGGCGCCGACGAACCAGGTCACGTCGCCTTTTTCACCTGGTGTGTACTCGAAGGAGTAGGTTTGGAATTCGGTGCCATTGTACCAGCGATGGTTTAGGTTGGTTAGGCCAGATACGGCTTGTTGGTAGACACCGCCTCGGTAGGAGTTAAGTTCAGTGACGCGTGGGTCGTAAACAGCAGCGAAGTCTAGCGGTTTTTTTCAAGTTAGTGGGATTCAGAGTGGAAAGATCGAAATATACTCACCATAGTCAGGCAGGTACCACAAATCAAATGGCGCAGTCTGCAAACTCTGCGACGCACTACCGACGTAGGGACCGCTGTCACCATACAGTGGGGCAGTGCTACCTTCAATAACATCAATTTCGGGAGCACTGCGTGCAGTACCAGGAGTCGGGTGATCAGAGCCAGGACAGGCACAACCAGGCAATCGCATGCCAGGCAGCCAATTGATACCATCGGGAGCACTCTGGTTCGGGGTGATGCCTGCATCGCAGCCATCGTGGTAGCTGTATGGCCACATGCCATCGGTGGTAGAAGCATATCCAGGACGACCCAGGTTGCCCATTGCCCAGAAACCAGGCCAGAAACCTTCGATATGTCCATCACCCGGGAGGGACATGCTGGCTTCAAGACGGCCACCCTTGAAGCAGAGCTTGTTCCAGCTCTGTACCATACCTGATCGGTATTCTAGGTCGTGGTTTTCGAAGTGGTCAAATCGAAGCTGGAGGGTGCCATCTGCCGTGGTTACTGCATCGGGGTCATACCACTAGGCAGTGTTAGCATTTGAACTGTGATTCTTGGACACAGTAGTCTGGACTCACCTCTTTGTCCTGTGTTACTCCGTACCATATATCGACTGCTTGGAAGAACGGGTCATCGTCCTCGAAGAATGTTCGACCGGGCATGTTAAACTCGTCGGAGAACTGCAATAGAACGTCAGCGACTTGTCGTTGTTGGTGACATACTAAACAACTTACCACTAGCTTCATCTCCTTTCCATTGACGTTCTTCTTGGTGCGCGCCTCTTTTGGTGTGTCTGGATCAATCAAGCCCTTCCTCAGGTTTTCCAACAGCGGCCGTTCCCCAACATCCAAACACAACGTGTCTGCAGGGTGGCATACACCATGAGAATGTTTTCCGAAGCCCGACAACCAAGTTCTGCGATTGCTGGTTAGCCAAGGGGAGAGATCATCACGAGCCAACAACATCTTACATGAGTGGGTAACCAATGAAAAGCACCAGAAGACCTAGTGTGAAAATTGCCAGACCACCGACATTCACAATACCTCGTCGATTCCAGATATCACAATCTCGATCCTTGTCCGCCGGGTCCGGGTTATGCATGTAGTCATCCTTCTCCACATCCTCAGGGAACAACAACAACCCATCAGTAGGCATGATATTGAACTTCCCCGACACAGTCTGCGTGTTGACATCATACTCATCACTGCCAGAGTGCGAAGGCGCCCTCGAATCATGGAATGGATCCAAAGGGAAGGTGCTTTCATGACTGATGGAGCTGATACTCGAGCGAGCTGCAGACCACCTGTCCGGAGACCGGGGCCGATCAGTATCACTCACACCATGTCCCTGTGTAGGCCTCAACCTCGGAGGCAATAGGAATTCCGAGGACTCGGGGACATTTGATGCGCCGTATGGTGAAATTGTCATCCCTTGGGCGCCAACCGACGTTGGCGTTTCGGGGCCCTGTGGTGTCAAGGGTCGGGGGAATGTCCGCGACGTGAGAGGCGCGTAGCCCTCGTTTGTCTCAAGGAAAGGATCTTGTCGCCCCGAGTTGAGTCGAATGTGCGGCATCGCCTTCCCTTCCGAGCCATCAGATCCGTGGTCTGACATTTTATTGTTGATATTCAAGTTCTGGACAATTCCGACACGCTCGTTTGGTCTGAAGTCGTAAAGCCTTGTTATCTATCTTCGATTTCTGCCGCTAGAACAGCCCTTCTGCACCAGTCGTTTGGAATCCGTGGGCCAGGTTGGTATGACGATTTGATGTTCTACTTCCTCTTCTTCGTCGTCTTCTTCTTCTTTCGTTCGGTTCTTCACGCCGAGGTTTGGTTGTATATCTGAACGGTAAAGACTGAGGACCTAGGTAGGTATACTGCACAGTTGATGAGTGCGATGTTTTAGCGAAAGAACGGACACGGCAAGTCGGATAGCATCGAAAGTCCCCCGGCGACACGATAAAAGAGACAAACAGAGTCTAAACGGAGAAAGAAAGCCAAAACCACCGAAGAAAAGAAGAGCCTAGATGGCCCGAGGGGTCTTGTTTGGGTTCACGAGGAGACAGGAATGACACAGATCCAAGGGGGCAACCAGTGGTATGTCTAGGCCTCTCTCTTCGCGAGTATCTATGATAGACTGTGGACAATAGTAGAATACTGTTCAACACTCTGTTCCATGATCCAAGGTCATATTGTGTTTATAATTGACTGTCTGGTCCAATTAATTGAAGCAGACTGGTGGTTTTGAAGCTCTATCCTGGCTCTCACGCCCTGGGTAGGGCTATTCTAGGGTGCGGCATTCCCGTTGCTTCCCAGGGCCCGAGGAATGGCCCGCCCTGAATGCTGGCCGGAATTCGGGGATCGACATGGTCATGAATCTGGAGAGATTCAGATGTACAACATAGTAATGATAGCAGTTCCAGGTTGCTCTGTATAGATGGGGAGTTGTTGAAGTGAAGGGAGAATCAGCGGGGAACATGAGAGACATGGCCCGAGACCTGGTCTACAGCGCAACATGAGAGATGCTTCTATTCTTTACTTTCTCTAAAACATGTAGCTACGAGCATAATTACCAGAGTTGTTTCCTTCAAGGTTAAATGAATAAATAATTCAACCTATTTTGCACAGCCATTGACACGCGTCCTACCAAACTCCAAGCCATCGGGGCTAAAGAATGCGACAAATCCCAAACAAAACGCCGTCAGGACCACCTTACACCAAGGGCAAGGTAGGTTGAACCCTCTGATTATCCATTCCATGCCAGTATTATCAATGTCAAAGAACAAGGCAGCGAGAAATCCGTACCGATGTACCTCGATGCTTTCTTATCAAATATCGTATTTCGGTGAAATAGACAGCTACATATCAAATAGCAAAATACAAATTATGCCCTAAACTAACCTCCCAAGGCTTCTTCATTATGGATACGAACAGCCTGACAATCTACGACTCGACAGCCTTAGCACGCAAACCGACAAGACGGCTCTCAGGCGCATGTAGTGCCAGAATCCAGTACTCGATCTTGGTGGTAGTTTGTTCCACGCGGTAGACCTTCAGCTCAACAGCCGACTGATCGGCACCAGAATCTTTCTCGACAGCCGCGGCGCGGACAGCATCCAGGGCGGCGGAATACTGACTATTCGGGTCGAAGGAGGAGGGGGATAGAATGGAGATGGACTGAGACAGGTCGGTATCTGGGGAGATCAGGGAGGAGAGCTGGTCTGCAGTGAGGGAGGTGGGGATTAGCAGGGCGGGTCAAATCTTTGGGATTTTTCAAGGGAGCAAGCAAGTCCATGAAGGAGGATGCAGAACTAGGAAATGGAAATGGGACTAGAACAGGATCGGGACATACCAGCACTAGGCCACGCGCCCTTGGCAGCACCATCCCACTTCAATGCCACAGGCTCGAAGGGCTCGTCTGTATCGGAGATGTAGTATGCGTCGACGGACTGCAGCGGCTTTGGGACTGACAGGGAGCTGTGCACGGTCTCGGTTTTGACGGTGCCGGCCCCTTGCTGCGGGGCGCTACCGCTCACATCTGCGTTGGCTTTGTCCAAGAAGGACATGTAGGCGTCGTCGGAGGACATGATTTGTGTTGAGGTTGAGAAGGGGGACTTAGTGGGGAGGGAAGAGCTAGTTTGTGGTTGCGGTCTTGAGGTTGCGGGGAAGAGGCGGTTTTGGTGCTCTGTGTTTGGAATATGTATTCTTGGGCTCGTTTGGTGATATAGATAGTGTAAGAGACGGTACTGAGGTTGAGGATATTTGATTTGGGAGGTTGATCGTAGAGTGTAGGATGAAATTGGCAAAGCTCGTTTTCTTGCTGAAGCCGACATGGAAAAAGGTGGGATGACGCAATGGACCTTGGACATTTTGTTCACCACCGGCCTGTCAAGTTGGAGTAACGTATATATAAACAAGTAGTTTGAAGGAGTTTAGAATATGCAAACAGATATATGGAAGAATTAGGAGGAATTAGAAGGAATTAGGGAAGGAAAAAAAAGGTAGCTGAACATTTCGGGCATATATTATAAGACACACTCGAACCAGATATATATATATATATATATTGAACTTATGGATGACGGTCTAAGAAATTGATATACAAGTTGTATATTTTTGTTAGAAAATCTCGAAGATACACCTTAGATATATTTATACAAATTTACAGACAATACAACTACATGCAAATCGTGAAGGATATTCGCTTTTTTATTGAATATGAAACGTTGCACTACCAACCATAGGCTTAAACATCTTAAACAGTCTCCACAAGGTCCTTCTTGAGGGTACCCATGAAGGCCTTCTTCTCCTCGAAGGTCTGGAAAGCACCGTGACCGAACTTGGAGGAGGTATCGATCCACTTGAGCTCGACCTTCTCGGTGGCCCTGCGGGAAGTCTGGGGGTACAGAGTCTTGCGCAGAGTCATGACACGCTTCTTGACACCGGGAACACAGCCCTTGACCATGACGAAGTCGTTCTTGACCTCACCGTAGTGGACGAAACCACCCATGCTGGAGAACAATTAGAATTAAGAAACAAACACAAGGGGAGAAAATATCAGGGAGGAACGTACGGGGTGATCTGCTTCTTGGAGATGTCGAACTCGGTGGAGGCGTTACCCTCATCGGTACCCTTTCCAATGCGGAAGATCTTGTGGTTGCAAGAGGTACGGTGGTGGTATCCGTCCTGACCGGCACGGGCAACAGTCCACTGGACGTGGTTAGGGTGCCAAGCACCAATACAGGCGACCTTACGCAGACCCTTGTGAGTCTTGCGGGGCAGCTTGGTGGTACCCCAACGGGAGGTGACACCGGAGAAACCGTGACCCTTGGTAACGGCGATGACATCAATCATCTCGTCCTTCTCGAAGATGGAATCGATATCGATGGTCTTCTCGAAGAGGTTGCGGGCGAAGTCGACCTTGTCGGAGATGGAGCCACCGTTGACCTGGATCTCCATAAGGTGGGCCTTCTTCTGCTTGATAGGAGTCTGGCGGATCTGGGTGTGGGCGAGCACACGGACGACAGTGCAGTACTTCTGGATGCGCTCAAGCTCGCGGGTGATGGAGGCACCGGAGCTCTCGGCGTGGGACTTGGCGTACTTGGTGAAGGCCTTCTTCTTGGACTTGTACCAGTTCTTGTAGAAGCGACGCTTGACCTCGTCGCTCAGGTGCTCAGCCCAGACAGTGGTGAGAGAGCGGAGACCACGGGGAGTCTCGATGTAACCGACGACACCGACGGCGACGAGCTAGAAAGAAGAAAAAAATTCATGTTAGGGTCCGGTCGGTCTTTTTTTTCTTCGTCCTCCACTTTCGCACACAACAGGGAAAACGTACAGGAGGGGTCTCGATGACGGTGGCGGCCTCGACAACCTCCTTCTTGTGCATCTTGGCACCAGGACGGTCAAGGTCACGGACGATGGTGGTCATACCGGCCTTGTAGCCCATGGAGGCAGTAAGGTGGACGGGCTTCTTGGCATCATCCTTGGGGAAGCTGTCGCAAAAAAAGTCTCAGCGCACAGATTCACAAATCACGAACTCATTTAGAAAGTACTGACCTCTTAACCTTACCACGGTGACGGGCAGCGCGCTTGCGCGGGAGGTAGGCAAGGGAGCCTGGAGATATAATCAGTATACAGTTCACACACAAAGGCCGTATTTCGAAATTTCGATATATCGAGGAAAAAGGTGATCACGAACCGTGACGAGGCGCTTCGTACTTCCGGTGACTCCTGAATAGCGAAAGCAGGTCAGCAATTGTATTCAATGGCAACTGTATATAAATCTTCAATCGGGATAGACTCACATCTTGACCCTGTTATCGTTAGTCGTCGAGGTGGTGGGAGGACGATCTGGAAATGTCGAAGTTGATTTTGCACGCTTGGTGTGTGGGCTAACCTAAGCGAGACTCTTGGCGGTCAAGAGCCTGAGGCACCCCACAATAACTCAAATTAGCTAATCAAGCCCTGGTCCTGTCACGTGTCGTCCAGATTTTCCCGGCTCTGAGATGATTTTTTATGGGGCTTGCTGCTGCCAAGGCAAACGGCCAGCAATATGGTTTTAGGACATCCACATTGTGGGCTCGAATGAAATGTAGACCGGAATACAATGCGGAATATATTATAGTTATAGAGTGCTACAGTAATACATGTGTACAGCTTAATGAGAAAAGAAAGGAGATGTTAGAAAATTTACTCTACCAAATTCCAGAGTATCGAACAGATGATTTGCTTCAAGGATGCCTAATGCACCATAAAAAAAATTCACAGTGAAAGGAGACTAAGAAATCATAAAAAAAAAAAAAAAGAGAACGAACAGACATGATGGATTTTCAGCGCATGCGCTTGAAACTTGGAAGTCATCGTAACTCGCACATTCATACCGTACATCACACACTGAAAGATAGGCAGGACAGGGAGGAGCAAGAAAGCGAGAGATTTGGGGGCTTTGCCAGGTTTAACCAGACCACACTTTTGTGGCCGGGAGAAGAAAGACTTTTCATACCGTTGGCTCGACCTTGGATGGAGTACTGGCACGGGCATTTCCGGCACCATTGGCTGGGTTGCCAGCAGCGCTGCCGTTGGGACTGCCTTTGGAAGCAGCAGCGGCCTTCTTTTCTTCCTCAACTTCATCATCGTAGTCTTCATCAACATCCATTTTGCGCGCGGGGGGCTCGTGCGCAGGAGGAGCCTCGGGGCGAGGAGGCTCTTCCTTGACCGGGGTGTTGGCGGAAGGAGGCCCAGAGGGAGGGGCGTTGGGTGCTGGTGCAGTGCCCTCGGCCATCGGGGGAAGACTGGGGCCAGCAGAAGGACGGGGAGGCATGTCTTGGATCGAAGGCAGAGTAGGAGGGTGGTGAGCAGCCTCTGAGGGGTGGTAGTTCTCATTGGCACGACGGGCGTCCTCGCGGCGAGCCTCAGAGGAGCTTCGTCGTTGCATCTCACCAGGAGAAGGCAAGCGAGCGGGCGGGCTCGGGCGGCGGTTGTTCTGGTCATCCAGACGAGCACGGCTCTCTTCATTTGCATGCTTCTTGACTGGACCAGTATCAGCCTCCCATTCGCGGCCGCGCTTCATCGCAGATGCGGGGCGATCTTCGCGATCACGGAGGGCAGCCTCAGCAGCAGTAGCAGCCGAAGGAGGAGCCGGAGCACCAGAGGCGATGGAGTTACCACCTGGAACTTGTGGGGGGAGGGTAGGACCGGGGTGGAACTGTTGGAGAGGGTACCCTGAGCCCGGCGAAGAGGGACGCTCATCGCGAATAGGGCGAATTTCAGGAGCAGGACTGAAAGGACGGTTCTGGTAAGGGGGAGGATGAGGGGGAGCACCGCCATTGGGCCCGGGAGGTCCAGGGGGGCCAGGAGGAGCGACAGGCAGACCAGTCGGCAAAGCACCTCGCGGGGCACCAAAGGCATTACCACCACTGGGAGCGCGTTCGTGGCCTGGACCAGGAGCGTTTCCAAGCTGAGGTAGTGTGTGAGGCGGCGGGTAGGCATTTGGATCACCCATCTTTGGTGGCGAGCGAGGCGCGCCACGGGGATCCGGGAACGCCCGGCCAGGCTCCTGTCGAGGACTCTGAGCAGGAACACCGGTGATCCGGACATCGCGCTGGTCAAGACCGTTAGACGGGGGAGCTTGGCCCTGAGACTGAAGCTCGTTGATACCGCGGTTCCAGTCAGGAATCTGTCTTGGGGGAGCAGGAGCTTGTGGAGGGGGACCGATGGGGGCTGGGGCGCCCCACTGAGGAGCTGGAGGTGCACCAACGCCAGGCGCCTGATAAGCCTGAGGATGAACATCCTGCGGCTGAGGCGCGGGAGCAGTGGGCGGCTGTTGTCCAGCCGTGCCAGCAGACAACTGACTCTGAAGAAGCTGCAGACGAGCCTTGATGTGAACGTTGCTCGGATCCAGATCTGCGGCGCGTCCGTAGGCATCCAGGGCATCGGCGATCTGGTTGTTGCATGATTCGTACAAAGTGCCCAGGTCATACCAAACCTCCGAAATGTAAGGGTTTAGGCGGATCGCACGAGAGTAGGCGTCGAGAGCATCGCGGTATTGGTTGATCTGGTAGTAAAGAACACCAATCGAGCACCAGAAGGTAGGGTTCCGGCCATCGCGATAGACCGCTTGCTGATAGGCTTCGTACGCCTTGGGGTATTTCGCCATGGACATGTAGCAACGACCGAGGAGGTACCAGCTTTGAGCGTCATTGTTATCTTAGGGAACGGATTGATTAGTTTTAATGTATACAATCCACATGGGTGATTGAAAGTGTACTTACCAGCATTGACGGACTTCTCCAAAAACTGGATGGCCTTCTCTTGGCTTTGGAAGGCATTGCTCTGCTGGTGGTAGAGCCATCCAAGTTGCTGGAGAACTTTGGCGTGGTTTGGATCCCGCTCAAGGACACGCTGGTAAGCGGATTGAGCAGACTCAAACTGAGGATTTCATCAGCACAAGGTAAGAAATCAAAAAAAGTGGAGGGAAGCATGGCTTACGTCTTTCTGTTGCTCGTGAACATGGCCAATCTGGAACCAGATGTCTTCTTCGGTCAGAGGGCGTGGGGGATCGCTAACAATGTATTTGAAGCACTAGCATGGATTAGTCACAGCTCTCAAAAATTTCATCGCAAGAGATTTCACATACCTCCAAACTCTGGTTAAACTTCTGTTGCTGCTTGTATATGATTCCCAGGCGGAAGTAGATCTCATTGGCCTTCTCGAACTCGGGTGACATGCGCATCACTTGCGAGAAAGCCTCCTCCGCATGATCCAAAGAACCATAGCGATCATACAAGATACCAATTCCATACCACAGCTTGGGTTCCTAATGAGGGGGATTGGAGTCAGCCAAGAATAATTTCAGGGCAGATATGACAGAAAATGGCTTACCTTAGGGTCGCGCAAGTGGTAAAGGGCTTGCTGGTAAGAGGTGTATGCCTCTTGCAAATTATCCATCATGAGGTGGCAGTGACCCAAGCTACCCCAAGTCTCTCCATTGCTTGGATCCAACTTCAAAATATTTTGCAAGTACTCAATTGCCTTGGGGAACTGCTCCTTTGTTCTGAGAATGCACGAAATAGCATTCATTGCTGAGATAGACCATTGATTATGACGCAGGGCCTGCTCGTAAGCATTCATCGCACCTTCGAGATCGCCCATCAGTTCGGTCAAGCTGCCTACAAACGACACACACACACTGTCAGCAATCGCCAATTTTAAATACATGACCGGTTATTCCTTACCTATTTGAAGCCAGACTTGTTCATTGAGTGTGGCGATCTTCTGTGCGGTGGTGAGAGAAGGGACTCCCTTTTGTCCTTGGACAGGAATTGCTGACATGTGGCCATTGGCCTGCGCCTGCGCCTGCGCATGCGCTGCGAGATGCGCTGCCGCATGGTGAGGAGCCACGCCCGTGGTGGGTGATGGTTGAGTATGAGACATGGTTCCCGAGAATCGTGGGTATGGTTTTGAGTTGAGCCGTGTCGCGACCGAACTCTCGGGGTAGGTTTGCGACACGATGATGCAATCCAAGTTTACACCCCTATTAGACACTGATCAAGTGTACTCTTGTGATATCGCACGCCAATCCTGAGGCGCAATTTCCGATGGGCACGAGAGAGGAAAAAGGGCAAAAAGCAAAAAAAAGAAAAGAGGGACGGGGCCGCGAAAGAAGTAAAGCTCCCTAACGCGACACTATCCAGTAGTGAAGGGTGGCAGTTTTTCCAAAATCGACTAGACCTTGGCGCTGTCCCGAAGATAAATGAGTGGCGCGAGATGGGCAGTGACACAATCTCGAGGGGGCAGCGGGTGAGGTCACAGCTATGTAGAGCTTGAGGCGCGAAGGTAGAAGGGAAAAATAAAAAATATTGAAGAAAGAGGCGAAGATACAAGGCGATACAGTGGGGAAAGGGGAAGTCAGAATTGAGGATGATCCGAAAGCCTAAGGGGGAAGAGAGAGGGAAGAGTCGAGGGGCTGGCAGGAAAGGTGAAATTTGCCAAGACACGCTAGTGGTTGGGTAGCTCCCGGCCGTCACCACTGATTATCTAATACAAGCTGACGCTCAGGAACGGCTTAGCGTTGTGGAGAAAGATCTGGAGGCGGTTATGCTCGTTTTATTTTTATTTTTTGATTTAATTTTAATTTAATTTTTGTCCCTTTTGGGAATTTTCGGGGGAATTTTGGATTTTGGATTTTCCCTTTTTTCGCTTTTTTCTTCGCTTTTCTTTTTTTTTTTTTCTTTTTTTCCCTTTTTAGGCTCCATCTTCAAAATCCACCCATGATCTCATAACTAAGAATTAAGCATATAAGCAGTCTTATAATTATTTACTCGATCTTTACATTCTATAGGCATAAGAAATAATCCCAAGTTATTTTTCTTTGCTGTTCTATTAAAAATCCATAATGCCCAATCTCCCAAACACGAACACACAAACCCCCCGGCAAAAGACGCCGAGTGGGGACTCCCCCCGTGGTTGCCTCTAAGGTGCGTTAGTGCAACTGTGCTCCGTGGTGCTATGTAGCCCACAGGGCCGTGCAGCCGCATTGGCTTTCTCAGATCCCTGTTCCCCCCCTTTTGCCCAGCACATTTTAGGTACTGTGCGTACTTAATCCTCCGTCGAATAAGAATGAAGACCGGGAATAAATCATTTTACTTGATTTTCTTTGTCCAATCCTTTTACTTTTTATTCGATCTATCTATATTCAGCTACTCTATACTCCGTGCTCCGTACTCTGTCTCCGTACATAATATAGATATAATTACTCCGTATTGCATACGTCAATAGACTGCAAGACCAGCACAGACAAGACCAAACCCGGAACTGTGCAGGGTGCAGCTGTCGAGTGACCTTGTGTCCCCTCTCCTTTTTTTTTTTTTTTTTCCTCATCATTTTTCTCCGGACTTCGTGCACACAATCCCAAGCACACCCCCTTGACTCTTGAAAGTCCATGAATTTGTTGGTAAAGTTCCAAAGTACCATGCAGGGTACCTTGACTTGCATATTCGCCCCTTCCGTCATTATTGTACCCGCCTTAAAACGGACTAGCGTGTGTCCACAATTTTCAATTTTTAAATTTCCTCAGCCACAAGCCAAGTGGCCCTGTGCTTGTGGCTAGTGCATACTTGTGGATGTGATGATCTTTACATTTTCAGTGGACCTCGGGAGACTCCCGGATATGACAACCGTGACAACATCTTTTTTGAAATTCCATTAGTAGTGCAGCCCCTTAATGGAGTACTCACATACCATTGTCTCCCCTACTTACCTTTCAAAAGTACATAGTTATATCATATAACTCGGTGTATAACCATACGTGGCCACATTAGAGACCATGTGTACCTTATATATTCTCCCACGGGATCCACTTGGTGCGTGGGCCTCAATTTTCCCAGGGTTTGCTAGCCGAGCCGCCGTCTCTGCCGTTGGGAGGTTGTGAAACGGGGTGTTTCCTAACAGCTTCGACAACTGTCTTATATGGCCCTTACAGAGTAGAGAGATCTGGGTTTCACAGCCGCTTATTATTTTAACTTGCCGACCGCGTTAAAAGCCTGTATATTTTACCCTTTAGCCTTTTTTCTAACCTTTTCCCCATCTAAATCCCTGCTGTCTTAAGGTGTTCTCGCCGAGTCTGAATCAATCAGTACAGAATACATGAATTCTTTTGAAAAAAAAAAAAAATTGAATGAATGACTTCGCTGTAACTGCAAATCTACTAATGTCAGAAGCATGTCAAAACCCAAAGCACCCCGGGAATTCACGGCAATGGCCCGACCAGAGACACGATCAGCCGCGCGCATGCCTCTGCACTGCGGTCCCATCATTGTGTCCACTGTGGAGAAACGCCCATGATTTATCCTGAGACGATAAATAAATACGTAGTAAGAACCAAGACCCCCTGCGACGGGATTTTGCAGACGCCATGCTCCGAGGCGGTGGGTATGACCGTGCGACACGATTCCAGAGTTAGAATCGAGGCAGGGGGTGTGGGCCAGGAAAACAAGGCTAGACTTGACATTGCATGAATCACTGGCGCTTCGGAGTTGATCAGCGGGAGAGAAAGAGTCATCAGGCAAAGCCATATGCAGATTATATTTATGAAATTAAGCTCTTCTCGGACATGACTCACCTACACAGTCAAATGGTAAACCCTCCACAATTTGCCGGTGGATATCATCCGCCTCATGGTCAGATTATAAGAGGAAAAATAAGTAAAAAAGCTAAGGCAACTCAAAGCCAACCAAAAAAAAAAAAAAAAAGAAACGATAAAGGTTTCAAGTCATGTCTCGCCAAGACTTGATAGTGCAAAGTGCAGGGATTGAAGCCCGGTCCAGTTTGGACACAAATGTTCGATTTGTGTGACCTCGAAAAAAAAAAAAAACAAAAGCCAAAATAGATGCATCCATTTCCTATCCTCCCCGATCACTGATAAGATAGGGATCGTGGGGATATTGGCCTGATAGTGTGCCATTTCCAACCGGGCTCGGTGATGCAGATGCGTGGTTCAAGGACGTGGGGGGAGCACAGATGCTTCTTGTGTGAGGTACTTTCTGTCGGGTAATATGTCTGTGCTGCTTTGTGTTGGCGATGGGACAGGGATATATCAGTCTAGTCATATATGATGTCTAGATGCAGATGCTTATCATTTGACGTTAGGTGGTTTTGGGCGATCAGGAGGGTCTCATGGTTGCATGGGTTACCCCAGGCGAGCTCAAGCCATCAACACGGCCCCGAGGATCCTTTTCAGGTACCGCTAAACCAATAAAACCAGGCAGTTATTGATGTAGGAGTCGGCTAGTTGACTTCCAAATCTAGCCCGGCACATCTTGATTGTGGCTGCAAGTCCCCGCCACAAATATTGATAGACATATGTACTGAGAGGATATATTTCGAGTTGAACTACGGAGTAACTATTTGAGTGAACGAACTACTACCTTCGAATTTGATATTTTTTGTTGATCGCTTGTTGCATTCGAAATAAGCTCGACAATTATATATATGTTTTGCTACGAACCCGATTTTTCAACTCAGCATTTGTTTGGATTTCCTCTTTTACACAACACACTATATGTATTCAAAAAACAGACTATCCATTTAAATATCAACACCTTATTTTGATTGCAACTTTGCCTAAAGTCAACCTTGCTAATGAACCAGCACGTGATCACACGCACTATTGGTGGCATTTTTAATATGTATCAAGAAATGGCACGAAATATTAGACCTAATCAAGCATGGTCACATAAAAAGAATCCACACTACAGTGTGCATGGAGAAAAAGGTACCCGTGGACACTAAGAGCGCCCAGACACATTAGCTATGATGGTTTATTGAGAGACTAAGTTCCAACTGCATCTATTGCCAAATTGATCATGAAGATCGACTATGCTAGGACGTAGTAAGGTAAATATACTAAGCCGGCATATTGCCAATTAAGTTCAAACCTAGAAGTTAAGTAAAGGAATGAGATCATGGGAGGGGCTTAGAAAAGCACATGTGCAGCAAATAGCTCTAGGGGAGCCAGTACAATTTTGGAACCCGTGGATGATACTGCGAGTACCGAGAATCGAGGATCGAGCGCATACGCATGTGCAAAAATCTCCCAAGCTACCTTTGCACGAAATGATGGAGGTTGGCGAAAATCGGCGAACTGTTGTTCAAAACCTTGGTGGCAGCCTTAGTACTTTGTTTCCAAGCTTCTGTGTTCCAAGTCTTCAATCCATTATGCGATTCGATAGTGCCGGTGGAAATTCGTTCGTGGCGTAGTTCGATGAGCTTGCAGCTAATGGATAATGTGCTGGAAATATTAGTGGAAATCACCCCATGTGGATGAGGGATAATTCCGGGAAGAGAGGCTGGATATATGTGCTGTAGGGCGCGGTTGGTGCCTCGGGAGCGAAGACCCAGGAAGAAGAGCTGCTCAGATGGAATTTTTGTTCGAGATAGTGACCTCAGGTTTGCGTACAGGCAAGGGGAAAGGTGACTTCACATATAACGTTGTACTTGTCATTTCCCAGGGGAATACGCGATGGATGAGATACGACTCGGCCCAATATGACAGGTAGGTAGTGTGGTCGATCGGATATCTGTGATACTTGAGAGATATGGAAGAGTCGATCATTTTTGACGGTGGTCCATAGCCAGCACATGAGCAGACCACGACCCCTCATATTGGGTGGTTTAGAATAGCACTCAAATTTGGGGGGTTGTGATTGATCTACACTCGCCACCTGTCATTGTCATTGTCATTGTCATGCCATGCCATTGCGTGCTTGGCTAATGGTAGTTATATGGTTGATCACCGGCTGAATTTGAGGAAAAGCACATGATTCTCGGGTTGATTGAGTAAAGACTGACAGCCAAGGGGAATTAGTTGGACAGCGTGCAGCCGTAAATAAAGGAAAAACAGATAGACTGGACCGGGAGCGCGGCAACGTTACATTTGCCGAGCATAGAACACGCAATCAGTCGCTCCTGACCGCTCACCAGGGACAGCCAAGCAGAGAATACGGTTTGGTATACAGTGCCCAGACACCCAGATAGAAAAATCCTACAAGCCAAGAGTTGAGCTCTGTCGAGGAGAAAGCAAATTTTGGATCTGAAGCGGATGTCGGAGGTGTTGATTCGTTGATATAATCGGATTCATCTCAACGGGGCAGCGGAATGAAAGGGACCAGAAGGCCAAGACTTCCAAGACTCTTCCTGTCAGGGCTGGAGTATCTGACAAAAGGGATCAAGATAGGTACGGAGTATCTATTTTGGCTCTCACTATGCACCTAGGCAAAACCTAGGACAATTATTGGCAAAAGTTAGGTAAGAGATATTGAACAAACTGAAAACTATTTCCCCGAAATCGAAATGCCAACACCCGCCAACCTCTCGGCGCCTGGGCGTTGACCCTCCCTTTGGGGGGTTACTGTGTTGCCCCTGATTTGGTTGTAAATACCCATGGGGTTATATAGTAGCCCTGCGAGCATTAAATCACATAGAATTCCGATGCATCCAACGTACAGGTTATCTATGTAATTTTGGGAGATTATATAGATGCAATAGTTATAGTTAGTTAACTAGATGGGGCAATAGGAGTAATACATGTTATCACGTGCGTATGGCCATTACCGCCAAGACTACAGGACTCGTCTCATCGCGGATCATCTTGTCGTCATCGACCAATCAGAGACCGGAAATTGTGGACTTCCTTTCCCCGATGATTGCTTGGCGCCTTGGCAGGTGGTATAATCTCGTAATTCGATCTGCACCTTTGACCAGACCACTCAGCATTTTTGTTTCACGGTAGGACAATTGCACATCTTGTCCGACACAACCCTACCCTGTTATCGAGTACGGCCTGAGATAGCCGTGATCGGATTCTAAGATAAAAGGATCAGCAGGATACCCACAAAGGATTCTTGTACCCCATACAAGGCTCGACTCAATGCCAAGGTCTCGGCATCTGGGCGTCTTGGCGAGAGGGATTGCAAACAGCAGGAAATGCTCCTCCGCTCTCTGGCACGGCCTTTCCTGGGCTTTCCTGGCTTTTCCGCTCTTTTCAGGCTGCGGCTCTCCGTGGTCTCTTATAAGTCTCTCTTCCGCCCTTCCTGCCCGCCCCTTCCCCCTTCGACTTGTCAACAGAGAGCCCCCTATGCCCGAAAGATTACGACTACGGAAACCATGCGGTGAATTCTACATGCAATAGTCGCCCTCTGTGCGTCTACCTAGTACGACTCTTGCTTCGTCTTCACCTACTGCTTTTATATTCTCGCCCGACATGCGGTCACCGGAGATGTCATATAGTCCCGCCTACTATCGGGATCAAGGACCTCCTGGAACGGCACATCCTCGCAGCTCGATCGTCACCCCTCCACCGGCTACCCGTCGATCTCAAGAACAATCTTCCATATTGGGTCACGCTGTAGGCGGATCTCGACCCTCCTCTCCCATACCAAGCCGCGACGCCAGTCCCCGTACCTCAGGCTCACGGGCACACCGTGTATACCATAACCAAACACTGGGAGGACCTCCGTGGCCCGGTTCAGATATCCGAGAGACAGACCCTGTTCCGGCCGGCTCAGCATCAAGTGGCGCACACAAGGAAGAGCGGGCCCCCAGCAGCTGGGCAGACCGGCCGTCATTAATGTCGGGGGAACATTCCAACCCGAGTATAATCCGTGTGCGAAAGCGAGCCATTCCGGATGACGAAATAATCACTAATGAGGGCCAAGATGCTCTCTTGATGCTAGTAAGTGCGCAGTGTAGTGGTCCAATGTTTTATGTACTAATAAAAAACTGATAGTTCCGCCTCACAATCGTCCCATTATACTCATTCGGCGCTTCTCTATATACCATCTTCGCCCTCCTCTTCGCGCTTCTTGTCTCACCTTTCCGTCTGTGCTCATTTTCCCCATACCTCCGCGCCACGACGTTTGTATCACAACTTTGCGATCTCCTCTCTCCTGTCCTTCACATCCACGAGCGGCTCGTTTGCTTGCAGCCACCATCGGTGGAAGACCGATCATCCTCCACCCAATCCACCCAATGGATTCGCTCAGAGCCAGATTCCGACCAACCGTCAGTCATATCCCAGCCGAGCGAGGTTTATGCGGTGACTACTTCATTTTTCGTCCTGCTGCTATCCCCATTACTCAGCATTGTGATTCTCCTGTTTGCATGGACAGCCGCCTTTTTCTGGGTCTTCTCCATGGTCCTGGGTAACCCAGACGGCACCGAGCGGAAGGATGATGGTCGCACCGCCGTTCTCGGAGTCTGTAAATGGTGGCGGTCATGGCTATGCAAAGCCCGAAAATCATAATAACTTCCAATAAGAGCCCGCCAGAATCAAGCAGGCCAAATCAGTGATACATCTCACCGCCAGCTTCACGAAAGCTGTATCACTCCCCCTTACCTTGAAACATTGTCCACGCACTACATTGATACCCTCCCCTCCCCTCTCTCGGTACATGGGCGTACACCGGGAATACGTGGAATGACCTCGCTTTACTTTTACTTTTACCCTTCGCATGCTGATATTACCTCCGTCCTTGGTGGCTATGACTATACACATTCTGCATCGTTGATGCACGCGGCGTCTGGGATTGGCTTTTATTTATACACGGTCTGGGCGGGCGCACTGATATCGAAATTATTTCGACGTGTATCTTTTCTTTTTTTGTTCTTGTGTCTTGCAGATTATCGGGGTGTGGTTGATGCCTCCCCTTGCTCGACTCAAGACTTTTTGACCTTGTCTTGTCTGGTGAGCCGGTGGGGGATCTTCAATCTGCCTTGGAACTGTATTTTTATGTATGAAACTTGCCTGCGAGAGGAGGTTGTATGTATGCACTGCTCTCGAGTGCGAATCTGATACCCGGGTTTATTGCTTTTGATTCTTGGGATCTGCTTGAAGTAAACACTATAGGATTCTGTCTTTCACTCAATCCTTGCAAGATAGATGGCCAAAAGTATTTGTAGTCGAATGAGGAAGCTGGAAGTCATCGCTTCAGATTATCTTGTCTCATGCCTTTCAATTTATGTGGGCAATACAAGAATAGTCGGCCGCTTATGCGGTCTCTGCCCTTACGACGTACTTCATCATCTGATCCAGTTGACCCAAGATGATACCACGAATGTTATATTTAAGATCCTCTTTTAATGTCTTTCCCCCTTTTAGAACAAGCTTTTGACAAAGCCTGAGGTTATCGTCTTCAAGTACGCTCTTTTACCCTGCCAGACGAGGACTAGCATATATTGGAAAGACCATATGCCTATAACTAGATATGTACCATTCATAGAACAAGACTTTACATAGTTATACTTCACTACAATCACTGTATGGTATCCCATATCGGAATGGAACTTCCCCTCACTATCCCTGCTTGCCTTTGTTGAACCACTCGTCTACGCCGTAGGACTACCCCTGTAGAGTTATCTCCACAATTTGCAACTTCTCCTTTGTGATATTTAGGGATCTTATTCGATTGATATTTTACCTCCCTCTGCCCCTGAGTTTATGTAAGAAACTCGTCGCTTTTAAGGTTGTTGAAACTTCTTTCAAAGAACTTCCCCCTCCTCCAATTGCCATGGAAGCATGCATCCCACCCAGAACACCGGAGGCCCTAACCTCAATATATCCATTGCCGCACCCCCTATATGGACATATGCCGCAGGGGACACTATAATCGGCAGCGTGAGCCGCCACTCGCATATAGTGGCCCCAGAAGCCAAGCTCTCACTTACATTGATCGGACGCACAAGAGCCCGCCTAATAACAGAAGGCTACCCATCGAAAATCTCATCCTACGGCAACTGGAAACTTTTCGAGCTTCCATCGCAAACCCTGTTACGTGGACCTATACACATACCATCGCCCAGCACGCCAACCGACTGGATCAACATCCATTTCTCAATTGATATCCCCGAAGCAGTTTCACTGTCAGCAGTCCGCAACCACGCACAAGAAGAGAGTTTCATCCCACTAGAAGCAAACTACCTCACACAGCAGCAGTTACCGGGGACATTTTCCACCGAATGGACCGGAGCCAAAGTCTGCATCGAGTACTATCTCCAGGCGCAGCTGCGGTATATTCGCAATGGCTTATGGTATGTCCAGCGTGCGACAGCGCCTATCACGTTAGGCTATCCGACGGTAGACGGAAGGGGGATCCGGTTCGCGCTGCAGCGGTGCAGTATCGTGAGCCGGGTGCGCAGCCAGCGATTGCTTCCGTGGATGCGGGATGTGGATTTATCCTTGAAGCAGAAGACGAAGAAGATTCTTGGGTTATCTTCTGTTCCTGGATTTAGCTTTGAGGTTGTGATGAGTGTGCCGATTGCTATTCAGCTTGATGATTCGTCGCCGATTCCGCTTCTTATCAGGATTATACCGCAGCGGGATGGGAGTAGTAGTGCTATTTGGGATGTTGTGCAACGGGTCGAGGTTATTGAGGTTAAGATGAGTATTCTTTCGAAAGTTGAGATTGTTGTCAAACCGAGTGAGGAGAGCTTCTATAAGATTCCTAATGATGGACATGTGTTTGTTCAGAATTTGGGCCTGGAGAAAGCGTTTGAACAGCGAAAGGATCCTATTGTCACTTTTGCTGGGCCAAGTGATTCACCGGTCGATATTGGGAGGGTGCTTCGGCTTGTTCTCAGACACGATGGTCTGATGAGTGATGGGAAGCGTCTCAGTGTTTTGGCTAGCATCCAGCCTAGTTTTGTCACTTTCAATACCAAGCTGAGTCACTCGATAATATGGCAGATCTCTCTTAGTATTGCCGGGGAGACACGAACTGTGTCGATGACGACAGTGGTCACTGTGTATAACAGTGCCTCTAGGCTGTGAAGTTGTGCCTTGTTAAGGCAATGGGCTTTTTGAATTTGACTGGTGTTGATTTTGTGGACAGAATTCACTTCTGTCGTATTGCCTTGCGGGAGCATATCCCTTGTCGAATATAAGACAAGGAGAGCCACAGCGAATAGCCTAAGGATTGCACGGCTAAACACTTATAATTGAATTATCATAATAATATCATAATTAACAGATAATTGTAGACATGAGAGTATCAAAAGAATGAAGCTGCGGCCGCTTCGATAGTTACCGATTCGTATTCAGCGTCACCAGTATCATGGTCAACAAAAGAAGAATCAGGGCCGTTAGCATCATCATCAGACAGGCCAATGTCATGAATATCCAAGCCAGTCACACCACGAGATAACATCTGGATCTTTATCTCCATATCATGTTTCCTCTTCTGCTCCTTCACCTCCTCCTCTGTCTTCCTCTTCAACTCCCTCTCGTAGGCGCGCTGCTCCTCTTGGTCCCGGGCATTGTCCGCCCATACCTTTAGGTGTTCCGGGTATCGCAGACACCATACCACAATATCCCGTGTTGCGTGCGCATCCTCCAGCGCACTGTGGCCCTGCTTCCCGACTTGGATATCATAATTGACCAATTCATTGGTAAGGGTCTTCAGGCTCCATGTGCGGTTGAGGGGTTCACTGGCGTGTGCAGTGTAAAACACCGCTTCGCTGGTAATGATAGAGGAGTCGACAACGTTCCAGTGGATGATACCTAAGACGTCGAGATCATTGTTGAGAGAATGGCCGACGAGGACAGTCTCGCTATCCATGAACTCCCATAATTTCGAGCGCGCGCCTTCCCAGCCAAACAAGGCTGTGCCTTTCTTGACAGCCTTGTTCATGGCACTAGGAGTCACTCCACTGAACCGAGAATCCCAATTCACTACTCTCGATTTCGGTTGCACATAATTGTCGATGAGAACCTCGCCAGTCAAAAAGTCAATTGCGCTCAAAAATGCAAGTTCCCGACGCCCTGCTTCGACTTGCACCATCTCACAGTCAAGGACAATTGCTCTCCTTTTCGGCAAGCCACCCGCGGAGCGAGGAACTTGGCGGAAATGTCCTGTTTTCGGAGGGGGCTTCTTCGACGGGCCTCTGCTGACGTCCGCCAAGCTAGCCCGAAAGGTGAAGCCTCGGGTGACGAGACGGGTTTCCGAGTGACATCGTGCCGACAAGTAGCGAAAGATCAAGCTTTGTTCGAGCGGCTCGAGGATAACATGATAATTTGCGTTTTGGATGGTGGGTGACGACGTATTTGAGGGGTCAAGTTCAGAGGTCTTACTCCGTAGGTCTTCAAAAGCCTCTGCCCTCAACGGAGTACGTGCTGGGGCCTGATTTGATGTGCGCTTTTGAGACGTTTTTGCAGGATTGGCAGGCAGTATATCAGGGTGATACAGGGACTTCTCAATCTTTGTTTTCTTTGGATTGGGTTTCGCAGATTTTGCAGACAAAGCCTCAAACAGATCCTGGGATTCCTCGAGTTTTGTTTTCTTTGCAATGGATATTGTAGGTTTGGCAGGGACGGGCTCAGAAAGAACCTGGGACTCCTCAAGCTTTGTTTTCCTCGGAGTGGGTTTCGCAGATTTGGCAGACAAAGCCTCAAACAGATCCTGGGATTCCTCAAGTTTTGTTTTCTTTGCAATGGATATTGTAGGTTTGACAGGGGGGAACTCAGAAATACCCTCGGATTTCTTAAGCTTTGTTTTCTTTGCACTGGATTTCGCAGGGTTGGCAGACAAGGGCTCGGAACGATCCTGTGACTTTTCATCCTTCGCGGTCTGGGGCGATGGCTTTGCAGGCTTGACAAAAGACTCGGACAGATCCGGGAGCTTGTTATACTTCACGAAATTTAGGCTTGATTTCGTAGGTTTGGAAGACATGAGTCCAGAAAAATCCTGGAACTTCTGCTCCTTCGTGCTTTTTGGAGCTGGTTTTGCCGACTTGAGAGACTTGAGGTCGGAGCCATCTAAGGGCTTTTCATGCTTCTGGGAGTGCTTGAGCAACGCCGTTATAGTTCCGAAAGAACTGTCGCATGGACTGCAAGCAAGTTTGTGGCCTTTGGACTCAAAATGAGCCTTGACAGCACCGATGCTTTTAAAGCCACCTTTTTGACATCCAGGACAGACAAATAACTTGTCAACGGCTGTTGTGGGTGAAGCCATGATAGACAAAAGAGAAATTGACGTGTTGTTTTCCAATTTTGTCGTGACCTCGGTGTACAGAAAGCTATAATGGAAGGAGCAATATGTGTATGTCTTGCCTAATCGAGCCCAACGTGGGGAGTAGGGATTGGTAGGCGCGACACTTTGCTCTGTAATCACTGTGGAGGCGTATGGATCAAAAATCCAACGATATATAATCGACGGGACAGTCTCTAGTGTCCAAATTAACTGGTTCAACTTATGGTCAGACAAAAGCACAGAGTGAATTGATAATTGATTGAAGAGGGATGAAATTGGCCAAGCCAAGATTCTGCCCAACTCTACCGGGTTGAAATGGGTGCCTGAAATAACAGGCCAATAACAGCGCAAGAAAAGATTGGCTGCGTGTGATAGCCGTAGGATAAATCTTTTCCCGACAACATTCTTCTGATAACACTAGCACTACTCCTACATGGTACCTATGAAGGTTCGCTAAGACAATTCGAGTCCATCATCTTCTTTCTATAATTGAGGGGGTACGTGGTTTCCTCATTCCCACATCTAAGGGCGAGTTGATATACTTAGCCCAAAGAGGGAAGTGACACAGAAAAAAAGGTCGAATATGAACTCTCCTTGAATGGCACCTGGGTTAATTCATAGTAATTAGTGCCGTGAATAATATTCTGGGAGGGGGGGGGCTTGTTAGGATATCAGATGAGGTACTCGTACATATGTAGCTACTAGTAATTTAAAAATTACCATCGATAACCATGTCTTAACCTATAGTTAACTAGCCACTGCTTAACTAACTAACTAGTGGTACATGAACTCTTAATTTCTGGGGATTTAAATGAAACTGTCGTCTAAGCCTTTTCGCTACCAGGCAACCTTCTATTCTATGCTTACGGGTTTAAAAGGTGCAATAAGCTCCAGACAAACTATTCAGGTTTGTACTCCAAATATATATAAAAAAATCTATATCATATATAGTTCTAAGAGACTGTCAATATGCACAAACAAGTGTTTCGCTAGACAAAAAAACAAATCAAACAGTAGACCTCTGAGAAAAAGCTTAGTATAATACTAATCCTTACCCTTCTTCCTCCCCTATTTATCGTCGACTTATACACCTAAAGTTCTTCTTCTACTCCATCATCTTCTGCCGTGTCAGGCAGTTCAAGTTCATCGTCTACTGCCGCGTCATACACATCATCCTCATCATCATCATCATTCTGCGGCACCTTAATTCCTAGGATAGTCTCGTACCCTTGGATATATAATCTCGCTGGATCTGGCAAGTCTGGATACTCTGGCATCTCTCCCAATGCTAGCTTCTTATGAGCTGGAAATTCAGAATCGTCGTCAGCTGCGTCATCTCGCCCTCGTTTACGCGAGTTTTTGGGTGCAGGTGCAGGTGGTGCAGGTGGTGCAGGTGCAGGGACAGGAGCTGGAGCAGGGGCTGGAGCAGGGGCTGGAGCTGGGGCGGGTGCAGGGGCGGGTGCTGGGGCGGGTGCAGGGGCAATTACAGGGGCCTTTGCTGGGGCGGGTGCTGGAGCCGGTGGTTGCCATCCAGCTATGGCCGGTGCAGAGAGTCCCCAACTGGTGGGATCATAGGCTCGGTAGAAACGACAAAGATCCATCATCCACTGAACAAGCTGAGCTTGAGGACGGCCTTGGATAGATGCTGGTAGATTGGGTATTTCAGCGGTGACACCAACATTAAAGTTTGTTCTATGGTTGATCGAGGCAAAAAGATAGTTAGGCCTGCCACCACCAGCGATATGTGCAGCTTGCTCGACGTCATGAACTCTTCGAATAACGCCCATAACAGTAGCTCGGGCTTGGGGGTTTGAATAGAGACCAAATCGATCCCACAAACCTTGTTCGGGTCCTGGACCAATACCCAAATTGTATCTCGGCATTTTGAAGGGTAATAATAAAAAGTGATAATATGTGGAGTTGAATTGTGTTGGTTATTAGATTGTTGGACGAATTGAATAGTTGCTGTGAATATGAAATGGGAGCTGGAATGGATTTCCTCGACTATTAAATACTTGACGCGCGCTTTGAGACCGAGACGGTGTTAATTTAGAACGCAGCTTTGAGACTCGAGCTTGAGAAGTGCATTGTTTATTGTCTTTGACATCGACAAAGCATAGGATATGGCTAAAACGATTCATGGTATCTTTAGATCAAAACAAAGAGGTAGTGAACAAAGCAGAGATGCTTTAATTAGTTCTCTAACAATAATAGTCCGGAAACAATGGTGGGATACATGGCACTATCAACCTATCCACTTTGTTGTTGAGGTAGAACATGGGTACTACGTGGAACTAGGAATATGTGGTGATTTAGTCTGAGTTCATTCCCATATAATGTGTATTCAACATATTAATCCGATACTAAATGGGCTCTTTGATTGGAGAACGTCGCCTCCTAGGGAAAAATGATTAGTAGAATAGGACGCATTCAATCTCTCAGTTTAAAACAAGTAATCTCAAGCTCTAAATACCAGTCGTTCTTTCACGATCAGGTGAAAAATAATAACCTCTGTGGCTTGATGTCATTGTTTTCCCAGTCTACAATTCTTGGAAGCCGTAATTGAAATGCTAAATTTGACAACTTCATATCTCCGACAACGTCCGTTTAAAAGGTCGGTCATGAAAGCCGAGAAGCATTTTGAAAACCATCTCGTGGGTGGCTGGACATAAATGAGTAAACATGACAACTTTGCGATCTGAGAAGGAAGTTCGATGATGTTGGATGTTGGACTTATTGTAACCGAATGCGACCTGATATAGTCCTAACCGATGGCGTAGATCCTCTTGATGGACTAGGGATGGGAAAGACAATGAAGCTGCAGTTTATTGGCAGTTTCACGCACGCACATAAGTAGATGGCTTCACACGAGCATACGCACGGATTCTCATCTACTTACTTGGGAGAAATTCGGAATCACTCTTCTCCCAAGGATGATGCTTTTCGAGGTCTCTGACAAGTTGTTCGTGCACTGCGCTTCGCGGCTGGACTGACACCTTAAACGGAGCTGGATGGCTAATGACCCCGGGGAGAAACTTTAGTGGGATATCCTGGGTAACTCCATTTTGGATTGGTTTCGAGATACTGAAGACAGCCAGAGCCTGTGAGACAGTAAGAAAGACGTTTGCGTCTGCCAGTGTACGCCCAGGACAGGCTCGACGACCAAACCCGAACACAAGCATGTGCGGATCGCGCTCTGGGAGTTTGCCGTCGGGGGAGGTCAAAAAGCGCTCCGGGCTGAAGGTCATTGGGTCACGATAGACGGTTGGATCGTGTGTAAATGCCCTAAAATATTAAAAAATGCATCAGAAAGTACTGTATCCTGCAATGGACAAGAACAACTCACCAGATGTTTGCAAGAACAGATGATCCCTTGGGGATGAAGTACCCTTCGCATATATCGTCCTGAGTTGACGTGTGTGAGACACCCATGGGTACAACTGGATGCCATCGGAAAACTTCCTTGACTAGTGCATCCATGTATGGAAGATTTTCTCGATCTTGGAATTGAGGTAGTCGATCACTCCCAAGCACTGTGTCGAGTTCCTGCTGAGCCTTGCGCTGCACCCCCGGAAAAAGAGCCATTGCGAGGAAGAAACTCGCAATAGAGGAAACAGTCTACCTTTTGTCAGTCAAATATGATGCGTATAGCCCGGACTTTCTCTCACTGTATCCGCGCCTCCTGCGTATAGAGACCCAGCTGACCACTTGATGATGCCTTCTTCTTCAGTCCCAGGCTCCACACGATTATTTTGGAGAAGATTGGACAATAATGATGGCACGAAACGACCATTACTTATTTGCTGCTTGGTGAATGCATATGGAACGTCACTGAACGACTGTGCTCTTGACTTGTAGGTTTGAGCGATCTTCACGAATCGTGCCCCAGGGAACCAGGCCGGGAGATATTTCACTAACCAGAGAGCCAGAGAGTCAGAAAATATTCCATAATTCAACGAGTTGATGTAAATCATCAATTGCTACTTACTTATTGGAATAAACTCCACTGCCCAAGTTGCTGGAAGCAAGGCGTATGAGAAGTCCTCCATCGCCTTGTCGGCCAGATCTACAAGAGGGTCCTGCGCATGAGGTTCAATAGTGTACCCATACGCAATCTTCAGAACGATCGCTCCAGCATCTCTATTGAAATTAGAATTTGTATACTAAGATATGTTGAATAGAGGAATTGACTCACTTCCGTATGTGCTGATGAAGTTTGTCTGGCTCATCCAATACCCTCAACAGAAAACGACCAACCTCCGTTGTCTGAACATCGTTGAAACGGGCAACAGAATTCTTTGAACCAATCTCTTGATACAAGTGTTTCCGTGTTTTTCTTACGTGGTCCGGGTTTCTGAGCGCCCCAAGGATATATTGCCAGCCCGACCTGGCGATATCAGTTACCCTGGTGTCACGCAAGCAATGCTTCCACTTACATGTCAGTGAACATGTTTTCTGGACGTCCTGAGTGTATAGAAGAATGCTTTTCTAATAGCTGAACTGCCAAATTGGCGTCGTTAAGGATGATGACATGTCTGTCCAGCACAGTGAGTGAGCTAATGGGTCCTTATTTGGAAACAGTCAACATCCCGGGTTGTATATTCCGCAGGAATTCTCTCTTACCATATAGCTCCTTATGTTTCAGCCAGTGCATCCAATCTTGTTGATCTGGTGTTGGAAGGTCCTTCAGATTTCCAATTATGGGCTTCTGTTTAGGACCAGGAGGAAGAGGGAGGGGATATCTTTTGCGGCCGCGAAGGGTTGTAACAATCCAAAATCCAAAGGCAATGAGAAGACCCAACCATAGTGTTGACAACATGCTGATGTTGATGTTAAAGAGAAAAATTCAAAACATCAAGAGAGGGGTGCTACATCGCGCGGTCTCTTAAAGCTTTAAAAAGAGGGGTGGTGTTTTGACATAGATACCTGCAATATGAATATTAACGATTGATTAGTCTCGGTATTTTACGAAGGGTAGCATTGCAGGATGTATCCACTCGACTGAGAATCTTCCACTCTATACGATAGGTCAGCCATCTGCATATAGGAGGGGTGAGACGGGGCGTACATGCATATTCACGTAGTCTGCATCTACGCCATACGAGGCTTGTCTGTGCGACAGAAGTTATCCCAGCCCTCTGATTGGATTAGCTTCTGATATTCATGTGTTCGATGAGTCTACAGAATCGTGGCTATATTAGCTTATATATGAAATATCATACCACGGCGCTAATTGACTGTACATAAGTAAATAGGCTACCAAGATGGTTCTTTTAAGACACTAAACCCCGGGGGTAGCGACGACTTCTATTGGCCCTTACGGAGCGTATTCGTTCTGATCTTCATGTTACATGTGAAACACATGCAGGCTCTCTGGTGGGTGTTGAACCAGTAAGAACCCATAAAATCAAAATCTCGACGAATAGAGACAAAACGGATTCCGATGAAAAGTGGCGAATCGTACATTATGCTCCATGGTTATAGCACTTCAAACCTCGCCCCTGCCTTTACATCAATAGCCCTCCCGCTTGCTTCTCCTAGTGAAGCCCGTTTAACTGGGGGCGCCGTCACCTCTGCCCTTCCTTCCAACCCGCCACCAGGCCACTGCCTGACCCTCCTTTATCCCAAACCAACATCTATGGCCAACTTTGAGCGTACTTTTATCTTAACAGACATCCTACGAAGTTGCGATATGGAGAACAACACGGTAGGATTCGTCTGTGTGCGGATGGACGGAGAGGAGAGAGAGACTATCTACTACATAACTAAAGTAGATCTGTCTCATGTGGGGCCATATGCCTCAGGCACCCAGGCACCCTTTGGCAGGAGAAACACCTCCTGGTACTCAGTGGGTGTCTCGCGCTCTAATGTAACAAAAAAGCGATCGTCAGACCCACTCAACTGACGACTGAAGGCTAGGCACTTTTTGCCTTTGGAGAGTTTAGGCGCAGTGGTTTGATATCTGCTGGCGTGATATCGTGATAGATGAGATTGCTGCGACGCTGGCTCAAACACCAAACACCTTACTGATTTACTGACAGGTAGGTAAAATTTACCAAGGATGAACGCTAACATATCGTGCTCCGTTCCATGGCTTACGTGTACGGTGCAATATAAATGATGCACCAACGGCCGCTTATTGGCTCTAGGTCATTGAATGACAGGGGGGTAATGACGAGATTACCGAGTTCGATTTAGCCTCATTCACACAGGTAAAATCCACCTCGGAGCTCGGAGTTACTAACATATTAATGATAAGCGCCATATCACCTGACACTTACAAGGCGTTGTTACCTGGCTACCTTCGACCAAGGGTACCCCCCACTATACCACCTTTCATTTTTTATGGTGTGGTTGGATCAGACATATTCTCTAGACAGCACAGAGACATAGTTTGCTACGACAACGAAGAAAGCTTACATTGAGAACATCTAACCTGCTTGGGCGTGTGCAATGACCTTCACTACCGGAGAAGAGAACTTGCTTCGGCTGAACCAAGGGAGTTTTGACTTCAACATCCAATTCGAGCAATTATTCTTCTCAATCATTCCATCCACTTTGTTCATCGTAACATCATTATGGCGGACACTTTACCAGGCACGGAAGCCCACTGTCGTGAACGCACCGGTGTTCCAATTGATCAAATTGGTATGCTCCTTTTCTGATGTAGACGCTCAACGTGCTGATAAATTTGGTGCAGGGTGCTATCACAACCTATGTCGGACTTGAACTTTCACTCTTCATCTTAGTTGCGGCTGGGTCCTTCCATGTGACCAAATTGTTCATCGCTTCCTCGGTCCTCAACCTTGTCTCAGCCCTACTCATGATCACACTGAGTGTTGTTGATCACAGCAAAAGCCCAAGGCCGTCCATACTGCTGAGTGGCTACTTGTTCTTAACTCTTTTTCTAGACGTAGCCCAGGCAAGAACGCTGTTTCTGTCATCGGATGACAAACCTGAACTCACTTATAGCAGCATCTTCGTTGCTGCTATAGCTCTGAAGACTGGGATATTACTATTAGAAGCCCAGCAAAAGTCTAGATGGGTGGGTTGGGACGAGAAGGAGCATAGTCCCGAGGAGACGAGTGGCATCTTTTCTTTAGGAGTGTTTTTCTGGCTTAACAAGATGTTCCTGGTTGGCTACCGCAAAGTCATGACAACTGGGGATCTTTACCCTCTGGATAGCTCCTTCAACGCTAGACCACTTCACAATAAGTTTCTGAAGAACATGGATTACTCTAGGTTGAAGGGTGATAAATTTGGTCTGGTGAAAGTGCTCGTCCGCACACTAAAAGTTCCTCTTCTACTTCCTATACCTCCACGTCTGGCGCTTCTTTGCTTCACATTTTGTCAACCGCTTTTTCTTGAACGACTGTTGGATTACCTGTCCAAGACTGAACTCGACGCCAACGTCGGATACGGATTTATCGGCGCTAGTCTACTTATCTATTTGGGACTTGCTATATCAACGGGATTTTATTGGTAAGGTGACATCTATGAGATAACTACTAGTAATATTGGAAGGCCCGCTGCTGATATATATCCATAGGTACTTCCACCACCGAATGCGTACTATGTCCAAGTCAATACTAGCTACGGAGATTTTCATCAAAGCCACAGAAGCTCGTATCGGAACTGGCGATGACAGCGCTGCGGTAACTTTAATGAGCGCAGACATGGAGCGAATCGACACGGGCTTGAGAAATCTGCATGAGACTTGGGCGAGCATAGTTCAAGCAGCTCTCGCCGGGTGGATGTTGTACATCCGAATTGGTGTACCGTTCGTCGTACCAGTGGGAATTGTTGTAATCTGTTTTATCGGATTAGGGATCGTGATAAATTTCACGGGGGATTCACAGAGGTCCTGGATGGCAGGCGTCCAGAAACGGGTGGGCTTAACGGCCACAGTCATTGCTAGTATGAAGAACTTGAAGATATCTGGCCTCTCGATTACCATAGGCGATTTTGTGCAGAATCTCCGTGTGAAAGAGCTAGCGGCTGGATCCCGATTCCGCAAGATACTCATCGTTGCGGCACTTTTGGGTTTCATTCCACTATTGGTCAGCCCGCCATTAACATTCGCATTTACCCAAAGAACATTCGATGCCTCGACGATGTTCACTAGTCTTTCTTTCCTTACGCTCTTGACCAACCCGTTGTCGCAGGTCTTTCAAACTATCCCTCAACTTGTCTCTGGACTGGCTTGTCTAGGTCGAATCCAGGCCTTCTTGGAGTGCGAGACTCGCCATGACTTTCGCCAAGTTCTAGATGATATAAGTCGAAATGCTGAAAAACCCCGGGCCGACACCGAATTCTTGTCTAATTCTGAGCCGGGATCTCTACATCCTCTCGTCATCAAGGGCGGGAATTTTGGTTGGGAAGCGGACAAGTTCGTCCTGAGGGATGTTAGTGCTCGAGTACCTAAGTCCTCGCTAACTATTGTTGTCGGCCCTGTTGGTTCTGGGAAGACCACGCTATGTAAGGCACTACTTGGAGAAATTCCTTTTAGCGAAGGTAGGGTGGTTTTAGGTGCCAGATTTCCTCACGTTGGATTCTGCGACCAAACAGCATTCCTTTGGAACGGGTCGATCAAAGACAATATTGTGGGATTCTCTCCGCACGATAATGAGAGGTATGTCGAAGTCATTAAGGCTACTTCCCTGGACTTTGATCTTGCCACACTACCACAGGGGGATAAAACGAATGTCGGCTCGGATGGAATCGTCCTATCTGGGGGCCAGAAACAACGGGTTTCCCTTGCACGAGCTCTATATTTGCACTCTGATCTTCTGGTGCTAGATGATATCTTTAGTGGTCTGGATGCGGACACTGAGGAGAAAGTCTTCCAGCAGGTATTTGGGCTAGATGGACTGCTCAAGAAACGGGGGTCTACGGTTGTGTTGTGCACCCACAGTATCAAGCACCTCCGCACGGCGGATCATATAATAGCACTCGGCAACGGCACAATTATTGAGCAAGGTAGCTTTGACAAACTGACGGCTAGTCAAGGATATGTTCAACGTCTGGGATTGAAGGGCTCTTCCGACAACGCTGCCTCTGCCGAGAAAATGACTTCAAATAAAAACCCGCAGGAATCAAATCCGGAAATGCTTCATACTACAATGACCAATACATCGTCCACTGCAACGGGTGCTGATGTATCGCGGCAAATTGGCGACAAGACGGTATACAAGCACTATTTCAAGAGCATGGGATGGATTTTGGCAGGATGCAGCTTGATTTTCAGTGTTCTTTTTGGTTTCTTCACGAATTTTCCAACAGTTTGTGAGTCGCCTCTATCTTCAGGTCGTAGATTCACGATCATCGTGGCTTTTACGCTAAGAAAAATGTGGCCTGTCCTCAAACCCGAAGTGTTATAACTAATTCAAAATATTGCAGGGCTTACATACTGGACCGATGACATCTCATCGGAACACCCAACGCACCCTTACGCTTACTATGCAGGGATATATGCTTTGCTTCAAATCTGCGCCTTGATCTCGTTGTTTCTCCTCGGCATTTGCATCTTAATCGTCTCTGTGGAGAGGGCGGGTGCTAGTCTCCACCAGGATGCCCTACATACACTTATTCAAGCACCGCTATCCTTTTTCACCAATACGGATACTGGTGTTGTCACGAACCTGTTCTCGCAAGATCTGAATCTTATTGACACAGAGCTACCAAGTGCAACATTGAACACTGCCTATTCCGTAAGTCTAGTGAAATTGCATGCCACCCTGAAACCCAGCGGTGGCTACTACTCGCATTGAGGAAGGCGTCGAAGCCCGTCCAATTGTCTGACACAGATTGCAGGTCTTTCAATCACTCGGACAAGCGGCAGTTATGCTTACATCGTCCGTGTACTTGGCCATAAGCTACCCGTTCCTCGTCGGCCTATTGTGGGTCTTACAAATGTTTTACCTTCGGACGTCCAGGCAGCTGAGGTTGTTAGACCTTGAGGCTAAAAGCCCTTTGTAGTAGGTCCATCACTGGTTACTACCTTATACTAGGTGTGCTTTATTCTTTGAACTAATGTACATTTATTCAGCACTCATTTTCTTGACACTATCAAGGGAATTACAACCCTGAGAGCTTTCGGTGAGTGATATGCAACCTAAAACTGAGACCTGAATTTAATAAGACGATTTGGAGAACTACGGATTGTGACATGGTGTCGCTGACAGATACACAGGTTTCATTCCCGGTGATGTCGACAAGAATACTCGCCTAGTTGATGCCAGTCAACGACCTGCGTATCTTCTCCTCATGATTCAACAGTGGCTGACCCTCGTCCTCGATATCGTAGTCATGGTGCTTGCAGTGGTTATGACGACTCTCGCCGTTCGGCTCCACTCTAGTTCTGGCTTCGCCGGTGCCTCTTTGTTCTCCCTCATGAGTTTCGGGGAGAGCATTTCAGGCATTGTCATATTCTACACCAAGCTAGAGACTTCTATTGGAGCGATCGCTCGTCTCAAGATGTTCACTGAAAACGTCAAGCCCGAAGATAGAGATGAAGAGGACATTGTTCCTCCTGTCCAGTGGCCACAGAACGGTGTGGTGGAATTAAAGGGCGTATCCGCGAGCTACGGGTAAGAGAGATATATCCCCACAGATGCTATGCCCTCTACGTACCGTACTAATATACCGAGCAGTGCAGAAGACCAACCCGACGGCACGTCCAACTTAGCCCTCCGAAACATCAACCTCATCATCAAGACAGGCGAGAGAGTTGCAATCTGCGGTCGAACCGGCAGCGGCAAGTCCAGTCTCATCGCGCTACTCCTCAAACTCCTCAATCCCACCCCCGATACAGCCGGAAACACAATCATCGATAACACGCCACTGCACCGCATAAATCGGGCTGCCCTCCGTGAGCAAATCATCGCAGTACCGCAGGAAGCCGTATTCCTACCCGATGGGTCCACCTTCCGAGCGAACCTGGATCCGTCCAATGTTTCGACTCCCGAGGAATGTCAAGTTGTGCTTGTCGCTGTGGAACTATGGAAATTTGTCCAAGAGCGGGGTGGTTTGGACGCAGACATGAGCGCGGGGACACTCAGCGCGGGACAAAGGCAACTCATGTCGCTTGGGCGCGCGCTACTTAGACGTTTTGCCAGGGCGCGGAATGGCTCAGACTGCGGTATTTTGTTGTTGGATGAGGTGAGCTCGAGTGTTGATCACAAGACGGAACGTGTTATGCAGGAGATTATCAGGGTTGAGTTTAAGGACTATACGATCATAGCGGTCAGTCATCGGCTGGACATGATTATGGACTTTGATAGGGTTATTGTTATGGATAAGGGAGAGATTGTTGAGGTTGGGAATCCTGTGGTGCTAGCTGGACAGGTGGAGACGAGGTTTGGAGATTTGGTTAGGGCCGGTGCTAAGTAGAATGTGCCCGAGGGGGTTCTTCCTCACGAAGCCAAAGAGTTGGAGACTTTGAGGGAAGGTCGTTGGGGCCCATCATGTCAAACTAGTAGATATCATAGACTGGACACCAGTCGGTCTTTCTCACACTAATCCATTGACCAAAATCCTGTCATTTGATCTTTAGAAATAGAAACACATCACTGGCTCAATTATGTCGATTATCAACCTTCTTGCGAAATTGCCAATCTCAAAACTACCCCGATCGAGCCTGATGCTGCACGCACCCCATCTGGTGAAACGACCCACTCCTTGACCGTCCGTTAACTCCGTAGGCTTCATCTTTGTAATATTCATTCTCACAATCATTATTTTGTGATCATGTCCTGGGATATTGAAACAGCTAGCGAAGAATGGCTCATCGATCTTTGTCATAGGGCAAACAAGGAGGGGGGTCATATCGGGGGGCCGATGGGTGGGGATCAAGCTGTCAAGCTTTCTGACCACATTGCGGCGAAGTTCGGTTTAGGTGTCTGTGCCTCTAAAGCAGCCATGCAAGAGTTTGCCTATAACACAGTCGACCGCAATATTGTTCGCATTCCAAAAGTCTACCGCTATTTGGAATCCAAGAAACGAGATCCTCATGGATGCCTTTTCATGGAGTATATACCAGGGCAAAACCTCCAAGGCATTGACCTAGAGGCGAGGAAGGATATTTTGCCTCGAATCGCAAGTATTATTATGCACATGGGACAAATCAAAAGTACGATTCCTGGACCGGTTACCGGCGGTGAACCACTTGGTTACATATGGGGGGGATTACGGCGCCAGAACGGCCTTTAAATCCATCGAAGACATGAACGTTTTTATGAATAGTCGCCTGCAGCATTTAAAAGCGAACATCGACTTGACACCGCATCTTCTTGTATTATGCCATGGCGACATCTGCCGAAGGAATATCATTCTTGCGGATGACGGATCTATTTGCTTTCTCGACTGGGCGTATTCCGGTTTTTATCCCCGGTTTTTTGAACTGGCCACGATTTCATGTGCATGGTATGATTCATTTCAGGAACCTCTCGTGCGGGAAGTTGAGAGTGCAATGAACTTAACGGACGAGGAGTGATGGGACATGCAACTTCTTCTTCGTGTACGCCATGCAAATTTAAGATGGACATTGTATGAGCTTCCTTCCGTTTGCTATGAATGACCAAACAAGCTAATTATACTAGCATGAAGAAGCAAGAACAAACTCCTGAAGAGGAGGAAGCGTATGAAGCAGCACTCTTTGAGAGTGTGTACGGCAAGGACTGGAGGGCTATCATTGCGAAGATTTGTGGCCTGAGTAGTTTGACTATGGGTATTTCCCATACCGTTGTTCCTCAGCTTGAAGGGAATGAAGAAACTAGGCAGCCCGATGGGGGAAAGGACGAGAACTTCAGCGAACATGATTTCAAGCAAATAGCCGGAGCAAGGTAGCCGGAGCAAGGAGACCTTATGCCTAAGACGGGAAACGATATGAGCTGCTGAAGCATGAAGAAAATAATTACTTCAAAATCGAGTTGATATAAACAAGGTGTAAATTGGGATGGCAATATGCATCACCTCGACTATCCTCAGCAGCTGAACCTATAATCATGTAGACTTAGCACAAGAGAACAAAAGCCATTTTTGACAGTAATACGATTGATGCTGAATGTTGAATGGACTATCCACCCAGCACAGGTACCTGGTTCTCACCCTGGTCGTGTGGAACCCGGATATGACTCTGTCTTTCGCTGTATTTCGGTTCCGGATTATTTCATTAGTATACCAAAACAGGGCCGGCTTATAGTTTAGCACTACTGGTTGTTGAATCATTCCATCGTGGTCAACTCCCCGGAGCGATATCTGGCTTTCAAGCATTTCACTTCGGCGCTCTAACATGGTGTGTTTACGTCATTGAGAGATATGAGGGTGTCTCGTGCCTTAGCTTGCCGCACTGCTTCAGAGTTAGGTGGTTATGCGACAGCCGCGGTCTTTGGCTGGTTGGTGGCTAGGTCAGAGCGTGAAGCCTCGGATAACATTCCTATTAAGCGATTAGCTTTATTACAGAATTCATTTTCCTCCAGTTCATCAGGAGAATGTACCGAAAGATAAGAATATAGGGGCATGTTGGGGTTGATTAAAATGAAGGAGAATTGAGGAGAGATAGACATGACAAAAGGGAAATGTGAAGAAAAAGGAAACTGTTGAACAATCTCTCATGCATGCATGCATGTTGTTTGCTGCAGACTGAGCCTTTTGATATTTGTTTGCTATTTGCTATTTGTTGTTTGCTACAATTGAGCAATGTTCAGATAGTTTCTACAGGGTATATAAACCCCTGCATTTCTAGTTTTGCAATTAACAATTCTTGCTTTGCTTTCTCCCACACATATAGTAGTAATCTACCATAGATTGCTCATCAGAAACAAGTCGACCTATGAATATACTGGCACTGAGAGCCAGAAGTGAGCCCGGAAACATAAGGCAAACATGCAAGTAGAGCAAGAAACCGTGGACTTCACGGACTACAGAGTAAAAAGAACAGAAGACACAAGGTGAAATTGCTGGGCTCTCAATTCTGCGCGGGCCGGCGCTAGTTAAGCACATCTGGCGAGGACCGATTGAAGGGGACTCTATATCCGTCAGAAAATAATTGTTAATATCCAAAATGAATACAAGGAAAGGGGTCCTCACAGGTTACTCGTTTACTTGTGGGACGGGTGTCCAAACCCGGCTGCCATATCTCCCCACACGTTCTGTAGGGTCTGTATGCTCTCATCTGTGTTAGAGAGGCGTGCAATTTGATCGTTGAGGACGGCACGCTGGTGAGTTATGTCGTTCTCGATTACACTTCGCTCCATGATGAGCTTTCTAATCACCTCGTTGAGCGCCACCAGTGCATCTCTTTGGTGAACGAGTGGGGCATAGCCCTCTATAGGCTTAGGTCCACTTGTTGTGGCCTTTGGGTCGTTGGTGACCGGGTCGCGAGAGGATCCCTCGGAAGACATTTCTGCGTAGCAGTTAGCCACGCCTCACAATAAATTTGCAGCAAATTATTGCAGATCGTACCGAAATAATGAATCCGAGGGCTTGCTTGGTAGATATGATAGGGTATGATGAATAAGATGGGAGGTAGTTGGTTGAGAGAAAGTGAACTGAGGGAATATGAGGAAGAAAAGTGAAGTGAGATATCGAAATGAGAGAGATATATGAAGAAGAAAGGAATGTGGGGAGAGGGAATAAGTGATATTCTTGGAAGTTTGTGCGAAACATGAAACACAAGTTCAGATGGATCCCGTTGAGGAAGATCAATATGATCTGAAAAAAACAATTTATATGTGGCCGACTGTATACACGTGGTACGAAGCGGTATAGGCGCCAGCTGCCAAAACCTTATTTCTGGTGAATGTTGATGCCTTGATGCCTAGCTTTGGACTGGCGGCCTGCACCAGATACCAGATTTGCAATTTTATGTATCTTTTGTATGACTTACCTATACAAAAGGTACTTAGTTACCCCATAGATATAACATGCATTTTCTTAGCACTCGAACTAGCTAAAGTAATAGAAAGTATACGAATATATATTAAAAGTCTAGCTTAATTAGTTTAATTGTAGTATTAATTATTAGTATCTAATATAAAAGAAGAAGAATATTTTCAAAATGACACTATATGAAGGCTATACAGGGGAAATAACCAGGTACTTTCTTGAATTTAGTGTACTTGATATTTCTTACCAAAGTTTGGTTAAATAATATAGACTTCCTTTACACTATATATATCTTCTTATATTTGCCCTAACTGGTTCGAGTGCTGAGAAAATGTATGTTATGTTTACGGGGTGTTTAAGTACCTTTTGTATAGGGAAGTCATACGGAGTACAAAGGATACTTAAAATTGTAGATCTGGTATCTGGTGAAAATCTGGTATCTGGTGGGGCGCACCAACACCAGGGGACCTGGTGTTGGGCGCTTGGCACGGCTAGTGACTGGACATAAGTTTTTGCACCCCTGGCGCCTAGGTGGGGCTATAGGGGGTGCAAAAACTTTATGTCCACTGACTGTACCTGAATTCCCATGACACTTCCAATACAAAGTAGCCTGATTTTGCTGGCACTTACAACTCTCAAAAATGAAGCTTTTCATCAGCATACAAATAGAGATATCTTGACAAGTATCAGTGGAGATATCTCATCTCACTTTATATGGGATCAAAAACTTCATTTTTCACACTTGTAAACCGTCTAAAAATATTGAGATACTGCTATTCGTGTGCAGATGAAAAACTTCATTTTTGGCACTTGCAAACCATCTAAAAATATGGAGATATCGCCGTTTGTATAGGGATTAAAAGCCTTGTTTTTATGGGTTACGGCGCCTAACCGGCCCCACCTTTTTCTAAGCAGAAAAAGGGACCCTCGTAAGCGAGGGTCTGACACCTGAACACAAAACCACCCCTAAATACAATAGTATCTTTTACTAGGCGAGCTATATAAAAGGTATATATAAAATGCTGGTTTTTAGTACTATAAAAGTCTCTGAAAGCTTACTATAACTTAGCATATAAAACAATCCGCTCTATTTAAATACTATATTTGATTTTCAGCCTAGGTTTTAGGGAGCCGTCTCAAAGTATTACGATTTAAAGTTTTGGCCTACTATCCCGCCGAATATAAGATATTTGACTACTAAGGCGTCCCGGAAACTTGCCCTTTAAATTTAATAAAAGTATTAAGGTAGTATTAGAACATTACTGATACACTTAAAATAAAAGGTCTTTATATAATTTGGCCGAGAAAAACGAGTATTTATGTATGTACCTTTTATATAGCTCGTCTAGTAAAAGATACCATTGCATTTAGGGGTGGTTTTGTGTTTGGGTGTTAGACCCTCGCTTGCGAGGGTCCGCTTGGAAAAAGAGTGGGGCCGGTTAGTTATCCTATGCCGTGTTGGTTATACGAGACATTCAGGCATTAAATTCAGGCATTTGTCCGTCGTAGAATGATTTACAGTACATTGTATAGAGCGGTGTAAGGAGCGGTCAATAACCAGGCCAAAGCTAGGCATCAAGGCATCAACATTTACCAGAAATAGGGTTTTGGCAGCTGGCGCCTATACCGCTTCGTACACGTGGAAGCAAGAGGTTAGCCCATTTCTTAAATACATACCTTAACAGTATATATATATATATAAGAGGAAAAACTAAGATATTATTATTCACAATCTCCTAATAATGCCTGTTAGTATTCGAAGTCTTTCGAATAAAAGCCAATACGTGACTGCAGGATTCGATCATACAGGGGTACTGTGTCCACAGCGATGTCAAGGTTAAGTTCCATCTGGACTTTTCTTTTTCCACTGGCGTGTAATGGATCAGGACATCTTGACTAAGGAAGGGGAAGCCACGACTGGTCCCAAGCTGAATATATAAGGCGAACTCTTAACCGTGTCGTCGGCTTTTAGGGTATATACGGTGGTAGAGGCTGCGGTTGCTGACAGAGTAAGGATCTTGGTTAGTCGTGTATTTCTTCGATGCGAGTCAAAACCCGACCGCCATCTAGTCCCGCCAGATCTAGAGGCTGTGTATATCCTTGTGCGTTTGCGGGGATGTGTGCAATTTCGCCATCGAGTGCTACACGCTGGCGAATAATATCAGTTTTAATAACACTGCATGCACTCTAGAACCATACTCCTACAGCGTCACAAAGGCGTTTCGTTAGGGTTTCGCTTGGCTCCAAGACTAGATATCTGATCACCTCAGTGAGGGCAACTGGTGTCTCGCTCGTTGGGCAGAGTCCGGGATAGGGTTAGGAGCCACTATTATCTTCGGCTTATCGGTGACTGACGAAGTAGGTTTGTGGGATATATTGCTGTATAGCAAGTTAGTCTTGTTCCAGAATTCAGTTGCTTTTATACTCTTACAGACTGCAGTTGGAGGATGATGTTAGACTGTTAGACGAGATGCATGGAAAGTGAGATGTGAAAACTAGAGATACCTTTGAGGAAATGAACGTGGAGAGAAGCAATAGAGGGATGAGTGGCGCTTTACTTTGCTTTTTGTGTGAGGAGTAGTTCAGATGGGGATTGGGGATCTTGTTGAACAATATCACTCTACAGATTTATACTCATCCTGCGAAGGAGAGCCGAGAGCGGCCTTCCCTAGTCATATTCGCGGCTGAAGAAACCGCTAGAGAGAGAGAGAGAGAGAGAGAGAGAGAGAGAGAGAAGCGCAAAGGTTGACCAGTTCGCCAGTCTGGAGCCGTCCGGCTCGGGCTTTGCGGCGATAAACGATCGGCACCGGGTGAATTAGACTCCGCTTCAGGCATTTAAGGCAGCAGTCTCCGACCCCTAGTTATGTTGTATGACCTCAAAGCTGACCCCTCACCCTCTCTCCCTCTCCCTATTCATTAAAGATATCAAATACAACAAATATGGTGTCGCTTGAAACTGTACAAAACAGCAACTCTGCTATCAAGGAATATGGTCCCAACCTGGTGGCAGTTTTTGGTAGGGCTCGTCATCCCTAGCAAGGGACGATCATTGACATCGCTCTAGTGGGTGGCACCAGTGGAATCGGTGAAAGTACCGCCCGTGCTTTTGTGAAATATGCTGTTTCTCCGCGCGTCTATCTCGTCGGACGGAGCGAGGCTCGAGCTTCCCAGATTATCGAAGATCTCCGCGCTTTGAATCCAGATGGACAAATCAGTTTCATTAAGGGTGATGTTTCGCGTCTGCAAGAAGTAGACCAGACATGCAAAGAAATTCAAGCCAAGGAAGACAAGATTAATCTGTTGGTGCTGAGTGCTGGCATTTTGACTACCAAGGGGCGTGATGGTATGTTTTTATATTTTGATTTTCGCGCCCACTTATCAACCTCTCTAATGAATAAATCTTAGAGACCGATGAAGGATTGGATAAGAAATTCAGTCTCCATTACTACTCTCGCATGCGTTTCTTATACAATCTGCTTCCTCAATTGACAAATGCCGCCCAAGGCGCAGCCTCCCGGCCAGCGCGGTCTATCGCGTGTCCTTTCTGTTCTGGATGCCCGTGGAAATGCACCCCTGGTTATGAATGATCTGTCCCTGAAGGACAACTACTCTCTACGGAACTGCGCCAATCATGCAATTACCATGACATCGCTGTCGATGGAAGAGCTTGCCTCGTCGCATCCATCAATCTCCTTTGTTCACGCATATCCAGGTATTGTGAACACAAGTCTAATGCGTGATAATGGATTTTTAATCAAGACTGCGCTGAGTGCACTCTTCCTTCTGTTCTCGCCGTTGACTATTGGGTTGGAAGAGAGCGGTGAGAGACATATTTACGCGGGAACCAACCCGGGTTTCGCCCCGAGAGGATCAAATGGAGGCAATGATACTGCGACTGGCTCGGATGGTGTTCAGGGGTCTGGTTCCTACTTGGTTGGTTCTGATTCGGCCACCGTGAGTAACCAGAAGGTTTTGGAAGGCTATCGAGCGGATGGTACGAGGGCATCCGTTTGGAAGCATACCCTCGATATTTTTAAGGGTATCCGTGGGGCTTAGGTGTGAGCGAGATTCCGGATTTGATGTTTGGAAATTGTAAATAGGACAACTCTACTCTTAGCATATAATGATTAACAAACTTGATATCACGAGGGCTGCTTTGGTTCAAATTGAATATAATGAAGGAGACAGCTTCTCGCAGTGCCCCTCAACCCGCCAATCGTGCAGCCTTCAGGGGATGTTCCCTGGTCTCTCAGTATAGCAGGATGCATACCATCCTGAAGCATTGTCGTGGTTCCTTGCAGTGACTGGAAGATCATAGAACACCGACGTGCATGTTTCTGTCGATGGTGAACTGGGTAGGAGCTGCACTTTTCCCTTGGTGGCCTGGCCGACCATAGTTCGATCTCTCATAGACCTTGATAACACATGTGTCGCTGGCATTCCTTTAAGGAAACGGGGAAAACGTCATCAAGGGCGGGCATTCTGCATGTGAAGCATTCTCTTTGAATCATTTGCTCGGGGCTTCCTGGAGGCTATTCTGCATCTGATAACCCGATAGGCTTATATCAACGGAAATGCCAACAAATCACCCGGATAAATAAATATGTAACTATATATAGTAATGATCTGTAAGTGGATATGCAGCAAGTACGTACGTAGCCCAGACCACTGCCCATCGCCCCACTTATCTTAACGCGTGGCCTGTCTCCAAGGCAGCAAATTTTGAAGTGAGATGACATCTTTTCTTTTTTTATCACTTCTCATTCTGCATTGCAATTGTGCATTGCTTTGAATTCTGCACTTGTTTAGCCCGGCGTGATTGTTTTGTTGTTGCCTTTTTGGCGCATACGACACCCTACATCTCAATTAAGCATCCGCCCTTCAAGATGCACGAGGATTATCACCCCACAGATCAATACTCCAAATGGGACCCGCGGGGATGGTCCTTGATGAAGAAGATTTTTCTAGCGGCCGGCATCATCGCGGTGATTGTGGCAGTTGTCGTTGGTGCTGTTCTAGGGGTGCGCGCCAATCGGTACCCCAATTACTCGAAACTAGACTACAGCCTGAAAGACGAGTTCTCGGGGTCGTCCTTTTTCGACAACTTTGAATATTTTACTGACACAGACCCAACCCATGGATTTGTCCAGTACGACTCCAACATATCAAACCTCAGGCCAAGCAAATCAGCTAACGTGTAATCCAGGTATATAGATCGAGGTGCGGCTACATGGCTCAATCTAACCTCCGCTACAGACACCTCCGCGGTGCTCAAGGTGGACACGACGTACAGTGGATCGGAGGCTGCTAACGGGCGTCAATCTGTGCGAGTCACATCCAACAATACATATGCCAATGGGCTTTTCATCTTCGACGTTATTCACACCCCGTACGGGTGTGGTACATGGCCAGCCCTGTGGCTGACAGACCCCAACAACTGGCCCGAGTACGGAGAAATTGATGTTGTGGAAGCGACTAATGCTGGAACCTTTGGAACTCAGTCAACACTTCACACATCGGAAGGTTGCACCATGGGCGTTAAACGAAAGGAAAGTGGCTCTGTGGATCACGAGAACTGTTATTACGAGGCGAATGGCTACACGGGCTGTGGTGTCAAGGGTACTGCGAGTACTTACGGTCCTGAGTTTAATAGTAACGGTGGCGGAGTAAGTGACGGTACCTCAACTGTTCAAAGCAGTTTACTAATAATCACTCCTTTTAGGTCTATGCTATGGAACTCCGCGACGCCGGTATTCGCGTATGGCAATGGGTCCGCTCCAAGATCCCCTCCGATATCACCTCGGGCAGTCCCGATCCATCCACCTGGGGAAAAGCATTCGCAGACTTCCCCAGCACGGATTGCAACATTGGTTCTCATTTCAAGAACCAGAGTATCATTATTAATATCTCTTTGTGTGGTGATTGGGCTGGTGCGAGCAAGTACTATACTACACAGAGTAGCTGTCCTGGAAACTGCACGACGTTTGTGCGGGATAACGCGACTAGTTTTGAGACCGCGTACTGGGAATTCGGCAGCTTCAAAGTCTATCAGACTTCGTGATATGCTGACTTGTCAAGCGCAATTCTCTTTTTAATGTGTCCCTGAATTGATGTTATGCGGTGTATCGATCATTGCGGAGGCGTTTGGTTTGTGAATTTTATTTGAAAAGGCCAGGATGCGCAATCATGGAGGCTTGTATGTTGTTATATAGATAATGAATAACTAGATACTACCATTATGAATTCCCTCGTGTATTTGGAGTCCCCCATGAACCCACATATTGACTAGGCAACTATTGCACCTTGCCTCTGGAGTCGACCGGCCAGATTTCTTCAATGACGCCACCCCGATGGGCGTAATAGAAATCATGCAAGTTGACTGTAGGGTCAATGTGACTCGGTACCATCTCCACGCGATCCCCAACTGAAAGTGCCGGGGTACCCTCCTCCCAACTGAGTGACCCATGCTCATCACCAAGAACACCATAAGTGTACCGGGAGTCCTTACACTCTGCCAAGCCACTATCGGTCGTCAATGACTTCAATCCGCTGTCGATTGTGACCGACCGAGGACCTTGTTTGCTCAAAACAGTTGACAGAATGGTAAGACTGTTTGAATAAAAGGTGCCCACGGCATTTCGGTAATCCGTATCCATAAAAATGAACGACCCAGGCTGGAGCTCAGTTACACCCGGTACGGTGGCACAAAACTCGGCCGTTCCAGTCCCACCCGTAGTGACTACGTCAATATTGAAGCCAGCCTCCCGCAGCACGTCCGCAGTGTTCGTGAGGGTCTCCATGGACTGCAGACATTGACTTTTTCGATCTTCCTTATCATGCAAATGTTGCAAATGACCCTCGTAGCCATGGAGCCCGATCAGTTTCAAATGCTTCAGACCGTGTACATGTTTTGCTAGGGTCATGGCTGGGTCACCAGGTAGAACACCAGTGCGATGGAGCCCAACATCGAGGTCAATCAAAACCGAGATTGGTTCATCGATACCGGCTTTCGCCAAAGCCTCATCAATAGCTGTTGCGCCAGTTTCGCTATCAACAACTATCCTGATTTTGCGATGTTTACGGTATAGTTCCACTAGCCGTTGTACTTTTGCGGAGCCGATAATCTCGCAGGTAATAAACAAGTCGTCGAATCCGGCTGCGGCAATAACTTCAGCCTCGCTCACTTTGGCCACGCAGCCTCCCTTCGCGCCCGCTTTGACCATCTTGCCGGCTAGGATCGCGCTCTTTGTGGTTTTAAGATGGGGGCGGATATCGAGACCAGTTGGTAATAGCTTGTCCATCAGTTTCTTGATGTTGGCCTCGACGAGATCGAGGTCTGCGATCATGGATGGCGTGTCGAGGGTATCGACCCTATCGCCGACATTGGGGGAATACATGTTGAATTCGAAGTCGCGGGACTGAATGAGCTGAGTGCTAGTTCGGTGCTGGCGATGGTCAATGTCTGGGTTTGAATCTTGAGAGGTTGTGTAGAACGGCAGAGGTGTTGCAATTTATAAGGTGATGAGAGGATGCAAGGGGTAGAGATATGCCCCCGTGCTCCATATTGGACCCCCGCACTAAAGATCGCCTATCAACGGAGTGGGGGTTTATCATTCGACCCGTGCGGGGTACGATGTTGCATTATTCAGTCTGAAGCGAGAATCTCCAGGTGGTATCGGAGTATCTTTTATCGTAGGTAGTCGAAATCAAGAGAGAGAGAGAGAGGGCGGGGGGGAGGAACCATGAATTCATGTGTGCCTATGGAGAAGAAGGTGCGCCTACGTAAAAGGAGATCAATGAGAAACAAAGGAACTTGTCTAGCCTTAGGCTATAGGGCTCCTGACATAGCACTATATTACAAAAAGCCTTTGATCGAATAGCGAAACGATGATTTGGTTGATGTATTTCATATTTCCATGTCCGGTTCGTCTAGTAGATACCTAAACACTCTCTAAACAAAAGTCGTCCCCTTCCCAGCCGTAGGCCCATGTCAATCGACGTCCCATACTGCGCGCAATTCGGAATGGAATTTTCCCGATCGGATGCGGCTCGTGGAACTGGATGCCACCACGAACCTTGAGAGTTGAGGGCGTAAATTGCCATACCGAGCCATATAGCTTTTCGCATGCAAACCCTATGCTCTGCATGGCACGTAGGAACTCGGCCCATGGAACCTCGCCGGGTTGGGCGGTGCACGAGGGCTGGAAGAACATTGCCCGAAATACCGTGAGCGCGCCCATCAACGTGGAATTTTGGATGCTGTTCCGCTTGAAGATTAAGTTTAGACAAATTCTCTAATTCGACTGTGGAATCTGACTGTAAAATCGTAATACCGCGTGTTTTAAGCTTGTGCTTTGGTGTTTGCTGTCTGGATGGCCCAATCGTCTGTTCAGTGCGATATTGGAGCTCGTAGTACGTCTCGGATACTAGGAGGGCGACATTAGTTTGGCACGCTCGTGAGCTTGAGTCAGACTCCCTCTTTAAGGGTTCCGCCAAATCTGGGTTGCATTGCACAACTCGATTCGATTGGAGAAGCCTAATTAACGCCTCTGGCAAATAGACTTGCCGGCTTGAAGTGAGATCGTCAACTTTGTGCCAGAAACGATCAAGGGCACGCTCGGCTGCCTGCAGAGTGACCGTCGTCTCATCGGACCGTCGTCTCTCGATTGAGTAACCAAACTTCCGATCGGAATGATGCTCGGGTGTTTTCGAAGAATTTGTCATGATAATACCCCTTAGGATGGGTAGAAAATAAACACCCTTGTGATATTCCCATTCCAAATCCTCAACGCACTTTTTTATCTCGTGACAGGATGTCGATACCCAGGGCGCGAAAGGAATCAACTGGTTTTCGCACTGAACCAAGACGGAAAGATCTGATAATAAGGATCTAACACGCGTACGGGCGACTAATGGGACCACCCCTACATAACCCTCTGATTGGTTTATATTGCCGGCAGTAATTTCGATCACTCTCCCTTTACAAAAACTGATTATGTAGTTATTAGTAATATTGAAGCCTAAAGATGCCTGAATACCTGAATTATGAGGTCGATAACCTTCATGCCTTAGAAAATGGGCACTAATTGTTGACGTGGCACAGCCTAATACCGTTAACAATTAGTGCCACGGCCTAATACTAACACCGACTACTAATACCTGGTCGGTATTAGTGCCACAATTATTCGTACCATACAAATCCTAGGATTCCTTCCCTTACTTTTCGGCGTTGAAGCCTTTCTCTCTCCCTCCACTCTAGAACGCTTACTATTAAAGCCTTCGGTCTAAAGAGTAATTGTTATTTGTCGATTACAAAGGCTAACTTAGAAGATAAGTGTCCTTATCCGTTCATATAGAGTATAGGTTGAAGTTGTATATGGTTGTTTTGGGATTCGCTCAACTCCCTATGTTTCAATACGCCTCCTTATTGTTATAGGTGTAACAATAAGGGTATATGTATCGCGTAGAGTGTTGTATATAGACTAGAAAGCTATAGCGGTTTAGAAAAGAGAGATGATCTCATCTTTAAAGGATTCAAGATCGATGGTTGGTCGTAGCATTGTAAAGTGTATGTAGAAATAAAAGAGAAGTTGAAATTAGTGTATATATGCTTTAAGAAGGCGGTGATGAAAAGGCGGTAAGGCAGTATCCAATCAGAGGGTTATGTAGGGGTGGTCCCATTAGTCGCCCGTACACGCGGGGTAAATAAATCCCGTGCGTGTCCGTCGTTTCGGCTGGCTCGCTCGAGTACATCCAGGTGCGTGTTGACTCTTCCTTGGATCGCTTCTTCGTATCGATCGAGGATCACGTTAAGGGTTGCCTGGTTCTTCAATACCTCACGTGCGAGTCGGGAGCGATGGAGGCGAATGTCAGTATGGTTGGGATATGAATTAAACCGCAGTTGATGGTCGAAAGTTTGGTTAGATTGCGCTTCACGCACCGCTTCCATCACCATTGCCGGTTGCTCGCGATGTAGGGCTATAATCCAGGCAGCATCAGTATGGCCCACTACCTCCTCATTAGGATCCATAACAGCAAAAAGCAAAACAAACGTAGGAAAAAAAAAAGGGTGACACTGGGAATTTGGTGAGAAGAAAACAGATGAGGGTCATATTAGTAGCAAGGTAGACAAACTTTTAGGTCAGACTTCTGCTTAACCCATCTCCATTCAGCGCCTCGCTGTCGTAATTTCAACAGCCCACACCCATGCGGCCAATCCTCAACCAAGCCGCAACCAATTGTCACGGCTCTGAGCAGTGTTAAATGTCCGTCCGTAAAAGGCGCTAGCTTTCGATGCACACACCGGGCTAACCGTTCGGGTCCTTATCGACAATATAATATAATTATAGGGAGATTTTGGGAAAAGAAATATAAATCCATAAAGAGGGTGTACCCATTTAACGAGGAGGTAATGGAGAAACAAAGCAACGTGTTTGGTCTTAGGCTGCCGGGCTGCCAACATAAATTACTTTGTCTGCGTCACACTGATGACATGAGTTGCGCCTCAGAGCTGGTGGTTGAGATTTAGTACAATTGTTCTTTAGATGGCGTATAAGCGACGATCCTGTAAGGGTGTTAGAAACGAGGAAGGGTCCAAACGTACGATGGATGAACTGAGTGGCACAGAACGGATAGTCGGAGTTTTTCTTAGTGGGTTTCATTTTGGTTGCGGAGCTTGCTCTTCGAGCAAAGGAGTCGGGTGTTGAATGAAATGAAGTTCAATTTAACTCGAATCTCCGGGTTGAGTTGGGTACGATATGACCAAGGTTTGGAAGTGACATATAAACTCACGCAAGTAAACCCTAGGTGAACTATCAGTGAACTATCAATGAACTATTAGTGAATTATCAGTGAATTATCAGTAAAATGATTGTTCAAGTGAACATTTTGAATGCTGTTGAAGCCGAACAAACGAATCAATCATGGTAATTTTGCAATACAGCATAAAACGATTACAGGTGAAACATTACGAAGACCATGTGCGAACTATTTGGAGAGTGTTGTATTGATACTGGTAATAAATACAGCCATTCACAAAATCAGAGTTTGAAGGTTATCGCGTGCAAAGACTCCACGCACTTTATTCCCACCTTCCAGATTCAAGACAGGATCCAGAAGGATAATGGAAGATCGGAGCAATTTCCACGAGTTATCAACCGAGCCATACGGTATTTTCTGGCAAGAAGACTTCATCGATACCGAACACGAGCAACGACTCATCTCTGTCTTTACCAACGAGCTAGAATGGCCCGACCGCCCTGGCCGGATATCACTCCATTACGGCTACAGTTTCGACTATAAAACATTCGGGATAGATCCCGAGATTCCATACAAGGAATTCCCAGAATGGCTCCAACCTCTCATTCCAACAACCGAGGATCGACCTCCAGACCAGGTCTGTCTGCAATACTATCCTCCAGGCGCGGGGATCCCACCCCATGTAGATGCACACAAGCCATATGACCAGCTCTACGCTTTATCTCTTGGTGCGCCGGCGATGATGATATTCCGCCGGGGCGAGGAACGCATTGAGGTCGATTTGACCCCGCGGAGCATGATGCAAATGAGCGGTGACTCGAGGCTGCATTGGACGCATGGGATTAGGAAGCGGAAGAATGATACCCTCCCGGATGAGACGGTGAGGCCGCGCGGGAAGCGGTGGAGTATCACTTATCGCTGGCTCAGGGATGGGGAATGTGAATGTGGGAACCTTGAGATGTGTGACACGGCTCAGCGACGGAATGGCATTGAAAAAGAAAAGAGATCATTAAAGGCTTTGGCGGAGCAGGCTCAGCTTGAACAACCGGTCGCATAGATTGAATCGCGATGGTCTAATGAGTCGGCCTGTTTGTTATGTAAATAATACCAGAGCGAATTATACCCGGGTTTGCATCAGTAACTGAGAATGTGTATAGCGGGATCGAATATCGCCTCTTAGAAATCGGAAATTTTAATGAGTTAGCTGGGCACTGTTTTCGAGTTTCTACCCAGCAGACGCTATTTCATCAACAGGTCTGAGTAACAGATTCAGACAAAAGCGAATGAAACTCCATCAATGGGAAGATTAGCGGTTGTTAGTCGGAGAAAGGTACTTTCCCTTTTTGTGCAACGCCATTCGGCCAGCGACTACCTATTTAGGACACTTCAAAGCTTTTAAAAAGTGTGCAAGGCTCCCTTGGGGTATCTCTCACCAACTCTCAACCGGAATTCCCGAACTTCTGCTTCACTCAGACTCTTTGAGCTATCTTGGCCATGCTAGGCATTTATGTTGTGGCAATCGTTGGTGTGGTAGTGGTCGTGGTTCTATCCGCATCGTATACAATGATGCACAGCCAAAGTCGCGAGCCTCCGTCGGTAGCGAGCAAGATCCCACTTGTGGGGCATCTGATGGGGCTCATCCAACATGGCCCAAGATATTTCAGCATGCTATGGCGAGTCATCTATTTTATCATATGGGCAATCTAAACTAATGCAGCATTTGCGGCAGTGAAAAACATCCAGAGCATTCAATATTTGCAGTCAACATATTATCATTCAAGCTCTTCGTGACACCCTCACCTGCCATCATGCGTGCTGCTCAGAAGCATCCCACAGCTATTACATTGGAACCGTTGTTGAAGTTCACCCAGAAACATATGTGTCAAACTCCGCCCGAGAAACTCCTCCATTTGTGTGATCAAAATCGTGGTCCCAGCCTACTTTCCAGAATCGTGCATGATACGACACCCGTCCTTGCTGGGAAATCCCTTGACAAAATGAACCGGACAATGCTTCGGCAGCTACTACCTATAATTGACGACATGGGCAACTACGATTCTATTGATTTGCACGCATGGCTTCGGCATGTCATTACAGTTGTTAGTACAAATGCTACATACGGCAATTCGAACCCATTCCAAAGTCGACACATTGAAGACACATTCTGGTGAGTGTAAAAGACCTGTATTTGGGTATGAAATCCCTCAAATATCTGAGCAGGGAACTCGAGCGGAATGTGGCGCTACTACTAGCCAACATTGTGCCATGGTTAATTGCCCGCAAAACCTGGAAGGCACGCAAGCGTTTGTGTGCTGCGTTCAAAGATTATTTCGATCTCGCAGGTTATGAAGACGGCTCCGACCTCCTAACTATGCGGTACAGATCATTCCTCGAGGTTGGACTTACTCACGAAGAAATAGCGTATGCGGAGGTGCCCCTGATTGTAGGGTTACTGACAAATACCGTTCCTGCTGCATTCTGGGTTCATTTTGAGCTTTTCTCAAGACCGAAGCTGCTTGAGGAGATACGGGGAGAGGTAGAGCAAAATGCCCTCAATGTTGCTCCCGACGGTACGCACATCATTGATTTTGGGTACCTTCGCGATTATTGTCCACTTCTTCTCTCAATGTACCAGGAGGTTCTACGGATGAGGACAACGATGGTAACGATCCGCTTCGTGACACAGGATGTTGTTTTGGCGGACAATTACTTTCTTAGATCCGGAACCATGCTCTTCATGCCGGCGAAGCAATTAGGCCGACATCAGAGTGCTTGGGGAACTTCGGCGGATGAGTTCGACGGGCGAAGATTTCTGAGATCCACTACGACAATCGATGATAATGGCCACAAGAAAAAGGATCCCCGGCGTACTGGCGGGTTCATGGCATTCGGTGTTTCACCGACAATTTGTCCTGGGCGCCACCTTTCTACTAGTGAGATCTTGCCTCTAGTCGCCATGATCGCCTTGCGATATGACATTGCCCCAGTCGATCGGCTCTGGCGTGCACCACCGAGGATGAACTCGGCGACCACATCAAATATGGGCCCAGTGGATGGAAGATTCCCCGTGACCGTGAGTAAACGACAAAAGTATGAAGAGAAGCTGTGGAAGTTCAAGATCACTGAAGGCACGCGGCAATTTGGTTTGGCTGTGGGTTAAATTTGGGACTCGGGGCTTAACCAACTAAATGCGAGGAGTGATAAGACAAGTTCATGACGGTGTATCAAGCTGCGTAAGGCCCGGTTAGACAACAAAGGCAACAAATTATGCAGGAGGAGATCTATGTACCGGAGTATCATTGAGAGGTAATATCGATATGGAATGTAGTCCACACTGAGTTGAGGTCCTCCTAGCGGATAGTCACGAGTAAGGTAGTATATTGGCGTCGCACGGAGCGATATAGTATGGTGCCACTCTAGCTCTGGTGTCTATTATTCCTACTTCCGTGTTTAAGTCGTCTGTTTGACTATGGTGAGTGGTGCACCATTTTGAAGTAACATTCGAGTTCAACTATTTTTTAGTCTATAATATCCTCTTCTGCTCCCCACAATCAACATTCATCTTACATTAAAAGCGAAATGTGAGACAAGCTCGCTTGGTCTAATGGCGAGGTAGACAATTGTCAAGAAGGCTGCAATACGTGAGACTGTTGGAACCATGATACTACGACCATCACTGTTGAATGATTGCTATGATACGTGGCGGACTGTTAAGTACTGGCTTATGATCCAGGTATTATTTGTGGCAGTGCAGCTCGATCCATCCAGGGAAAAAGTTGTTCCAACATGCCGTTCAGCTTTTGATCATGTTCGCGATCTAACGGGGTTGCCCACGCCCCGGGGTTGGGTTCCAAGTTGGACCCCCAAGATAAGTCGGAAATAAGACGGCGTTTATTCCGGCTGCAATCAATTAAATTCACTCAATTCGTCCTAGGAGATTAAAACAAAATCCTAGTAGAAATACATAGCTTATCTCCGTGCCCGACCAGTTGGCCAAAATTCTTAACTCCGTTTCTTTTGTATGCCCTTAAACCGGCGTGTGCCTCGACTAGATTCCCTCTCTTTATTATAAGGCCAGCCCGCACCCGGAATTTATTCAATCCCAAGATTATATCCTATTCTCATTCCGTATATATAAGGTGCAAAACGACCACGAACGATGGCCGTCAGATACGCTAAGGATCAACCCGAGGGATTCAACAACCGCATCGAAAATGTCGCGATTGTCGGGGTACGTCGATCACTTCACTTGATATTTCTATTGAGATCGCTAATAATCCAAAATTTAGGCTGGAGGGTCAGTTGGGAGACATCTCATCGCTCAACTTCTTCAAAATGGCAAGCATATCGTGACCGCCATCACCCGCCCTAGCAGCACCAACCAAATGCCTGAAGGCGTCCAAATTGCTCGCGTCGATTATGCCAGTGACGATGACACAGCGCTTGTGGAGGTCCTCCGCGGCCAACAAGTACTGCTAATCACTATGAACGTCATGGCTCCACCCGACACCATGATCAGGCTCATCCGGGCCGCCGCCAAGGCTGGGGTACCGTATATCGAGCCTAATTGGTACGGGCACGACGCCGCCAACGACTCTCTCTGTGACGATAGCCTTCTCACCCCCAATCGCGACCGCGTCATTGCCGAAATCACGCGTCTGGGCGTCAGCTCCTACCTGTTCCTGGTCTGCAACTTCTGGTACGAGTTTAGCTTGGGCGGTGGACCTGACCGATTTGGGTTTGATTTCCACAAGCGCAGCCTCACCATCTACGATGGGGGCGATGTTTCCATTAACACCAGCACTTGGCCGCAGACCGGTCGGGCTATTGCGAAATTGCTGAGTTTGAAGGAACTACCCGATGATGAGAACGACCAGTCTCCCACCCTATCCCAATTTCGAAACCGCTCGGTGTATGTGTCAAGCTTCCGATTGACCCAGCGTGAGATGTTTGAGAGCGTTAAGCGCGTGACCAAGACCACGGATGCGGACTGGACTATCACGCAGGACTCTGTTGCACAGCGGTTCAAAGAAGGACAAGAGGGCATGAAGGTGCACAACTGGAATGTGTTTACCAAGATGTTGTACAGTCGGATGTTCTTCGCGAATGGAGATGGGGACTATGAGTCTAGGCGGGGTCTGGATAATCAGTTGCTTGGTCTTCCCGTCGAGGATTTGGACGAGGCTACAGCTGAGGGTATACGGATGGCAGAGAACAACGAGGTTCCATTCTCGCATTGAATACCAAATTTGGTTCGTGACCCCTTAAGGGTGAGGATGGATTATAGAGTTTGGTGATCTTAAATGAATCGATGTATTGGTCTCAGTTCGAGCCTGGAGTGCAATTTTATGTCCAGTTGAAACCCCCTGTGAATGAAGGAATTTGGCTCATTATATGGCTGGCAATTCCTCATTAAAATGTATATTTGTTGACTACCAGGTCACTGTGACCATGTAACTCAAACATCAACGTTGTCGCCTCACCGAATGCAATATTTGTTTGCCGTTTATAGGTTACACTTCGTAGACTTAATGGCGAATAAAACGGCACCTACCGTCAACCGTTTTGGCAAGAGCGTATTTGTTGGGTGCCTGTGGGAATGTGGTGGGATATATGCTTCCAGGCATTCAAGTGTATTAACCTAGTGATAGAGATCCTACGTGGTTTCAATATGGAGGAATAACACTTTGGGATTCGTCTATGTTGTTGGACGTAGAGGAGAAGGAGAGAAGGAGAGAGAGAGAGACTATCTACTGCACAAAGAGGATCTGTCCCAAGTGAGGCCCTGGGCCTCAGGCACCTAGGCACCCAACACCTAGTTACTGCTGGGACTTACACTCCGTTGCCCATAGACAAGGTGACTAAGTGACAATACTACCGCCAACATCATTATACCCTCCATATTTCCATCAAGGAACACTATACAACTTAGTTTACATGAAGGCTGCAATAAGACAACCAGCAAAAGCACCAGAGACCAATCCACTGCCCGCATTGATCGTAGCACCACCAGTGTATACGGGAGAGGAGGAAGGGGTGCTAACAGTCTGTGGCAAGTTAGCTATGGTTCCACTAGTAAGCAGAAGAGCAACCAACCGAGCTTCCAGCAGGTATTGCCGAAGGAATCAATGACGATGGGCGAGAAGAACCAGAAACACGCGGGGGGCTCACGGAAGTTGAAGTGACCGTAGTACCAGTAGAGGAGGTGACCGCATCAGTCGTCACAGTGAGATTTACGCTCTTCTCTGTAGTGGTAGCACTAACAGGTGTAACGGTAGAAGACCTTTCAGCCGAGATAGCAGGTGCTCCAGCTGAGGTTGAAGACGCTTCGACCGGGGTGGCATCCAATCCACATGCAGTGGCAGCCTTAGACACGGAGCCACCGTAATACTTCCAAATTTCAAACTCAACAGCACAGTTCAAGCAATCGGTCAATTCGGTCTTGAAGTCGTCGGCATCACAGTATCCGTTAGTACGGCCGGCGGTAATTACGCCGCCTTATCTGTCAGCTTGTGTCATGATTTGCAGGATTACGGGATATGGAACATACCACAGTTGGCGTGACATTCGTACGCAGGAGTGCCGGGGTCCTGGCGTCGGTGCAGAGGGACAAAGTCGGGGAATTCGAATGCGCTGGCACTAATTACAGCGCAGGCAAAAGCAGCCACATTGACAAGACGCATGATGAAATGAGGTAGAGATGGATATTTGAAAATGTAAAGACCGATGATGCAGGCACAAAACAGACGGCAGTTCAGTGTCTACTTATTCACCCGTGCGTGCTTCTCAAAAAAGCACAATGTCTTGGCTAAATACTCATTTCGGAGCAAAGAGCTGTCCAAGGTGGTATGAGACCTCCGGGAACTGGGAACTTTTCGGATGGGGTTACCTGTTGTGGTCATGTCTCAAATGAACTATTGATGTCGGGTCAAAACGTTGAAGCGAACCAACCAAAAGCAACCAAAACAGCCTTGTAGGACCCACTCATCTTATCTGATTGATCTTATCTGATCTAGATCCAGAGTTTTTTCCTCTACGCTCTTTACCGGCGGGTTCCTCCGGCTTCAATAAATTAATTCCCTACATTGGCAAGCCACCGAACCATAATTTGTATCTTCACTAGGGACTCGTGACTCGACCCTGATGGGTTCCTAACAGTGGTCCAACTTCGGTGAGAGAATTCCCGGCCATGACATCTAGGAAACTTTGGTCGCTACGTGCTTGGCAGTTATTAAAACCCTTGGCAGTGGAAGTCGGGTCAAACCGACATACATCCACTCAAGACTATCTCGCATATCGGTCACAGCCTGCAAGCGAGGTCGATGGGGACTTGAAGTTTATAAATGCCGATGTCTCTGTTTTCCATATTTTCCTTCAAGACCTTTCTACAGCATCTCCCTGGTCATACCCTTCAGTAGACCAATCCTCTCAATATAATTATGAGGAACTACATCGCACTGGTTGCTCTCTCTGCTGTTGGAGGACTATGTGCTCACGGCGACGAAGCCAGCAAAGATATGGGCCCAGCTGCCTTCCTGTGGCCACCTGATCGCCCCTGGGGTGCAGCATATGACAACAATGCGCCCTGTGGCTCATCAACCGGGACCGTGAACCGAACAAATTTCCCACTAAGTAAGACCGTATTTATCCGCAACCCCAAAAACATCAAATATACTGACATGCCACTGTAGTCAACGGCAAGCTCGCACTTGTACTTCAAGACGAGTCATGGAATGTGCAGGTTGCGATCTCCCACAAAAGCAGTACGCCAGCTCTATCCTTATCATCTATCTATCCAGACTAAATCTCCCTTAGATCCGACAACAAATGACGACTTTGAGGCCTTCATTAGCGGCTCCACTCTTTCCGAGATCGAGCCAGGACACGAATGCTACTCTGTGCCCAACCCATCTATGGACATAGAAGAAGGAATGAATGCTACCTTCCAGATCAAATACACTTCGGATTTCGATACAGATAAAAACGAAACCTACTACGCGTGTGCGGACGTAACGTACATTCCGGCGAGCAAGTTCACCTACCAAGTCCCCTGTTTCAATGTGACATCGGATGAGTTTACCGATGCTGCTACCACAGCCACGGCCACATCTGGGGTTACTGCTACTGCTACTGTAGCATCGGGTGCAACGAAGAACACAGGTGCCACGAGCGAAGAAGGCTCCGGTCTTTCAGATGGTGCTATTGCGGGTATTGTGGTCGGCTCGGTGGCTGGGTTGGGTCTTGGAATTGCCTTGTTGTTCTTCTATAGAAGGCTTTTGCAGAAGTATCGCTTCTTGCGGCAAAAGGCTTCCACACGAAATGTGGACTGGAATGAGGAGGCACCTCAGCATAAAGTTGACGATGATGTTCCCATTGGGCTTCGCAGGATTAGATGATTGGGTAGAATCTTTCTAGGTGTTAAGTGTGGGAGGAGAAGTGTCCAGCTGTTCATGTGTGGGTCCTAGTAATGATTAATGTTCTTATGCTTGTATAGCTTTCGAACTATAATGTCTGTGATATACTTAGTTCGACTTGCGATATCTCTCTATTCGTGTCTTGATGGTTAAACCCCGTAAGAAAGGGCCACTTGCTAATCTGACGCTGTTAGCACAACAGATCCCACTGGAGCCTCTGCAGGGCATTGCTTAGTATATGTCATACGTAGCTCAACTACGAGTTTGATTTTATCTTACCGTGGGGCCGAGACAAGGGTGGTTCTCCATGGAGAGGAAAAAGAAATGGAAGCACCATAAACAGGGGCAACCAATGAAACGTGAACCACTGTTACAACCTGCCCCTGGACTGGCAAGTTACAAGTTAGGCCAAAAAATCATTATATCTGAGCATTATGCTCAGATTGTCCAGGCTCCGATATATATAGTGCATGACATGACAACCACAGTGGCGGTGAGATTAGATGTTGGTATTAATGAGGAAGGAGGTGTCGAAGTGAAAATAGATCTCTCATTCCACTCAATTGTGAGAAATTTCTCATTAAAGAATTTCCGTGTATTCGGACCTTGTTTCACGAGTTGATCGATAGTCTTGTGTGTCTGTCTTAAACACTCTTATGTCCGTCAGTAACTCCACCTGCACCTGACGATCACTGTTAGTCTCCCGCACGACCCATGGGTCGAGGTTTTCCACCTGTCTGGGTCGGACTGGGTCAGTACTGGGGCCCCGATTTGGGATACAAACTATGCAAACACCCTAATTATGTGTATAATTCTGCTGACTTAGTAGGGTTATGACCGCCAAGACCCCAATCTATACAGGAACTGGGTCGAAATGGGGTTATTTCTAGGCTTTCTGGGGCCCTAGTGCCTGGGTCTGGGTTGGGTCTGGGTTGGGTTTTGGGTCGTGCGGAAGCCTAATCACTACACGTACGGCGTGTAAGAAACAGTCATTGACGTCTACGGGCGACTATGTATGCCACTAGCACATACCTCTCTCATTGGCTCATATTGCCCGCAGTAATTTAGATCCACTAATGTTGTAGATGCATAAAGATGTCTGAATACCTAGATTATGAGGTTAATAAAATTAATGCCTTCTGAAATGGGTATAGGGACTTCTAAAGTAAAGTGAATCTGAAGCGAATCTGAAGCGAATCTGAAGCGAATCTGAACTGAATCTAAATTGAATTATATTGTAGAGGACTGTTGTATACAAATTGAAATTAGCGTATACCTAGGTATGTTTCAAAAAGGCGGCGACGAAAAGACGGTGAGGTAATAACCAATTATAAAGTAGACGTCCTAGTAAACTATCCGAAATTATAGGAGCTAAGAAGAGAATTAAGTATGAAGGTTAGGGACAGCGTATCGAATCTACTAGGAGGCTTCAAAGAAGGTAAGAGAGATAAGCCAGATTCCAGGCATGAGAGAAGAGTCCAAAAGAGAAAAAGCGGAGGCTCACAGATACCTGCATGATGCCTGTTTTGAAAAGTCCTAGACTTTAGTTAGCAGGGAACAAGTGTTTGGTCCAGGTACGCGTGTTGTACAAGGGTTCATATAGTTAGTTAGTTACTTGCCAATATAGGTGGGAAATGCTGGATACATGTCGTAGGCAAGCCTCAAGCAATACTATCGCAACCGGCGGATCCAAATCAAGAACCAAGGTAATATTCACAACACAACATAACTTAAATCGACCTTTCTGGCTTGGTGGCCATGTATATTCACTCAGATATCCAGCGTTTCAGGAGAAACTAGACCGTCCAATGTCAACTGCCGCTCAGCTGGGAATGTGGTCAGTGCGGCGGGTGGCGGGTGATTCTCACTCAGCTTATCACCCCTGTCCATAGGGCACTCACCCTTGTCACCCGGGCGACGGGCGGCACCCAACTATTGGCCACGTTCAAGATGATCTATCGTCATTTCCCTACCCTCGCATTGGGCGAGGTTTGTCGATTTGAAAGTGGCTGACAGGGGCTGTGCACCCTGCATAAGTCTCCCTCCCAGTTGTCTCAGGGGGAATTTCCTCTGCTCTAAGTATCTCATTCCCATAATAACTTGCCCAGAGCATAGGCCCACAACCTCCGGGTGACCTCTGTCGGGTCAACTTTCAGTCTTCGCAAAGTCGGCCAAACCTTGACCGCGCTGGTTCCGGTGGTGGCTCTGCTCAGGATCCTTTGACAAACATATCTTTTGCGACAAAACGACAGAGAGGCTACTTCTCTGTTGAATCCATGGCCAAACTATCGTGGATTTGGCTGCTCTTGATCTCGGTGTCTCAAGTAGTCCGAAGTGATGGAGCACGCCGAGATCGCTGGGTGAAGCCCAACGGTGAAAATATAGAAAATTTCGAAAAGAGATATTACATCGGAGACACATTGAATATTGAATGGAAAGGATGGAACACAACCGAAACGGAAGGCTTCGTCATGAAGGACGGTGAAACGAGAGCCAAACTATATGTGAGAGCATGGGCTTTACAGTACTCGAATTGGTCCGATTTTCGCACATGTACGCAATCCTCACCATTGAACCATGAGATACGAGACTAACGATTTCGCGAAACAGCCAATGTAAATATCGCTTCAGGTGGTTCGTATGAATGGAAAGTCGATGTTCCCGACGACGCCCTATTTTGGAGCAGGCGATTTGCTGTTACCTTCATCCCAAATGATCAAAACGACTTTAGTCTCACCGGCCCTCATATATCTTCACCGGGGTTCGAAATACCGGGATTCTATGTCGATGAAATGTCGACAACGACCTCATCCATATCAGTGAATGCTCCAACGACAACCTCCACATCTAGCACAGAGACTAGGGTCTCATCTAGTACAAGTGAACTCTCCACTGGCACAAAAGCGGGAATCGGTATTGGCTCGAGCTTCGGCGGTTTGGCTGTGCTAGCTGCGTTAGTATTTCTAATGCCTACCAAATTAGCGCATGTCTTCAAACTTCCTCTGCGATGGATCAGGTCTCTTACAATTAAGTGGGAGAGAGTATCAACCAGCCCCCCAAAGAAACAAGAACCCACGGATATTGGCGATGATGCTCTTTGTGAAGGGACAGATCCACAAGAGACCGATAAAGCCCAGAAATCATCGGAGTGGTCCAGACTCAGTTCCGACACTTGGCTCTGGGAAGCTTCAGCAGTAATCTTCAGTATCCTATGTCTTACCGCCATATTCTGCGTGGTGTGGGTTTATGATCAGAAAGCATCCCCGAGTCTTCCCTACGGGATTACACTGAACAGTGTGATATCAATACTTGGCACCGCTTCTAAATCCTCGCTGATATTTGCCGTGGGAGAATCTCTCGGGCAATTGAAATGGATGTGGTTCTGGAGGGCCAAAAGGCCGCTACGAGATTTACAGTCATTTGACAGCGCGAGTCGCGGACCTTGGGGCTCTATCATCATGCTATTTCAACATAAAGGCACGTCAATTGCATCTCTTGGAGCTTTGGTCATCATTCTAGCGCTTGCATTTGACCCGTTCCTCCAGCAAGTCTTGACTTTCCCGTTGAGACAGACACCCAGCTTGTTAGATCCGAACTCACACGACTCCTCGTTCAGTCAGGTTCACAATATTCTACCACTTTGGGGCCTCGACCCCACTCCAGGGTATTCATATTGGACCTCAAGAGAACAGGAAGAATACATCACGAATTTTCGAGAGGCTATTTTGTCCGGGATTTGGTCTAGTCAACCCCAGATAAATCCCACCTGCGCCTCCGCAAACTGTACCTGGGAGCCATTTCGATCTGTCGGCTACTGCGCCAAATGCGCAGATCTCACGACTTCAGCCAGACTTACTGGCTGCGACAACATGTCTTTCCCTTATTCAATTCCTTTCAACACCACTACAAACTATACTCAATCTACCAACTGCTCGATCTCCTTGCCACAAGGAAATTCGTTCCCACTTAATATGACATTTGCAGTCTCGAATGACACTGTTGACCGAGCGTATGAACAGATTATGCCGCGCTATGTCGTCTGGGAGATTCACAACACGCCTCAAATGTACAACACCTCGGAGAACACGTCTGTGCCAACTTCTACTTTCCTCGGGGTGGACAACCCGTTGTTAGTCTTCGGGCAAGCTGAGATCGATTATGATATCTCAGAAAGTGATCTCATTCCTCGCCCAGAACAAATACAACGGAAGCTTAGCCGGGTCACAGAATGCGTTTTATCGCTTTGCTCGAGAACTTATAACGTCTCTGTCAAAAATGGCAATCCTAAAGTTGAAGTGTCCTCTCCAGACTTTGGTGAGACATGGTTTCCTAATCGTTGGACCGCCATCAATTACCCTCGCCCGGCCAATATGACACATTCACCCGAGTTTCAAAAATCCGGACTTGCCAGTTGGGATATATGCTGGAAGCAATGGAAAGGTCATCCATTTCCATACCAACCTTTTCCTTACAGACAAGTTCGTCTTTCTAGGTCGAGCCGTTATCCCCCGGCTCAGATCATCGAGCCGCAGGGGTCTGCCTTCTGCAACGTCAATTCTCTTGCACCAGACATTCTACAATACATCGGAGGCGCTATCTACAATCGCTTTGCGATCTCGCCTCACCAAACTTACTGGCGTAGCAGTAGTGACACAAGTGATTTCAATAGTAGTGATGTTTTTGAACGCGCTATGAGACTTGGACTCGAAAAAATGATGAATAACATCGCGGATTCATTGACCAACTTGGCCCTCCGAGAAACTCGTAACAAGAGCAATGGAACTCCACATGTTTCAGAGGTCTATGTGCAAGTGAATTGGCCATGGGTCGCTCTACCGGCGGCAGTGACTATCTTATCTTCTGTTCTCCTGATAGCCACAGCTCTGATCACCAAATCACAAGATCGTAGGCTGTGGAAGACCTCTACCTTACCTGTTCTGTACCACGGTCTTGATGAGGATCTTCTGAAAGACACAGAGGAATACTCTACTCTCAGCAAGATGGAAAACACCGCCGACTCGACGAATGTTGGGCTTGAACTCTCAGACACCAACGGCAGAGTTTTACTACAGAGATGATGGTGAACATATAGCCCTGTATTTGTGCACTCCTTTCAACATTTCATGAAGCTATTGCTTGCTTCCTTTCATGAAGCGAAACATATACCCTTCTTGAGAGACCCAGTTTTAGATCATCATCATTGATCCCTCCAGATGACATTGCGTATTGATATTACGATAACTACATATGATAGACATGAATGAATATGCCCGAGAGTCAGTTTCCACGCCCATGGGTGTGATCTGAACACGGTTCCTACGTGTTACTAAACTCCCTTGTACTCGCCAAAACACTATTTTTGTAGTACAGTAAAAGAAAAAGGGCAAGAACAAAACAACCACGGAAGTAAAAACATACAATAGTGAGCATTCGCTGGTGGTAATCTACCTAACTCCTAACTCACTGGTTGTGGCTTTTCCCTATCGAAAGGATATAAGCGGAACTACTACTCTCTTTTTGATCTCGACCATAAAACCCAAGTCTTCTTTTCACGAGCCGATATGAATAGCAATATTATTGTCAGACATTTCAATTTGAGAAACAATGAATAGCCTCATACCCCGGAACAATCCACTACTTCCGTAATAGCGACCTAAGGAAAGGAGAGCGACCTAGGCAGACATACCTAACCTAGGATGTCATCGTAAACTGGATCCAGTCTAGCAAGAGACGTCTTATACAATCTGGGTAAACCAGTCTCCTCAAATGGAACCGAGCTCTGCGCCATATCCGCAACCGCCTTACCAGACAAGAATGCCACAGGCATACCATGACCATGGAACCCAGCCGCGATAAACTGACCCGGTTTACCAGGAATACCACCAACATGAGGCAACGAGTCTGCACTGTATCCCATGACTATGAATGAGACCGGGGTTAGCAAAACAAAGTAAAAACGATACCCTAAAGGAATTGCACATACCACCAGCCCAGATATGTTTGATCTCCGCCTTGCTATCTTCCCATCCGATGAACGTGCGCTGCATATACCCATCAAGATAATCCGCAGCAACTTTAATCAACTTCCCATCATCGGGGTTATTATACCACTCCTCCCTATTATCTTCGTAAAGATGCGACGCTCCGCCGATGATGAGGGACCCGTCATTCCGAGAAATTTGATAAACGTACGCCCCCGGACCAGATCGAATGCAATAAGTACCAGGCAGTTCCTGACGGGGTGCACCAGGTGCCGCAGCAATTTGGCTACAAACCCCCTTGCATGGAATGATAGCTTTAGAATATTGCGGGGCCAAGGCGCTTGTGTATGCGTTTGTAGCGAGGATGATCTTCCGCGCGTTAATGACACCACGACTAGTGGTTACTGGCCAGAATCCATCTAAATTTGGAGTTTCCCCGATTCCAGATACAGGTGTGTTGGTCTGCAAGTTCAGGCCGTGCGAAACGGCAACACGAATGAGATGGGCAACGAGTTTGTAAGGCCAGAGATGGCCTGTTGGGAAACTGAAGCCTCCCTTGGCGTCTCGAACATGTGCCGTCTTAATGCAATGCAAATGTCGTCAGCAAGAATCTCGGAGATGGACTTACTATCCCGAAAACTCATTTCAACTTACGTCTCGGGTCTCGGTTTGAGATAGGCATTGAACATCATCCATAAAGTCCAGTTCCTGGTCAACCAACGAATCGTACAAGGTTTTAACCTCGTTGAGCTGATTTTCATCGAGATACATATCATAGGAGCGTGTAAAAGTAAGATCACAATCGATTTTTTCTTTACGGACCAGCTCCTCTATGATCTTCAGGTGTGAGAGTTCAAACCGCACGATCTCCGCTGCTGCGTCGATACCATAGCGCTTGGCGAACAAGGCTGTTGCATAATAAATGTCTGGTCTCAAATGACCTCCTAAGCAAGAATAAGGTAAAACAAGTGAGCTAGAATGGTATATCTATATTTCAGGTCATGGGTAGGCCTTACCATTGCGCCCGGTGGCACCAGAACACAGCTCCCGCGCCTCAACTAACACCACCCGGGGAGTTGGATTTTGCGGGTTCTCTGCAAGCAAACGATAAGCTGCCGAGGCTCCGACATAGCCACTTCCAATAATTAAGATATCGATTTCTTCTGGCAGGTCTGGAGTCGTTTGGTGGTTATCCAGAGGGTCTGATTGCGTGCGCCAAAACGATTGGGTATACCCCGCTGTTGGGCGAGGGAAGGACTTTGCATCAGAGTTGGATGACATGATGACTAGTGGTCCAACAGTAGTTCCAAGGCCTATCTGATGCGAGTTGAACTTCGGGGATATGAAAAAGCAAATAGAAGGGCAATGCGAAAAACAAGAGAAAGGAAAAACGTGGTATAGATAAGGCGTGATCGGGGCTGATACGCTGCAACCTATCGCGGGGGAGACCGAATTATGCGGGGTTGAGAAGATGGAGTTGATTGTGCGACTTGGGTCTATGTTGTATATTCATGAAATTGATGATATTTCCAATCCTCTCCACTATCCACTATTTTCTTCATTGGGAACTTGCTCGTTCCGAATTCGTTGAGCTAGGAGTATTCCAAAGCTGCCGTTGATGACCTTCAAATGCCTCAATGACATCGGGGCAGCTTGATTGGGCCTTCGCTGACTGTCTAGCCAAATATTCAGACTCTATCAATCGTGCTTTGACAAGCTGCTTCCGAGTCTTGGAATGTATAGCCGAATGTAAGCTTTTGGCCAAGCCCTGACCCGGATACGCGACTAAACCCAAAGCACCTAGAGACGGTCAATTAACAATCCCGCTAGTCTCAGAGGGATACAGTGCGTGACAAACCTGATGCAGCTTTTGTCCCTAAGCCAATAGGTCCTTTCACAAATCCTTTGATTGCACCCCTAATGCCATCTTTCTGGCCACCCTCGTAGGGCTGTCGGAAGATATCAGTGAGTCCATGTGAGAACCCATGCGCAAAGTTATCCGAAGCGGCAGCCACTCCAGACTTGAAGTCCCGGATGTCGTTGTATTCTTTGACCTCCTCACCATAAAGCCTAGGAACAGCTCTCAGGCCCTCGTTGACGGCTCCGGGTATATCTACCAGAACGCCCTTGTAGTAGTAGGCTATGATCCTCCCCACGCTTTTGGCGGATCCCCCCACTGCCTTTCCCGCAACTCCCCAGTCCTCGTCTGTTTGGTTGGTTCTGGAAGTACGTGAGATCGCTTCGGATGGACTTCGCTCGGATTGGGGATTCGTAGTCTCGATGATTACAAGCTCGGGTTCGCTTTGTTGACGGGCGCGGCTAAACTCTTTGTAGGGCCGAATGACGACGTCGCTTGATGCTGTGAGGATATCTTTGTACATGCCTAGTAAGGACGACGTGCCGCCTGTGATAGGATCCCATCGCCGAGTCTGGATAAAAATCGGTTTACTCCCGTATCTAGTTCAGGATGTGTGTTAGCATAGATATGTGTAGATGGGATGGTTGGGATATATGATCTCACGCTTTGAGGTCCTTTACATCAATGCGAGAATTTTCAAGCAGGATCCCCGCTGCCATTTTGGAAAAAGTTATAGGGGCCCTTTCGTTTTGCTTCAACTGCCACACAGCCGGCTCAGAATTGATAAACTGGCATTTCATGTTGTCGACCGGTAAGTTGCGATGGAAAGAGGCAACAGCTGCTGAAACTCCATCTTCCTCGCTCATTTCACGAGCAAGGTTACCAGCTGCTTCTAGGGTATCAGGATGTAAGCAAAAACGGATGGCTTCCGCTAGATTATCTGCGTTCAAAGACTTGTGTGGAATGGGCATTGGTCCAATTCCGCGAGACGCGACCATATTTCCCCAAAAGAGCTGACTGTAACATGTTAACAGAGAAATTGAAAATGCTTTCAAGGGCTTACGTACTCTCCGAAGAATGGTACAATAAGAGAGGGTCTTCCAAATCGTAAACCACATGCTGTAGTCCCTGCTCCTCCGTGGTGTACAACTGCAGCGACCTTCTGGAATAGCCATTCATGCGGACAATCTCCAAGATAAAAGATTTGATCGTCCGATTGTGCTTCGCCGAGATTACTCCAGCCACGGGATATGATTGCACGACCGCCCCAGGATCTCACTGCATTGACGAGTGTGGCAGTCATGGCTGGGGGGTCCTCAATAACGATGCTTCCGAACCCGATATACACCGGTGGAGGCCCAGCGCGGAGGAATGCGTCAAGGTCTGGAGGTGGTGTAAAGTCCGGAGGAGAGCGGAAGAAGAAGCCACAGACGTTGAGATGTGCCGGCCAATCTGCTGGTTTGGGCATCAATGTAGGGGACCAGCAATATGTGAAGGGTATCCTCAGAGTCTCTGCTAAACGGGGACCTTCGGTGGCTGATATAGGTTCTAGGTCTATAGATTTTCTCCAATCGTTAATAACATCACCCAAGCTATTGTGAGGTCAGCATATTGGATTAGGGACCAACAGAAATGTGGTTTTTACCCTTGCCATGTCAGCCATTCGACAATCCCGTACGAAAGGTAATTAGCCATTTTCGGCTCTGTGGTTGAATATTTCAAATTTGCCAAGGGATGGGGAAATGATCTTGTGCTAGTCCACGGCATGGTAAACATCATGTGTAGAGGAATGCCAAGCGCCTGAGCGCAATGAATATGGGCGAAGCTTGGAGGATTCGCGATGATGGCATCGGCCACAAAGGGTGTTTTGGTCACGGAGTCATCCTCTATACAAGACTGCCAACATCCCTGGAGAATTTGGCCTACCATGACACGCTTGCGTTGAATATCACCCTCTTGGACAGACTTCATTTGTGGTATCAGTCCTGGATTCTTCACCATGTATGCCATCAGCTCCGAGGGATCTCCTCCGATAGAGAAAAATTCTAGACCGGAGTCCCGCACAAAGCTTTCAAACACACCATGTGTGGCTAGTCGTACGCGGTGTCCATGGCGCTGAAGCTCGTTGCCTAATGCGACAAAAGGCTGGACGTCGCCTCGACTACCAACAACTTGGATCACAATGTTGAGCTCGAGACCACATCCGGCATCACCTGAAGGCTCTGGTTCTGGTTCAATATGCTCTTCCTTGTGCAGAAATGGTATCAGTTTTGACACTTCCCTGCCCACTTTGGAGTCCAGGTTGATCTCAACTCGACCATCAGCTTCGAAAAAGTTAGCACGCTCTTATTGGCAATGAATTAGATAATTAGAGCCGTCCCCACCTTGCACCTTTGTCCCATCCTGGGTCGACTGGTTGCGTTCAAGCGTCCAAGGTCGGCGCGGTGGTTCCTCCATCACGGCAGCCCGATGACATCACACGCGGGGCGAACAGATATCTTTCCAAAGCTGAATATTCGTCAAACAGCTGTCAGTTAGTTATTTCCAAGACTCTGTGAGGCATCCAATGTTCTTTAAAGGAAAGAAGTATATCAACAGGGACCCCCAAAACAACTGAAGACCATGGTAGCTCTGATGGTTCGGGGCTGGCACGAGTGGATCCCCGGGGTTGGGCCACGTGATTTGCTAATCTGAGCCAATAACATGCCATCGTGGGTCGGGTATTACTATTACAAGTATTACACTTATGTTGTAATGTATATAACTAGCATTCAAGTCTTGCACGAAGATATATATATTTAGAAGTATATGTTTAGAAGTAGGCGGGACGAGTTTGTAGACCAATTCCAAAAGATCTTGGCCAAGGAGCAAGAAAACTAATACTAGGTCATAAAGCGAATTACGATAATGATAGACTCGAGTTAGTACACTAATTACACTAACAATTGATATTCATACTTCGTACAATACAGAGTTGGGCCTTCCCCATGTTCTTCATCCTTTTCGTTATTTTCCTTTTTTTTGGTTTTTTGGTTTTTTGTTTTTTTTTTTTGAAAAAAAAAAAAACAAAAACCGAAAATCCCAATGGCAGATCGAGAAATACCCCAAAAATGTACAGTCTTCAAAAAATTAACACAACGAGGGACACGTGCGCTAAACCGAGGTTGGTGGGGAAGCACAAATTAGGTGCCTGGGATAGAGAGCGACGAACTCGGGGTCAGTGCTCAGAACATTCCACACCGACTCATCCAGAGTCAGATTCACGTCAACGGCGTACGGGAGATTGGCACGACCCAAAGAACGTTTTCTCTGGCGGCGGGGCACCTCCTCCTCGGTAGACAACATCATCGCCAAACCATCGACCTGGTAACCTTCACTGAAAGCTGGGGACACCAGAGAAGGGGAGATGCGCTTGCCACCGGCGGTGACGTCAAAGTCAACACCAACGTATATCTTCCCCTTAGTCCACTGGGTGGCGATGAGGGAACTGCGTGGAAATATCTTCTTCAACCTGATGTGACTTTTGTTGGGCTGTGCGGCAATCCATTCGAACTCTTGCTTGACTAAATCCATATCCACTGAGTGAATGGCATCATGAATAACCTGTGCAACCTCCCAGAGGGCGCCCTTTGTGAGTAATTCGTGGGAGGCGGAAGTGGAGGCGCAGTAGACGGCGTTCGGGAAGTAGCGTGCGGGAAGCTTCAAACGGGTGGGGTCACGCATGTCCATGGTTGTTCCAAATTGGCGAAGTGACTGTAGAGCGTCGGGGTCTGGTGTAATCCCCTTGTTGTGCAGAACCTGAATCCTGGCTTGGTAAATCCGCTGGTACAGATAGGCTGAGACGAGCTCGAATCTGGTAAACAAGATCTGCCCCGAGGCGTTGGGGTCGGTCGCAGCAGTCTTGAGTGAAATCAGGGTTTCACCATGAAAGCGGAGAAGAGAAGTATGGAGGGAGGGAGGTTCTGAAACGTTGGGCGTAACAATGCTGGTTTCGTCGAGGTAAAAGTTTGGAGGGTCGAACGCAAGCGCTTTCTCTTTCTGGCTAGGCGATGGGCTTTGCGTTCCGCGAAAATGTGAGAAAATCTCGGGGGGAGATACAAGTGTTGGCGGAGCAGAGTCGCGGATTTGTTTGTAGATCTCGACGAGGTCACGCACGAGCTGCATAAACCCAGTGGCATCGCAGACTTGGTGATGAACACGAATGCCTAGTGCAACCCCTCCACAGCCGAAGCGGGTGTGTTGGATGGCGAAGATAGGGTTGTGGGAGACAGATCCCACTGTCGAATAAAAGATTGGAAGAATAGCATTACCAGAATCGGGCAGATTGAAGACCAAGATACGGGCGGAGAGAGCAGAGACCACGATGCTTGTGAGAGTTCTAGGGCATTGTGCCTCCCAAAGTTCAGCGCCAGTGCCCAGGCTACCAATCTCGGGAGCTTGTGTGATCGGATTCTGCTGCAGACGGCCAGTGAGGTGCGGGTAGTAGTCGAGGAGGTGGGATGCAGCTAGCTTTAAGCGTTCGACCACGAGGAAGTTATCGGCTGGCATTGCTTCCGGCTTTCTGTAGATGAGTATTGCTTCTATGTTCAACATAGATGAGACGGTGTGATCCATCGGCCCTAGGCTAAAAGGGGACTCGACAGCGGCGAGTGTCGCCTCATTGGCGCAGTTAAGCGTGTGCCGCGTAGAAACGCGGACTTGGTCGAGTACCATCGCTGTGATTGGAGAAAGCAATGACAAGGATAGTGGGATAATCAAGATGAGTAAACAAGGATCAGAGATAACGAGGATGAAAGATGATGAGGAAATATGAAGACGAAAGAGAATGAAGACGAGAGGGGATGAAGATGAAAGATAAATGTTGGTGCTGCTTAAATGCAGTGCAGAATTGTCATTTCATCCCATCAATGCCTACGTTTACGGGCGACTAAGTATGCCACCCGACACGTAACTGTCTCATTGGTTTATATTGCCAGGAAATAATTTAGATCTCTCACTTCACAAGTACCATGTTGAATCTATAGTTACTTTATATAGTATTTTTATAAATGAAAACTGTTGAGCAACCTGTGGGGAGAAAGCAGAGGAAGAATTATCAATTGATTAAACTAGAGATATAGGGGGTTATATACCCTGCTAAAACCATCTAAACCCTACTCGATGTAGCAAACAAGCTAACAAATAGCAAATAACGAACAAATAGGGCTTAGGCTTAGTCTATAGGAAACATATATGTATAGGGATTTGCTAAAATAACCCCCCTTTGTCTAATCTGACCCCCACCTGCCTGGAAATTCAGTCACCGCCTCCCCGATCGGGTGCGACACTGATTCTGCCATAATCTCTGCCACTACAGAGTTTTCTGCCATATAATTCTGCCACCACCATAGTAATTCTGGTTTACATAGTAAAAAAACATGCATTTTGATCAGAAAAAATCGTACATTCTCACTGAATTAAGCACTTATTTACATATACAGGTTAAATGAGCTTCTCAACCAGGTCCCCGCGCGCGCTGTCCCCGTCCTCGACGGGTAGAGACTTGGGGACGATCTCACGGTCCGAACCAGGGTCGGAATCCAACGAATCAAGGTATGCTAGGCCTAAAGAGGCCATTTTGGTTGCTGGAATGACAATAATAGGATGGAAATGATGAAAAAAGGATTAAAACTGATGATTTGGTGCAAATACGGATGAAAAAATGAGTTGGGAGAAGGCAGGTTAATATATGTAAACCAGGATTGCATTATCAGATTGTTTGCTACTCGAGTCCTATAATATAATATGTATGGGATAAAAGTGACTTGTTTTTACTATATGTTTGCATACAAATTGCAGGTATCTACTGTCGTCCCATAGTGTTAGGGGGCAGTTTGACACGAAGACGGTGAGGAATGCGGTAGGAAGGTGTGGGTGTCGAGGTAAATGCGGTACCCGAATTGGGAAGGCGGTAGGGTGTACGCCTTAATGTTCAGGCAGGGGGGGTCAGATTAGACAAAGGGGGGTTATTTTAGCAAATCCCTATGTATATATGGGATATTGTTCAACAAATAATATATTAATTTTTTTTAATACCGGGCTCTTTATACTCCTAAGTCTTAAGTCTTGACTCTTAATTTCTTAATTTCTTACTATCTTAATCTGAATTGAATCTGAAGTGAATCTGAAGTGAATCTGAAGTGAATCTGAATTGAATCTGAATTGAATCTGAATTGAATCTGAATTGAATCTATAAAGTGTATAGTATAAAAATAAAACAGAAGTTAAAATTAGTAAATGCTTCAAGAAGGCAGTAATGAACTGGACAGTGAGGTAGTAACCAATGAAGAAAGAGTGCATTCCAACTAAAAAGGCAAAGAGAGAGAGAGAAGGACAGAGAGTCTCTGGATCTCTCTGGATCTCTCTGGATCTCTCTGGAAGCAAACGTTGGAACCTTCGAACAATCTCTCATTCCGAATTAGGCTTAGTAGCAATTACCCGATTAGGCTTAGTAGCACATTGTCAACAAAGAAACAATCAACCTTTGATCCTTGACATGTGACGGCATGTGATAGATGTAGATATAAATACCCCCTCCCCCTCCCACTTCCTCCTTTTCTTCTTTTTCCTTCTCCATACTACTCCGGGTCCACATTGCACATCGTGGTTCCTGTTGAGTATCCTTCAATTTTTTGACCTTGATTTGGTTCTGGCTTCAGGTCTCTATTCAACATATTGATGCTGTTGTCAAGTGATCGGTTTATCCTGATGACTCTGGCGGGTCTCTGTAGGCGGCCCTTGTCAGGCTGCGAATGGCACGAAGCATGTCTGGGAGGCAACGGGAATGGGCTTCGGTCGAGACACTCCTATGCACCTCTGCGGAAACAGACTGTACTGACTTGGGTGCTCCCGTTGTCCGCCAGGAGCCGAACCAAATTACTAGGAAGGGGCTCTGTTCTCATCTCCTTCGACAATAATTTTTGGAACCTTTATACCAGAGATAGCTCTCTGTTGTCCGAAGAATTTTCTGAGGACATTTGTTTTCAAGGTTCCTTTTTATGGTTCCACATCCTCCTATTCAGGTGGTCTATCCTTTCCTTTGTGAGTCATTCTTATCTTTCTATTATGAGTCTTGCAGCACTAACTCTCAGCATATGACTGTCTAGGTGGAGATGATATCGGAAGTGTGAAGGGGATTCGCGAGTCTCATCAGTGATACCATGATAGCTTAATCTTAATGCCTGAAAATTAAATGTATTCCAATGTCCAAAGACCACATGTTGAATTTCCTCAGTATACAATAAAGTATAGGCACTGGCTAGAAACCACGGCTGATGTCGAGGCTGTGGTATCGGTCTAATTGTTAATTCCTGCAGTAAATCTTACAGTCTTTACGTGGATAACGCAGTAAGTTTCTTGAACACTTCTGTATGCACTGCAATGGAACTGCACCCATCTACAAGAGCCGCTGGCAGGGTCTAACCAATCAGCGACCGTCACACCTTGGATTTCTACAGACACCAAATGTTTATCAAGATATTTAAAGGCTTCACCTCCATCATAACTCAATTCCAACTCACCACTCTTTATCTCTCTTCGGTCTTGATATTTACTCCTCTTTTTCAAATACGACTCCAATATGGTCAATCCCTCGATTGTCATTGTACCAGGTGCCTGGCACCGACCTGCACACTTCCAGGGTCTCATTGATGAGCTCGCAAAGGTCAACTATGATGCAGAGGGCGTGACCATACCTTCCGTGGACTCCAGCCCGCCACTGCCTACCTGGGAGCAAGACGCGCAAGCTGTGCGACAAGCGATTATGAACAAACTGGATGCCGAGAAGGATGTCGTCGTCCTCGCACATTCATTCGGCGGCATCGCCATGTCAGAGGCAGCCAAGGGTCTCGGAAAGAAGGACCGAGATGCACAGGGATTGAAAGCCGGGATTATCAAGCTGGTCTACATGTGCGCGATAGCGTTACCAGAAGGCCAGTGCCATGTCGGCCAATTGGTCCCGCAGACGCCCGAGGAAGAAGAGATCGAGCGTCAGCGCAAGAAGTTGGAGGAAAGGCTTGGTGGATTACATGTGTCAGCGGTAAGGATACCGGTCTTTACTTCTATTTCTCAATGCTAATCTATCGCCAGGACGGAGCAATCAGTCTGCCGAAGGACCGTGTCCACCTTGTCTTTTATAACCGATGCGACCAGAAGGATATCGATAGGGCTGTGGGGTTGCTTGGCACGTTCCCCGTGGGCCCATTGACCGTTCCTGTTACATACACCGCGTACCGTGAGATTCCCAACACATACATTGTCTGCAAAAACGACCAGGCATTGGGGGAACCATTCCAGCGAAAGATGATCGCGCAAGGCCAAGACTGTTTTGAGGTGGAGGAATGTGATGAGGGCTATTCTCCGTTCATGAGTAACCCAGGCTCCATCGTCGATTGCATTCGGAGGGCAGCCGGAGAGAAGGTCTAGGCATGCGAGGATGTCGAGGAAACCCTGTTACCCTCTCTTTGTCCAGAATTGCTCAGTAACATTCCTGGGTCTGAAAAGTGTGCCATATTTGGACTTTTTTTGTTTGATATTACGATTCTCCTCTGTCGAACTACATTTTGATTTTGTCGCCTCACATTTCAGGCATAATGAAGGCATTAGTGGTGGTGCGGAGCGGAAAAAGAACCCAGCCGCGTCGGGAATACTAGGCGACACTACCTCGGCTTCAAACGGTGATCAAAGACCTTGATCCTTCCCTCGAACAAGAAGTAGGCCCAGCCGTCCGGGAATACCAGCGCGACACAACCTCGTGCGTGGCCGAAGAGGCCTTCAACCTACAAAATGAACTAGGCTCCCAGTTTGACTGTCACGCCCGTTCAAAGGGCCATTGAGAGTGCGATAGACCTGCAGCTTCACTCTAGTTCCGATGAAACATCATGAGACGATGCGCAATTTTTGATACCAAGCGGGGTCTGGGATCGACAACTCGACATTCTAATGAAGGGACCCATGTCACTTGATGTTACTATCGGCGGGTCACAGACCTGTGGTGTAGCCCTTAGAGGACTGTTGCGCAAACACGGGGGCATATTATCCGAGTGCTGGACTTCAGGGTTCGACTCATGACATGTCAACGTGGCGGATACAGCTGAAGTGCCAAGGATGCATGACATGAGGGGAAAGTGGATATGTGAGTGTCGATCAACGCCAAAGCCAAGTACATACCGTCGATATTCCTAGAATAAAGTACGGTCATGGCAAAAATGACAAACTTACCTAGCCTAGATCCTTCCATTCGGACTTCTCGTTGGATCTAATTTTAACGATATGCACGCCATAACACATCACACTGTATTGTGGCGCTTGTTTTTGAGTAAAATGGGTCTCATGTCGTCAGTTTTAGTATCGACTGTTTTCGCTCGGCCACGCTTCTCCCCAATCTGGACTTTGTCCTTGCCATAGCAAATGACCTACCAGATGCTCGACTCAGTTATCGTGGTTATAATCTCGATGACTCAATTGCAAGAAAGAACCCCTGGAGGTGAGGAGGACTGGGATTAGATGTAAGTCGAGCTTGTCCACTAGTTCTCTTCAAAAACGCCACAAAGACAGACATGCTGACCCGAAATGTCACTAAAAGCTTGGCAACGGCCCGGTCCGTTTCATCTCAAATTCCCAGGCTGACTGTGAAGCTCAGTAAAAGAAAAGCATAGGCATCTAGACCCTTTCCTACCTGTGCCGCTGTTGATCCAATACTTTGAATTTTCATTCCGTCCTATTGTGGTAATGATACGTTGTATCATGCAGGCTGACAGCACAATCATCTCTTGACCCCGCGTACCTCGGAGATTTCTATTTATTATTGTGCATGTGCCAATGATTAACAATATTGCTTGTTAATGAACACCCATCTATCAGTTTTCATATGTTGATCTATCGCAAACCCACCCGCTTTATCTTCACTTCAAATATCATGGCTACTCACTTTAATAAACAAACATGGACCAAAAGTACCTGTCACGCAAATTAGGTACGTCCACCGCATGTCTCGGATTTCCGAATGGAAAATCCGCTACAAACCCCCGCACATGTACAACATAGCGAAGCCCGGATACTCAATCCAATGAGCATTGAGCAATAAACTTTGACCAATGCAAGCCGGAACAATTGCAGACATACAAAGTACCAGACTCTACGCTTTCTCCTTATACATCTGATCGAGCACAGCGATACATATTCCCAAATTTTCGACATGCGAGCTCATCTTGCAACCTTACGCGAGACGAACTTATTCAAAATCGAGTCATCTTGTGCCAGAATGGAACTACAGCTTCGGGGTCAAGAGTTCAGTGAGCTGCGCGATAGCAAACTCACGGGTACTGCCTTTCAACACATTGGGTGAAAGTACTAAACGATCGCCCATCAGCAACTTTACCCCGCTAGGTGAGCGGGCTGAACAGGCTGTTGCCACGGCGCTGTATACTAGGTGCCGCAGAATTACACACACAGCTCACATATAAATATCAATAAAACCCGACTCGGTATTCTACCAATCTCAGGATATCTTGTTCACTGCAAGCCCAGTAGCTATGGTACTAATGCCTTTCGAGCTCTTGCATATTCCCCTCTACGGCCTTGTGGCTGGGGTTGTCGTGATTGCTTGGTCATTATCGAAGGCTGCACAAACCTTCCAAAGTATGTACATCTTCCTCGTTGACAGTGAACTAACCCTCAGACTAAATACTCATCCAGGATGGAAGTACGCTCGTGAGCACGGCTGCCAACCTCCACACTCTGTGTCCCACGGCTTGTTCGGTCTCGGCATGGCCATGGAACTAGCCAAATCCGGCCCGGAACATAGGTTCCTCGAGCTGATTCGCGGCTGGCATCGAAGTTACGGACCGACATTCAAGGCGAGAGTAGCTAATCGAAATATTATTTTCACCGTCGATCCAAAGAACATACAAACAGCGCTCGCGTTGAAATTCAAAGATTTTGGAGTTGGTTCGGCTCGACGAGGTGCATTCCGTCCACTCATGGGCAAAGGCATATTCGGCGTAGACGGTAGCGAGTGGGAACATGCACGGGCTCTCCTCAGGCCTAATTTCTCGCGCACTCGGATTAACGACACTGAATTATATGAGAGCCACGTTGCCGAGCTCATCGATCGGATCCCCCGCGACGGGTCGACCGTGGACCTGCTCCCACTGTTTCTCAACGGAGTACGTTGTCACGCTTGATATCCCCCAAAGTATACGACTGACCGGACGCAGACACTCGACACCGCTACCGAGTTTTTGTTCGGAGAGTCTGCCCACTCCCAGCGCGGAGAAGACTCTTCTGTAGGTGTCGAGTTTGCGAAAGCCTTCGGTGTAGCCCAGTACATAGCTGGCATACGCTTCCGACTTGGGTTTTTGGGGGTGTTCTACCGCAGGAAGGAATACATCAAATCCATCAAGGTTACCCGCGCCTATCTCGAGAGGTTTGTACAAAAGACCATCGAGTATCGTGTCGCAGTTAATAGCGGTCAAGATGTTGACCAGGATACCAAGCGGTTGACTGAAAGTCGATATGTGTTTTCCTACGAGCTGTCGAAGCAGACACTTGACAAGACCAACATAACAGACCAGCTATTCAGTATTATGTTTGCTGGTCGTGATACCACCGCCAATCTACTGGGCATTTTATTCTTCATCTTGGCTAGAGAGCCTGAGGTGTGGACCAGACTTCGAAAAGAGGTGCTCACTTTGGATGGACGAAAGCCATCATTCGAAGATCTGAAATCCATGACTTACCTGGGCTGGGTTCTGAACGAGAGTAAGCAGTTCTACTTCCAGCGCTAGCTATGCAGTCTGCTAAACTAGATCCAGCTCTGCGTCTATACCCAATCGCCCCCTTCAATATACGGGAGGCCAACAAAGACACCTATCTTCCCGTCGGCGGTGGCCCGGATGGAAAATCCCCTGTTCACGTATCCAAGGGCCAAGAGGTTATCTTTAGCGTATACACACTGCACCGCGACACCGAAGTCTTCGGACCCGATGTGGACGAATTCCGCCCAGAGAGATGGGAAAAGATCAGGCCCGGTTGGGCGTATCTTCCTTTCAATGGAGGTCCTCGGATCTGCATAGGCCAGCAGTTCGCGCTGACGGAAGCTGGATACACTATTACTAGGATTATGCAACGCTTTGAGACGATCGAAAATCGCGACCCTAATCCCTGGACGGAGGATTTGGGATTGACGTTGTCAAGTGCGAACGGAACAAAGGTTGCTCTGACACCTGTTCAGGATTGACCTAGTTATATTGTGGATATACATTCTTGGTCTTAGTATGATAACACTACGTTACTCCGGATATTTTTAGCTCGGATTGAACAGGATATTACTATATTATCGAAATCGCATGTCTGTGTGTTCTCTGACTCGTATATCAGGTGCTTCGGTGTCCACTTCTGTCGGTCTTTTTTCCGAATGGATTTTTGGATAAGACATACTAGTTGAAAAATGCAGGGTGCGGTGGTACAACCGGCCATGATTTCCATAACAAGAGGTTTAGCCAGGAAGTGTACATGGTGCTAAGGTGCCGAAGTGTCCGAGTTCCCCCGTCCACCTCTTATGTATGTACCCGCCTTACCCGCGTCAAGTTGCGAAGTGTTCCTCCCAACTATGATTGGTCAGTAATAAATTAGCTCCTGTTTAGACCTTCGCCAAGGAAATACCTCTTGAACATCATCGTCGTGGTTTGGTCCAAATTGTGGAGAATGAACTCTCTTTCCCAGCCATTAGGGTGGAAAGTATCCTCGCCAAGTGAAACATTTTTTATGACCCCCCACAACCAACTTACCATATGTAGCACTACCAATAATCAAGACAGATAGTGGATAATGTCTTTTCCTTTAGTGCTGCACACCGAGGATACCGCTCACACAGGCCCTTCCAGCTAAGTTTGGAGATCTCCATCTGCAAAATTATAATCGACGAAAATATCATAGACATAAACCATATAAGTAACACCTGATCAGGTTCCTGGTCTTTGGCAGAGAAGCACATGGCATATTAAAAAAGTCAGAAGCTAAGACGCTGAATGGGACTAAGACTAAATTAGATCCAACCGACACCATCCGAGGATTCGGAGTTCCAAGCTTTCGAAAGCTTGTACATGTAGCCAAGCTTTGGAAAGCACCTGGGCAGGGAAAGCAGATATGGTAATTAAAAATTATCAGATCATAAAAGTTATCTGATCCTGAAATTTATCAGATCGTTAGAATTATCTGATGAAATTTAATCTGATCAATCAATTTTAATCTGATCACGCCACTCGGGTGGAAACCTTGGAACCCAACTTCCAACCCTAATTGGATGGGATATTTACGGAGTACTCCATATGTTGGAGGAATGAACTACTATCTGAGACTTCCCTCGGAGTAATTTCCTGTCTATGGAGAACTACTGTAGTGGTTGCACACTACTTATATTAGGGGGACCCACGTGCAATGACCTACGCCACTCTCGCTTCTCTCGCTTACACGAACTCAAAAGGTCTCTCAAGTCTCCAAAATTTAATATATACCCATGAGATAACGAGGTTAAGAATCATATCTTTCTAATCATTCATTCTGGGTTATTGATCCCAGGTTTCTCTAACCGTCATGGATACGGAGAATATAACCCCCGTCAAAGGGGCCACGGAGCGCCCGGAGTCGTTGGACAAGTTCTCAGAAACACCAGAGCTACAGCAAGATGGTGTCCAAATCGCCGACGCAGTCACAACCACATGGACTCGCAAACATTTGATTGTTGCTTATGCTAGGTGAGCAACCTTGGGAGAAGAACTTGTTCTCAATGGCTCAGGTCTAATGCGAGCACAGTATGTGGCTGGTGTATTTCGTCAACAATCTCAACAGCAGTCTCACCCTAAATCTGTCGGCTTATATTACGAGTGGCTTTTCGGAGCACTCGCTGTTGACCGTGATTTCAGTTGTTACTAGCGTCATGGGTGCTGCGTGTTTGATGCCCGTCGCCAAAGTCCTGAATCTTTTTGATCGAACTGTCGGATTCGTGATCATGCTTTCCATTGCAATTATGGGTTTGATTATGATGGCTGCTTGTAACAACATTACCACATACTGTGCTGCACAGGTGTGTTTCTATCCCCCCCCCAATGTCCTCGACAGCCCTAGGTCAAAATCGCTAATTGATTAACAGGCATTTTATACTGTTGGATTTTCCGGCGCCATTTTCTGTATCGACGTGATAACCTCAGACACCTCGTCGCTTCGTGATCGAGGTCTTGCCTATGCTCTCACCTCGTCTCCTAGTATGATCACTGCCTTTGCGGGCTCGCCTTTATCGAACCAATTCCACGAAACCAACTGGCGATGGGCGTACGGCACAATTTGCATCATTCTCCCTATCGCTGCGGCACCCTTGATTGTGACCTGGGAATTGGCCAAGAAAAAGGCCGGCAAGAACGGTCAATTACAATACAAGGAGAGGACAACACGAACCTTGGGAGAAACCATTCGGTACTACGTCCTGGAATTTGATGGTCAGTAAAGCCCTCAAATCGATTTCTTACGCGTTTTTCTCACACCTGTCCCCAACGCACAGTCATCGGAATCTTCCTAATGATCGCCGGCACGATTCTTTTCCTGACATCTTTCAATATCGCCGGCAACACTGAAGGCCAATGGCAATCGCCCAAAATCATTGCTATGATGGTTGTTGGATTCTGTGTTCTCGTGGCATTCGTCGGTTACGAGCGATGGCTGGCCCCGAAGCCCTTCATTCCATTCCATCTGATCCGCGACCGCACTGTCATTGGCGCATGTCTCCTGGATATCACCTACCAGGTCTCTTATTACTGCTGGGCCAGTTATTTCACCTCCTACCTCCAAGTCGTCTACAACACAAGTCTGACGCAGGCCGGTTACATCAGCGCCATCTTCGATTTCATGGACCCGGTTTGGCTTATTGGCTGTGGCTTCCTCATCAGAGCAACTGGTCGCTTCAAGTGGCTTCTCTGCGCCGCCGTGCCTCTCTACCTCCTGGCAAGCGGTCTGATGATCTACTTCCGCCAACCCGGTCACAACGTTGGATATATGTGCATGTGCCAGATCTTCCTCGCAGTAGGTGGTGGAACATTCATTCTGATCGAGCAGGTTGCTGTTCTTGCTGCGGCCGCCCATGAAGACTACGCCGCCATGTTGGCACTTCTCAGCACGTTTGGATACATTGGTGGCGCCGTTGGTAGCAGTGTTTCTGGTGCTATCTGGACAAACACGCTCCCCGCCAAGCTGCGCGCAAACCTGCCAATCGAATTGAAGGACCAGTGGGAGGAGATTTACGAGTCGTTGGACGTCCAGCTTAGTTATGCGGTTGGTTCGCCTGCTCGCATTGCTATCCAGAATGCCTATGCATTCAGTCAGCGAAACATGATGATTGCCGGTACCGCGGTAATGGGACTGTCCATTGTCTGGGTGCTCATGATGAGAAACATCAAGGTTGAGTCCGCCAAGGATCTTTCCAAGGTGCTTTTCTAGTGGGTCAATAGAAAGGTACTTTGGAGGGGATAGGTGGACTGGTTGAGAACAGAGACACCTCTTCTCAACCTGGTGACCAAGCCACAATGGTTCAAAGTTGTTTCGTCGCAGGACTGAGACCGTTATGCAAAGAGAAGATGGAATCATATATACAAGGAGTGAAGTGTTGCAAGGTCAATTTACTGTTGACTGAATTAAAATAATAATATATCAGCTTAGAGCAGTGGTACAGCGGAGCAAGCAACCTTGGACATACTTCATGGTGTTTTTAACACCCCAAACGTAGACGTGGTGTTAGGGCTCGAGTGACAAATGATATCTCGTACAGTAGAAATAACCGCTAATGGAAGGAATTCTAGTCACCAACAACCCCCTATGTTGTACGCCTCTCTAGGAATAGTGACAGGATTATACGATGTGGAATTCATAATATGGCTTTCCAACGTTACCCCAGGACACTGCTCCTTCCTCCATTGATCTCTCTTGCCCTTTTCTCTCCCTATCCAGCAGCCTCGCTCATTCCACAGTTTTCCACAGCTTTTCTTCCCTTTTACCTCCCCCATTGTAGCTTGTTCGCAATGCTGGGTAATGTTTTTCATTTTTCAGCCCAAATTATGTGGCTGAATCTCCAAATGCAGACTTGGTCGGGTCATTTGTCATTTTCTCCCCAGAGGCCTGCACAACAAGTTCCATAAGTCCTGTTACTACGCAATGTTGGGCCGTTTACCTCGATTCTTCATTTCTACATATGTATACTTTATACTTACAAAGATGAAATTACTGCTCTTCTTTAAAGCGGTATATAATTTAATTACATGCATCCGGATGATTGAGGGGCATAGGTCAGAAAGGATTCTGGTCAAAGCTTCGATGCTCTGCTCTGCAGTGGAGATTCACAATGTCAAGGGAGTAGATGCATTGGAACCCAGTACAACATAGTATGTTAATATTCCGGCATGGCCTGCTAATCACTCTCATACCCAAGCTCCTCCAACGACCACAGCAGATGATCGTCGTTATCTGGGTCATGAACTACCTCGGCATTTGGAATCAATTCATCGATTCCCTTGAGCTCTTTCAGTTGGGATGACCCAGACTTGTAAAACGTAATCAACGCGTCCATCTGCTGATCGTGCTCCTCGCTCTCACCCTTCTGATATCCCCGAACACATAAGTACTCTAGCCCATTTGGTAGACAGGCTACCAGATCTAACGTTTCCCTCTTCTTGTAGGATTCCCCGCTAACGCCAGCGGCAAAGTATAACAGAAAGTGTATCCCCAAGCTCAACCGTTTCAAGGCCATAAATTCTTTCAGTGACCCACCGTATTTCCATATCAATTGGTAAAATGTACATGTTTCGTCGCTGATGTCTGATTCAAAGGGGCTTCCATATTGATTGAATTGGTAGTCTCTCTCTTCCTCGTCAACAATTTCGAATGTATGAATTTCATTTTCCGTGTTGATATCGAGAATTTCCAGTGTTTTCTTGTGTGCGCAAAGCACTTTGATGAATGCTTCTGGGTTGAACATAGGAAAACTCCCATCATTGCTCCCTCTACCTCCGATAGAATACTGGAACTCCTTGAGAAACTTGCATGACCATATCAGATTCGCAAGGTAGAGAGAATCAACCGACGAATGGTGGATAGAGATCTTGCTGATATTGGAACATCTCTCTTTAAATTCGAGCCTTTTGTTGGGATCCTGCTTCATTATATCAACGCGGGCAGATTCAATTGACGGGAGATTGTCAAATAGCCTCAAGCAGCCAGAAAAGTCCATTGGGAGATAGAAACGACCATCCGACCAGGTACTATCGTTTTTATTAATCACATAAACACTGCGGAGGTGGCAAAGATATGGCTTGTTTTCGGGGCTGGCGTTAGCCCTGCGAAGGAGCTGCGCGAGCGGGAAGTCGATTGTGTGGTTGAAACTCAGGCCAGAGGGATGTGTTAAGGCCATCGACACAACATTTGGCGATACCACAATCAGAATCGCCGTCAATGCTTGGGTGATGAATGTCCCGAGGCATTCGCGGTGTCTATCCACGCTGTCAGATAGTTGCTCGGAGGCAATACCAAATGAGACTCTCACCGATAGCCGTCATACGTTGCCGTTTTTTCCATCCTCTGCATGAGCATATTGAAAACTCGATCCACTTGGAGTCCTGTGAAACCACCCTTTTTGACTGCTTCTTGCACGAGATCTATCTCCTCATTGCTCAAATTGCGCTGGGATTTGACTTGCTTGTAGTCCATATGACTGGATGTTGCTGTGCAACATTCGACATGACGCACGTAATTACCCAAACTAGGTCGTTTGAGGATGTCCATAAGCAAGGCGAATGGCTTGTCGATATCTTCTTCCCCTGGGGAGACACTGATTCGGTGATACTTCTTGCGCGTTGCCATATCGCACAGAAAGTGGAGAGTTCGACATTGTACTGATAGAGCGGCCACGTCACGGTTCGAAAGAAGGCATGAGATGACCCTTTGATGAATCTCGAGAGGCAAACTGAGAAATGACATGATTTCGGCTCGTACACTGCCAATGTGGAAGGGGAGGTTTATTTAAACTACGCTCTTTCTCCCCCGAAAAGGACTAGCCTAGGCATCCATACTGTTGCCTGAAACTAGGTCCTGATATTTTGAGGTTTTTAGTTGGCTACATCTGAGAAACCCACGCCACTGTAATTTTGATAAAAGTTCACATGGGGATTGCCAAATAGGTGGACTGAAACGCTAAAGCGCGTTGACTTGTGCCTAGCATGAGCTATTGCTATGTATTTTTCACGGTTTGCGAGGTAGGCCAATTGCTTTTCACTTTTCCGACTAGAGAAGGAAGAAGATATAAGAAGAAGTATAACAAAAAACAAGATATCATGTCGTGATAGACCCAAAATCAGTAGTTGACCCCGCAGAATGTTTCCACGGAGTCACTTTCCTATCCTGGTGCGCGGGGATGTATATTAAACTCCGTGCCTTCTGCCCGTCTAATTTCTCTTGCCTGTCCGTTTTGAACCATTTCTAACAATCTCGATTTCAAAAGAGATGGCCCAGATATTCCTGTAAGTGAATTTCCGTTTCGTGATAGAGCGTGACTCATGTTTTGCTAACTCGTGGCTCAAACTCCAGTACCGGTGCCACGGGCTACATAGGAGGCGAAGTCCTCCACACTTTACAGCATGTGCATCCCGAGTATGAGGTTGCCGCCTTGATCAGAGATAGTGAAAAGGGGGGCAAGGTTTTGGCTGCATACCCTAAAGTCCGAGTGGTCCTTGCGGATTTGGATGATGTTGAAACCATTGAGAAAGAATCGCGCAAAGCCAACATCGTTATCCGTGAGTCAATTTACATCTGATAGTATAATCTATTTCTGACATTTATTCATTTAGATACTGCTAGTAACAAGCATATCAAAAGCGTGGAAGCGATCGGAAGGGGCCTGGCGGGACGTCAGAATGGTACGCCATCTACTACTACAATATCTCCTTTCGGGTTTGATCGCTTATTGACGTAAAACTTCAGCCTATTACATTCAAGTTACCGGAGCTAGCGTTCTGGCAGGTCCCGAGGTTGATAAAAACTTATATGGCGAGCCCTCAGATCAAATCATTGATGACTTGGATAACGCTGCTGATCTCCGGGACATAATTCGGGCGTACAAAGATCGTCGAGTGGTGGACAACTACATTCTCGATCTGGGTTCAGGTGGCCCCAAAACTGCGATCATCTTCCCTCCTATCATATTTGGCGCCGGTAAAGGTCCCGTGAATCAACGCAGCATCCAGGTTCCCTCCTTGGCCCGGGCCGCTCTGCTGCAACGTGTTGGTCTATATCTTGGCAGGGGACTGAGTCGATGGGGCATTGTTCATGTCTCTGAATTGGCTGATCTCTTTGTCAAATTGGCGGAGCATGCTGTCAACGCATCCTCCGGTCCTATCTGGAATGAAAATGGCCTTTTCTTTGCCGAAAAAGGCTTCGAGGTTGGTTAACGACTTCAAATGTCGCAATTTATCCCTACTAACTTTATTTCTATCAGAGCTTCAAAGATATCGCTTTAATGATCGCCAAAGAGGCCCATGGCCTCGGCTACATTGATTCGCCGGATTCAGTGAAATCCATGAATCTCGATGAGGCCAACGTAGTGATACCCCATGGAAGTGTGTTTCTGGGTACCAATGGTCAAGGTCAAGCTTCAAGAGCAAGAAAGTTATTGGGATGGGAACCAAATGGGGAGAGCTTCCACGACACCGTGCGGGAGACAATCATTGCTGAAGCAGCACAGCTGTGATCACTTGCAAGGAGCATTCATTGTAAGCAACTATGCGATCTGCAACTCATATTGTTCAACCTAAGTATTACTTATCCCGTTCATCTTGTTTCGTTTATTTCACATTTCTTTTGGTAGAATCCAGTGGTTCCTAGTGGTCATAGTGTAATCTTAGGGCTTCTGTGCCCACGGCCAAAAAAGGATCGGATCAATTGAAAGCAAGCAGAAGCCACGACTGCGCTAAAAGCCACCATAAACCTCTCCATCCACACTGCACGTTTAGCTATCTTTCTCAAGAAGAAATTGATATTTTAAAGAAATGGTCCTCTAATTATCAACAGTGAACAAGATTCAAATAAAACAGTCTTAGTCAGCGTACCGCCCCGCCGCCTGTCTGACCGCCTCCAAATTTGCCGGACTTTTACTTTTTTTCCTTTACGATTTTTATCACCGCCAAACAGCCCTCTTTCTCATCCCAATATATTGCTTTCTTTGACTCTTCTCCACCTCGTCGTCCTCAATCATCATGGCGACTCTGGCGGAGAAGCTTGAGAAGATCAAGTCTCCCAAGCTGCAGAACCAGCATCACGTAAGTTTTCCTACAACATACCCAATCCATTGACACTAATATATTGATCCACGAACAGACCGCTGTGGTGCTCTCTGCAGTTGAGGATACTCTCCGTGATCAAAAGGCAGACTTCTCACCTACCGCATATTTTGCCGCTCTCCTGGCATTGCTCTCGCAGTCGCTTTCCGCATCCCAGGGCATTGTTAACAAGGACCTAGCGACATCCGTTGTCTACCTTCTCGACATCACAACCGTTTACGTCCCCGCCCCAATCCTTTGCTCCAAATTTTCCCAGATCCTCGAAGGTCTTGCACCCGCTCTCTCTCTCCCCGAGGTCGAAGCCCCGCTCCTGCGTCCTTCGATTGGCTGTCTTGAGTCTCTGCTCATTGCCCAAGATGCTGCATCATGGAATCTCCCCCACACCCAGGTCGGCCCGCGACGCGCAATGGCAGGTCTGCTGAGTCTCTCGGTTGATCACCGTCCCAAGGTGCGGAAGCGTGCCCAGGAGGCTCTTGTCAAGGTTCTCAAGGCGCCCCCGCCCAGCCCATCTCTGGACCACCCAGGTGCGGATATGTGCGCTCAGTCTGCGATGAAGACTCTGGGTGATAGCATCACAGCTGCTCACAAGCAAAAGAAGGGTCGTCATGATGCTCAGGCCAACAACCACGAGCCCCTTATCATTCACTCGTTGCAGCTGATCAAGACCATTGCCTCGGCGTCTGGTGGCTGGCCCAGCAAGAAGATCGAGCCGCTCAGCGAACTTCTGATGAACGCCTCCCGGTCTAGCAACGAGTACATCACCATGGGTGCCTTCGAGGTATTTGAGGTCATTTTCGAGGGAATGGCCGATGAGTTCTCATCTTCGAAGCTTCCCCGTCTTTTGGATGCTATCTCTGAACTCAAGCCTGCGCAGAATGACTCCCAGCTTCTCCCACCTTGGATTGCAGTGCTCTCTCGCGGTTACGATGTTGCCGCGCAAATCACTCCCGAAGATACTTTCGAGAAGTTGCCGGATCTGTTCACCCTGATTTCTGGATTCATGGCTTCCCCTTCCAGCAACATCCGCGTTTCCGCATCCGAGTGTCTGATCTCATTCCTACACAACTGTATCCCCAATAGTGTTATTGTGGAGCCATCTGTGTATGATGAGAAGACCTTGGAGAAGTTGTCTCGTGCAGCCGTTGACCTTCTGTCGGTGAAGTATCAGGCTGCTTGGAAGGAGGTGTTCAATGTTTGCTCCGCCCTGTTCGATTGCTTCAAGTGGCGATCGAGCCCTTATCTTGTCAAGATTGTCTCTACAATCGGTGAACTGCGCAGCAATGGCGGTTTCCACGGCAAGAAGGAAGCCGATGCTGTTCTTGGCAGTGCCATCGAGGCAATGGGCCCCGAGGCAGTATTGGAGATTCTCCCCCTCAACATTATCGACCAGAAGGCTGGTCAACCCGGCCGTGTCTGGATGCTGCCCATTATGCGCGACAGCGTGACTAACACGAACCTCCGCCACTTCCGTACCGAACTCGTTCCCCTGAGTGAGGCACTGTACCAGAAGGTGGTCAACTTCGGTGCCGCTGAGAAGTCTGTGGAAGTGAAGATCTTCGAAACTCTCGTCCAACAGACCTGGGGTACCCTCCCCGGCTACTGCGAGCTGCCGCTTGATCTTGAGGAGGCATTTGATCAGACATTCGCCGAGCTTCTGTCTAATGTTCTGTACAAGCAGACTGAGCTGCGTGTCGATGTCTGCCGTGCTTTGCAGAACCTGGTTGAGTCCAACCAGGCTATCTTGTCAGTCGAAAACGATGAGGACGATCTGATCTTGCAACGACGTATCACCAAGGTCGCTGCACAGAAGAACCTCGTTCATCTTGGCAGTCTCGCGAGCAATCTGCTGGCTGTGTTGTTCAACGTTTACAGTCAAACCCTTCCCCACTACCGCGGCTACATTCTGCAGTGTATCAATGCCTACTTGAGCATTACCCCTGAAAATGTAAGTTTTCCCCTCTTCGGTTTTCTATACAAATTAGGACGAACTAACATCCTTCATAGGAGCTTAACGAGACCTTCAACCGCGTTACTTCAATGCTTGAGTCTTCTTTGGTTACCGAGCAAGAGACAGCAACCAAGCAGAGTGCTCAGGCTCAAAACCCGTCCGACAAGATGCCACCGACCTCCCACACCTTGATTGACCTTGTCATCGCTATGTCAATCTACCTCCCTCGCTCCAGCTTCAGTGGCTTGTTTGCCATGGCAGCAGCTATCCTCAACAGCTCATCCCCCAACCCGGATCAGCAACTCATCAAGAAGGCCTACAAGTTGATTCCCCGCCTTGGAACAACTGAAACTGGCCGCGCCGCCCTGCAGGAGCGTAGTGGAGAGTTGCAGACTCTCATGCTAGCCACCACAGATACCACCCCTGCGTCTGGCCGCCGCGACCGTATGCTTGCTATCACCGAGATGATCAACCACCTGCCCACCTCGGATCTGCACTTCATCCCGGCAATCATGTCCGAAGTGGTTCTGGGCTGCAAGGAGAGTAACGAGAAGGCACGCACAGCGGCCTTTGACCTGCTGATTCTCTTGGCCAAGCGCACAACTGATTCGGAGCGTAACCCTCCCGGCACTGTCATCCGCAGATCGCTTGTTCCAGGTGTGGCGGACGATTCTCCCGATGCCCCCGCTACCCTTGAGGAGTTCTTCACAATGGTCTCAGCCGGTCTGGCTGGCTCAGCTCCTCACATGGTGGGCGCCACCGTTACCGCGCTTTCGCGTCTGTTCTTCGACTTCCAGACACAACTTCAGCCTGAGATGCTCAAGGAACTCGTTGAGACCGTTGAGCTCTTCCTTACTTCCAACAACCGTGAGATCGTCCGCTCTGTCCTTGGCTTCGTCAAGGTTGCAGTCGTCGTTCTCCCCGACGAGACACTGCGCCCCCGTCTCAACACCATGGTTCCCAGCCTCATGGCCTGGAACAAGGAGCACAAGGGCCGTCTCCGTAGCAAGGTGAAGGGTATCATCGACCGACTTGTGCGCCGCTTCGGTGCTCCCCTCCTTGAGGCTATCGTCGGCGAGGAAGACCGCAAGCTTATCGTCAATATCCGCAAAGCCCGTGAGCGCAGCAAGCGCAAGAAGAAGGAGGGTGCCGAAGGCGAAGGCGAAGACGAAGACGAAGAGGAGAAGGCCTCCAAGCCTCAATCCGGCAACGCCTTCGACAAGGCCGTGTACGGCTCTGACTCCGAGGACTCGGACAACTCGGACGACGGCGACAGCGATGTTGACGTCGACGACGTCGCTCAAATCAAGGGCCGCAACTCCAAGAAAAAGGCAGGCCAGAGCACCCAGTACATTCGCGAGATGTCCCCCGAAGATAACCCCCCTGGATCTGCTCGGCTCCAACGCCCTCGCTAGCATCTCCACCACCAAGCCCAGCCAGCGCTTCCTCAACACAGGCCCCGGCTCGAAGAAGAAGCAGCGCGCCGCTAAGGTCGACGCTGACGGTCGTCTTGTCCTCGGCGATGATGGCGATGTCGTCGCCGATGACGTCGAGATGTCCGGTGCTGGTGACGGCGGCGTTAACGCCTACCTCGCTGCTGTTAGTGGACCCGACGCTGTCCGTCGTGGCCAGCGAGGCAAGGTTAAGATGGGCCAGTCGTCTAAGAAGAATGCTGGCGACAGCATGGATGTCGATGAAGACGACTTGAAGCAGGACCTGCGCGCTTCTGGATCCGGTCAGAGCTCTGGTCGTCGTGGCCTTGGTGCTCCCAAGACTTCCGGTGCTCCTGGCGGTGGTCGCATTGAGAAGCGTCGCAATCCAGGCAATGCTCCTCGGGGTGGTAACCGCTCGGGATGGGGCAAGAAGAGATAAACTGTTTACTTGATAGTATATCGTATCTCTTTCTTTTTTTCTGGCCTTGTCTGTTGGACTTGGGTACTGTAGGTGGAGAGAAGGAGGGTGGCATCTAGCAGATCCCGGAGTTATCGTTCTGAGTTCCCTGTTTTTCTGAGTTCTTGTTTCTTTTGTTTCTGCCATCTCGTCTTCGGTCCCTATCGTGTTTGGTTAGTGTTGACGTTCTCATAATACCCTCCGCTGTGGTGATTCCGTTGACTTTGGGCTTTTTTCTGTTTCGATGCAGAGTTATTCGACTCCGTGTTTTTTTCATGATATGATTACGATTCTGTTCAAAAGTTTCTCTTAGGTCAATGGACATAGATATTGTTTTATTCTGATCGGTGTAAGATGTATGTACATATAGCCTACAGGCTGTGTATATCCTAGATGAGCAGTATCTTATATTTGACAACACTACCTAGTCTCGCAACATTGCATTTCTACATATCCAATAGGCGAATTATCCGACATCCCATTGCGCTGATGGAAGTCTACTAGTCAAGCATACTTCAACTACACCCAAAACCCCAAATGCAGTGTGATTTTTATCATATTCTCATTTGCAAAGCAGTTTATCATGCAAAAAAAAAAGTGTATCGAACATATCAATCAGAACATCATGAACGCGAGCCAACCAACCAGGCAGCTCAGCAGCATTTCCCACAGCCCCCCATCGCTCGCCCAGAAAAGTAGATGTAGAGCGCGATGCAAAAAAAGAGACAAATAACGAAAAAGCTCACGGACTCTAGACCAAAACCAGACGGCATAGCATCCATCAAAAGGCCATAGCGTCGCCAGCTTCTTTCTCGTCACAGTATACAGCAGGACAGTAAGTAGTAGCCCACCGGTCGAGCATTCGAATGATTCGAAACCAGCCAAAACTCCATCGCCGATGCAATTCCCAACAAATCACAATCCGCCACGGCGCAGAAATCGAACTCCGTCGCTCATCGCTCATCGCTCATCGGGGGGGTTATCGACCGGTTCGTATGTATACTGACGCCCCTTTCGTTCCTTTTCTTTTTCAACGCTCAGTCTTCAAATGCAGGTATCAAATATCAAATATCAAATACCAAATACCAAATACCAGATCCCGGGAAATAGAGCAAGCGATAAGTCGACAGAAGCATACAGACCAGACAGGATAAATAATATGGTCTAGCACGCAACTGACCCCAACAGATACAGACCAGACAACACAACAAGCAGGTGAGATGATGATAATAATTAGAACAGGATCTCCCCGCTGTGTTCTGGCTCGAAGCCGAGCGCTTGCAACTCATCATAACGCTTCTTATCGCCGGTTTTTCGCTTCGCGTCCTCCTTCTTCTTCAGCTCGAAGACTTCTTCGAACGGCGCTCGCGTCAGCGTGGGTGGGATATCGTCTTCGCGGTCAAGGTCCTATGTATGAAATGTGTTAGCGGGGTTCTCTCCCATTACCGGGTGTACAATATTGTTGGGTTTTGCATAGGAACAAACCCCGTAGATTGCAGTAGGGAATGGATTGAGGGAATTGAGAACTGTGGATGGATGGATGGAAGGAAGGAATCGGTCATACCACTTCGCCTAGCAGGAGGACATTCTCTCCACGAACGATGAAGATCCCGCGCGAGACATCGGCGAACAACTGTCCGGCATAGACGCGCTCTACGGTATCTTGGAAAACAAGATTTGCTGCGAGGATTGAAGGTCAGATAAAAGGACGAGAGGGAACTGGGGTGCGACTGGGCGTACCGAACTGGTCCCAGCTTCGGAGGACGCCGATGAGTTTGCGGCCGTCGCGGAGGATGAGGACGAGTTTCTCTGCGATTGTATCAGCTATGTTCGTTCTCTTGCGCTCTCGTTCTCTTCTTGCTGTTGAGTTGCTTTGAGCGCGGCTGCGTGCACTTACTATCTGTTAGATCGAGCAGCTGTGCGGCGGTCGTGAACATTTGCGGGGGCAATTGCGGTGGGCCGCCTGTTGGCTGGGGGCCTGCTGGGCCGAGGGCATTCTGGGAGAATTGTTGGTTTTGCTGCGGGGTTCGAGGGGCCGGGGCAGGGCTTTCGTTTAGAGATAGGCGCTCCATGGTGTGATGGCTGTAGGTTGTTGGATTGGCGGAGAGAAAATCGGAAAGCGGTGGGGAGGGGTAGGGGGTGGTGGGCGGGAAGACGATGTTGTAGAGAGATTCAAGACTTTGATGTGGAGGTTCTCATTCTGTTTCTTTCGATCATCGCGATGGAGGATCGAGGTCGCAAAGGCCGTCATCAAGGGCGGTGAGTTTGTCTTGTTTGCTTGGGGTCGATCTATATACATTTGGTTTTTGATATTCTTCTTTCAGAGACACAGATACTCTATGGAAGGAAAAAAATACACTTGTTCTCTAAAGGTCTCAAGAAAAGTACATGCTATACAGAAGCGAAAGGGGGAATATCCAGAAACCAAAAAAAAAAGAAAAAAAAGCCCAAAGCCAACAGGAAGCGTCTATATCTACAAAACCCCGACACCCCTCTGTTGTCCCCTCATCCTCTCCTCCCGACGCTTACTATACGGCGCACAGTATGGCTCATCAGCAGAGCCAATACTAGCCCTGACACCATCCTGCGAGCGATGATAAGCCGGGCTAGACGGCGCAGGCGGCAACTGCATAGCCTTAAACTGCGCATCCGTGATAACCCGCATTCCATAAAGATACCGCATCAGCTCGAAATCCGGCCGACTCCCCGCAAGTGTTTGACCAAGACAGTAGTGGTCGGCAGCGACGTGATCGAGCATACGATCCCATGCAGAGGGGAAATCCCTCAGCGGAGCTCGAACAGGGTCGTCAATCGAGCAGACCGACTCGCCGTCCTCGATAACAGGCGATGACACTGGGTCCAAGATACCGTCGACAAACTTTGTATTGGGACACAGCGGACACCGCGCTGATGGCGGGGTCGGGTGCGAGCGAAAGTGGCTGAAGACGTGGGTGCGCCATTCTGCGTCGTCGTCGAAGGACTCGTGACAGTCCAGCATGTGGAAGAGACATGCGTATTTGCGTTGATCGGTGCTGGCTGTTAGCGATATGGGTATTGATGGCGTCGCGGATGATATAGAAGCTGCTGCGGTTGTGCCCCACGACGAGATCGAGGCGCGCGAGAGAGCGGGCTCTTGGACGGTATCGGTGGTGATTAACGGTGGTGCCATGTCACCAAGAACGTGGATCCCATCGGTGCTGTTGTCTCCATGTGCGGCTTCCACGCCGGTGCCAGGCCTGGTATCCACTGATGATATTGACGGCGACGGCGATGCGCTGGACAAATCTGGCATGGTGGGCGAAGACGACATGGCGGTTATGACGACGCCCGGTTGCTTCTTCTTGTTGGGTTGCTTTTGCGACAGCGCGGGGTTCCTACTTGAAGCCGTGCTGTTGCTGGCGGTGGAACTCACGCTCATGCTGACACTGCGAGCAGAAGACGATCGACGATGGTCTCGATCTCTATGGCGGTCTCTATTCGAGCGTGAAACGAGAGGCGGATCGAAGTCGCCTCGACGAGGGTCATCGGGGCTTGTGGGCTTGCGCTCCGACATGCTCCGTAATGCAAAAGATGGGTACGGCTGGATCGCGTCAGAGTCGGAGTTACCTGACGGGGGCTTACATAGCAATAGTAGTAGCACCTGGTAGAGGTATAGATATCGGGAAAAAGGAAAAGAGGGAAGTAATACAGATGAGGGGAACGGGATAGAGCGGGAAATACATACACCCCAGCGATCCGATATCAGATCAACACAACACCGTCAGATCTGCACTTTTTTGTCAGCATGCATGACATCTACAGGCCGTTTTTGTGCATACGGATGTAGGTAATGGCCATATAGAAAGGGTTGAAGTGGGAGGTACTAAGGATTGGGATGTTTTTTTTTTTTTTTTTCCAATTCCTTTAAATCTTAGGGCGGGGCATTGGGCTAGTTGGGTTATATAAGGGACTGATATGGATTTATACTGTACCTTATACAGAATTATATACGTATATACTTATATATATATTTTCTTTTACTTCTTCTCTTTGTTGAGGATGCATGGTCTGGGATACAATGCATAGACACGGTTATCTGCAGGTTATATTTTATGTATATATATTTATATTTATATATTTTCGTTAGATAGGATAGTATTCGTCATTTGTGGATATTAGTGAAGAATTGTATATTAAAAGCATGTTCGTAGTCTGTACTTGGTGGAGTAAATTTTAATTAAAACCAAACATCGAGAAATCTCCATTTGTGGAGTAAAACATATAAATACGTCAGTAATAGTAGATTCTTCACACATACAACATAAGCTACAGGGTTGTGAACGGGTTCTAGACAAAGTGCTTTCACTTAACATGTGAATGTATCCTTTTGTTGGGAGATCCTATTCTTGGATGGGAGAGTTGCAACACTGTTTCAGATTCGATACTTCAAAGACATATTAGACATATACGAGGATCAAAGGCTATGTATAGTACGGGAAGTACACGTAACTATGTTATAGATGCACCCAGTCAACTATACTGTCAAATATGTATACAGATTGCGGGGGATATCACATGCAAATCAAGCTAAGATCTTCAATATAGAAAAAAAGATGAGTGAAAATTTCTGGATTTTGCTCACTATGTGAGGAATTAAGTAAGAGAAGAGAAGTAAAGGAACAGGGATCAGAAGTGAATGAGACCACAGGCCTCAAGAGAGGAGAATGACATAAAAAAAAGTAGAAGCAGGTCTTTCGACACGGAATTTTTAAACTCGAAAAAAATGAAAAATCTCCAGAGAGGAGTGAACAGCAAAAGGTTTTTTAAAAAAAAAAAAAAAAGATCCCAATCCGTCTATTTGGTGGAAGCGCCAGAGATAAGAAAAATCAAAACCAATCCGACACCGTTGATGCCCGCAAGCCATAGTAAAAATGCACAAGTCTATATCGTTTCGTGGCGCGCATAACATAAGTTTTCAAGGCATAAAGAGGTTGCAAAGAAAGAAAGCTAGAACCTCTCTGCCAAGTCCCCACCAGCAACGGAATTGTTGGCTGACGAGTTCATGGAAGAGAATCCGGCCGCGGGGTTGAGCATGTCCTGCACCGCAACCTTGGGAATCTGGGGTACGGGCAACTTGCGCTGCGTGCCGTCGGGTTTAGACATGATGTCGGAAATGGTTGGGCCCATGTGACCCTGGTTCGGGCTGTAATAATTGGGACCTTCTGGTTGCGGCTCCATAGGCGCCAGCGCAGGAGTGTGCTGGAGGGACAGGTGGCGAATTGAAGGCAGATGCAACTCGCTGGCACCGAGAGGGCGCAGGCGGGGTGAGTGTGCAGGGGTGGCCAACGGGGTGTGGTCGGGGGTAGGGGACAGAGAATCATGAGAGAAAGTAGGAGAAGAAGGAGCAGTGGAGTTGGGGGAGTTGGGACGAGAGCGCTTGATACGATGGCCATAGCCATCATCGTCATCGTTGGAATGAGAACGGGTCATGTTCTGCGAAATCGCATAGGCGGAGAGCGAAGGGAGGCCTCGGCTAGTACCGTGATGACGGGAGCCAAAAATTTGGTGGCCTCGCGAGCCGTGGAAGCCCATGTGATCATCACGCTCTACTTGCGACGCAGCGGTAGCCAGAAGGTTGATATCCATCCCAGAGGAAGCGCGCTCAGTGGTACGAGAGTAAGGACCCAAATTCGAGCGCATGTGATTGGCGTAGTTGGAGAATGAGTGAGGCGGCGAAACATCCGGAGATCCAACCTGCGAGACTGGGGCGGAGCGAGTGATGGGCTTGCTGGGAGGTGGCATCATGTTGGTAGCGTTGACCATACCAGTGTCCTGGCCTGCAGCGGCCGCGGCCGCTGCCAGGTGCTGGGCCTTATTACTGCGACGCGAGTTGGGATTATTATGGATGCGCGAGTGGCGAGTTAGTTCGTCTGATCGACTGAAGCGCTTCGTGCAACCAGGGAATTGGCAGGCGTGTGGCTTCTCGCCAGTGTGGGTGCGGATGTGTCTCGTCTGGTGTTCCAGGCGGTGGAAGGCACGGTCGCAAAGGGGACACTTGTACGGCCGGGGCAGATCCTGACGGACCTCCTCGGTCGCGGGGCGCGCACCCTTCATGAGAGGCGGTAACAAGCTAACTGAAGAAGTCATTGAAGAATCTCCTGGAGTCGAGGGTGTCGAGTCGGGTGAGGTATCGTGGGGATTGAGTAGGTTTGAAAATCCCACTGAAGAAGCCGGCGGTGGCATGTGAATTCCCTGGGGTGGAGTTATGAAGGTTCTGAAGAGAGGACCGAGGACGGTTTTTATCGCAGGGGTCCCGAGCTAACGTCGATCAAACACCCGGATTGGGATGAAAGGTCGATCGGGATCGGAGTGATGCGCAGAGAATGCTGATGGTTCGCTGTGTTGTAAAAACAAGTAGTCGAGTAGGGTTTGTGGGGGAGGAATAAAGCAAGAGAGAAAGAAGGAAAAAAAAGGAACCTGGAGACGACGATCTGGGGAGTCACAAATAATATAGGGAATGGAGGGGGAAGGAAGAAATCGGGGGAGAAGGGGCAGTGTCGGAATCGGACTTGGAGAAAAGAAAATTCTGAAAAATTCAAGTTTAAAAAGCAAAAAAAAAAAAATTGAAAATTGAAAAAGAAAATTGTAAATAAAAAATTGAAATTGAAATAAAAAATTGCAAAGATTCTCATAAAAAGTCAAGTGTGGGGGAGAAGAAGGGGACACTGGGGCAAAATAGGAAAAGTGGGAAATTTTAAGAAAAATTCAAAAATTGGAAAATCCAAAAGGGGAAATTGAAAAATTGAAAAAGGAAAAAGGAAAAATAAAATAATAAAATAAAATACTACAAAATAAAAAAAACCCTTACTCGAGTGGGGTTATGTACACCGATCAACCTCATATAGTCACAATATATGTTGTATAGATACAATTGAGTAATAAACTATTAAAACGATTTAAAATATAAAAGGACTTTCATCACTCTAATATGTAACAAATACCTACAAATGTACTTCGTACAAAGAGAAAAAAAAGATCCAAAAAAGAATCAAGAAACTACAGACTACGTAACTGCATAAAGCAAAAATGTGGGGACTCGCATTTTTCCTGAAGAACCGTGTGGCGTGAGGGTGCGTGTCCCTATGTGTGTCCCTATCCGGCTATCGCGCCTCTGGAGAATTTCTTATCAAGAACATGGGGAATTTGGGAATTTCTACTGGCCTTCTAATTTGGCCTATCTCCGAATGACGAGCGATCCAGAGTGGATGATAAAAAATATATAAAAAAGAAATATATAAAAAATGATAGCATGTGGAGAGCCGATGACGAGCAGAACCTGGGGTCTCCAGCACTCCAGATTATATGTACTCCCTACACTATAACTAATATATATATATATATAATTATTGATATACCAGAAAAGTCAAAGTCTGGGGGTTACGATCATTCTAGGCTGGACCAGTCCAGACCCATGTACAATGGAGATCCTGGGGACCATCTGATCCTGTCACGGAGTGACGATAGCGAGGATCATCGATGATGTCGACCAAGGTGAAATCTCACAAGGTTAAATTTTTGGGTAATCATTTAGTCACGCGAAAACACAACCAACAGGTCATCCAGTACAAAACAATGAGGCACGAAAATGACCCGGGTCACCCCCAAATTCCTTTACGGCTTCATCATCCGGAGGAATCATCACCCGCGAGTCCTACATCGTATATTGACTAGTTATACGGAGTACGGAATACAAAACCCTGGAATCCTCCACTCAGGTTCGCCGACAATCCCCCGGATTTTGGGGTAAGATATAATGAATTTCCTTTTTTATTCTCTTTCTTTTTAAACAGGGAATGATAAAGAGAACCAACAATTCTGATAGGCGCGGATCATCCAATTATTGATATCCCTGATGCACCTGCCATGCAGCCGCAAAGCCGCGTATCTCGACAAAGGGACCAGATGTGCCAGTGTCAGCCCCTGCACGATGAGCACTTGGCTGCATTCCTTGCGCAAGAAAGACAGCGATATCCCCGATTTGCCAAGATGTCCCAAGTATAGAAAGTGACCAAGGGGGCGTAGATTTCCTTTTCTTGGCTGAATCTCGCAGGGTAATAACCGGGGGTCTGGGACCCCTGGGACCCCCGGTTCCCAGAATAATATTAAACCTATTAAATCGATTAAAATATGCATGTGTGTATATATATATATATATATATATTTATTATTCTCCTATCAGTGTGTGGTATATGTTCACGCTTTCTTTCTGGAAGACAATCATGACACGCTTACAGGTTACTTTCATCCGAAATTCCCCCCGGCTTTATGGAAGAGGTCAACCAAAAGGCCGAGGTGGGGGACAAATGGAACGCAGAGATACGCCCACTCGGCATGGCCGTCTCGCCGAGAGCCCGGTCTACCCTTTTGATAAAGGCGTTATCTTCGGGGTCCGGGATACATTACTCTCCGTTATCACATTATAATAGGATGTATATGGTCACCTCTACTTACTTTTATATTGTATATTGCTATCCTGTTATCCGGAGTACAATAGAAAAAGTATACAATTAGGAG